AATTCCACTTTCTCTCTTAATTCTTGCACATATTGAATCCGAGAAAACACACTCCTCTCATCATGTCAACTAACCCATTCAAAGAAAACATGATATGTGATCTTGGCACTATCAAAGCTCAATCTCAGCTCCCCATCTCGATTTCAACCCCCATCACCTGCGAGAGTCAGACGGCGACCAACACGAAACCAACCAGATCTCGCCGCCGCAGCAGATCGAAGATTGTCACGGGGCCTCCCAAGAGCCTTTGTCTACCCCGCTTGTGTGGTCTTGAAAACATTGCATCCGTCTTGATCGTAAGGCAGGAGTCGCCGTGGGATACCTATCGGAAAGTCATTACGTATGAGGTCGCTGGCAAAGTTACAATTGCCACACGCCGCACCCGTCCGTCTCGCATGGTAGCCATCCGAACCTATCGAAAAGAAAATGCTCGAAGATTAATCTACAGATTCGGACGTCTTGAACACAGGAACGTTCTCTCCTTACATGAATGCTACATGCACGAAGATCTCGCGTTCTTCTTGGTTGACGACTTGCCGCTGACTCTCGCGCATGTTGTTGCTTTTCCATCTGTTTATCCCAGCGAGGCAGAATTGGGATCGATTATATGCCAGGTTTGTCCATCATGGCCCTATCGATGGAGTTGTCCTGACATTTTAGATCCTCGACGGTGCCCGCTGTTTAGCTTTATCTGGTCTTGCGCATCAATCTCTGGCCTGTGACGATATATTACTTGGTATTGACGGGATCATCAAGATAGGTTTGTTGGTGGCCCCATCCTTGCATTATCTGACTAACATTTCACAGCGTGTTTGGACCTTTGTGTAGATTGTACACCAGATCAATCCGAAGCCGCATATATTGCGGCCCTTCCGTTGATTACGATGCGGCTCATGCAGAAATGTGACAAAGATGAAGGCGTTGTTGGCGTGAATGATTTGGAGCGATGGCCAATCGATTCCGCTGCCGTGGGATTTCTGTCCGCTACCGAGACGGCAGGAACAATCAAGTCTCTAAGAAATGTAAGTTCTCCTAGCAAGCTATCGTATTTCGCTAATTCCCAGTAGCAACCTCTCTTGGCGGCGAAGCACCGCCCAAGCGATGATCTGGTCGTTCTGGCAAGAGCAGCTCTGCTCTCCAGTAGTGTGAATTGCATTTACAATTCCGAATTCAAGAACTGTTAATGGGCTAAGATATGGTGCACATTTCCATGGACATTTCATAAGTTTTCGTCATGGTCGTACGGTTACATCAATATACAATATTCCACACGGCTCCTGCCGTCCCCCTTTTGTTTTCTGGGTACCATGTTTCTCTTTATACTGAAAGATGTCCTGCTGCTACAGAGTTAAGATCGCGTTACTGGTGCGGAATTAAAGGCTGACATTGATTAACGTAGCTCTCTGGTGACGTTCGCAACCTTTGGAAACCTGAGTCATAAGGATTTCGTGCATCAATCTCGGTTTTATAATGAAGTCTCAAGTACGCTTCGAAAGGGCTCGTGATCACTCTACTAAAAAGGACGTAGCTCTTCAAAAATGAGCTTTGAGATCGCAACAGCACTGAATTGCCAAATTTCCACAGCAGAAGGGTTTTAAGCATCAAAAACGCAAGAAACAGAACAAATATAATGACCAAAATAATACGAATGTCCCAGAAGCACTGTACGTATGTCGCACGTAGACTTCAACTGCATGGTGAATACTGGGAAACGAAAACAACTGGTGAATACTAATTCTCTGGCTTTTATTACCCTCAAAGGCTGACTAGTGATCGTTGAGCACCCTACAGTTGAGTGAGGGACAACTACTCTCCGGTTGGTTCCTTTCGCCAATCGTAAACTAGGAGGGTTGTTAGAATACAAGCTTATTCATGCCAAATCCACTGTTTCTCACCTCCATCCACCTTTCAAGCCGAACAGTTAGCCCTCGGGACCATACTATAACCTATTTATACAGAGCTTTCCTTCGATTATTATTTGCCTTCATATTTCTACAGAACACATCACTTCAAAGCTGTTATCTACAATATCCACCACGAACGGCATGTATCACATTACTACTCTGTCCTTGACAATCTCCCTCCTTGGATTTGTTGCTGCCACAGGCAACCCAGTCCATCGATATGCGCAACTCCGAGCTTGGGGTCAGCCTGGCTGTCGTGCTAGTAACCTTGGCGAGGCAGATATTTACGGTGATTACATTGGTTCATGCGAGCCATTAGATAACTACGACACGGTCCGCTCCGTGAGTGTTGAAGCTGTCGAATCAGGATGCACTCGTACGTCCCGGCAATTTTTAGACTATGTGTCACCACTAAAATTCTTTAGTGTACATTTACAGGAGTCTGCAATGTCATTTTGAACGGATTGAGGTTCCTCTTAACAAATGCGTCAGTGGCGAACGCGAGTATAAAATGTACAAATTGTTATGCGATGCCTGAGATGTACTTTTCGGGAAGCGATAGCAAATCGAATAACTGGGAGGTATGGAAGACTGCATTGAGCTGTATTGTGCTTAGCTGCTCTGTCCTATGTGCACCTCAACGTTATGCAAGAAGGAGTTTTTTGAGACACGCACTACAACCGAGAAAATCACACAAAGATAAAATAGTCAGAACTTTCAGCGAAGTAACTTCTCAGGAAGTCAAAAATGGCTTCCTGAAACTTGATTTGAGCAAATTGACATTCGGTTTCATAATGCACCAAACGCACTTAATCTCCCATATTGGCCATCTATGAGTGTTGCCTGTGGAGGGTTGAAAGAGGTCTGTTATCATGTTGATAATAAGCCGAGAATTTGTTGAATTGTTTTCCTTTGAAGGCTCCTCACAATTAGTCAATGTAATCAGCAATCGAAGTCGCTTTAAAAGTTGCCGCATCCCCAGCTTTTTGCTCTAAAATGTCTCATAAAGCATTCTTTTCGATAGACGCAATATTTTGTTTCAAGTTGTCGTCCTCATTTACTGTGTCTTTTTACTTTCCGAGAATGGACACACAAATCAGTGGCTCAATGAAAGGTCGAAAACCAATGTCAATGACAGCTTCAGAGGCGTTGTTCTTTCTGATCTATATCTCTACAGTACTGGATCATGAATATAAATAGTTGGAACTTTTCCAACCTCCATAAACTGCCACAGCCATTGCTCGCACTGGAATGGCCCCAAACGCTCTCCGGTACGGCCGCCAAAGTGCCAAAAATGATTCTGAGCTGGTACCACTACTGCGTGATGGTTCTAAACCACCACAGAAAAAGAGCACTCGCTATGATGCACGCACGCACTTACACAAAATCACTACCTCCAATCCCCCGGGGACGAACCCAGCCCCTTCGAATGCGGATACGAGATATATACCACGGAAGGTGTCGTTGCTAGTAGAACCACCCGACGACCGTGGCCGGATCAATTATCATAACTGGATGCGACAGATGCGAAAGGCCCCAGCCACAGAGGCAGTTACGCTGTACTGGATGCGACGCCTTCGTCCGAAGCCCCATCGGCGTGTTTAGCTAGTGGCACCCCACAAGAATAAGCCAAGCCCGCAACGAAGACTCCAACACGGGCCTCGCCATCCAAGACGAGGGGATGTGACACTGGAACGGAATCTGATTTTCTCGGGGATTGGAGCTTGTACCAAGTTAATCTGATTATTTATTAGGGCGTACTTTTTGCGTCAAATCAAGTTACGATGATAATATGGAAAGAAAATGTAGTTTTGATATGGACAACATGCATCAAGTCATCGTCCTTACACAAACCCAATAGAAAACAGATTCTAAGAACTCTGAGAATGTTGAATTTATTGTTTTTGTATCAGCGATCTTCTGGCTTCTGAGTATGGAACGAACAGGACTCAAATTAGTATTTCCTAGTTGCCTCATCTTCGGATGGGGATAGGCTCCAGGTAAGCTCAGGGTAGGCTCCAGGTAAGCTCAGGGTAGGCTCAAGGTAGGCTCAGGGTAAGCTCAGGGTAGGCTCAAGGTAGGCTCAGGGTAAGCTCAGGGTAAGCTCAGGGTAGGCTCAGGGAAGGCTCAGGGTAAGCTCAGGGTAGGCTCCAGGTAAGCTCAGGGTAGGCTCAAGGTAGGCTCAGGGTAAGCTCAGGGTAGGCTCAGGGTAAGCTCAGGGTGGGCTCAGGGAAGGCTCCAGGTAGGCTCAGGGTAGGCTCAGGGTGGCAAAATTGTGTGATTACTCCGATGGGGGGAAATTCTGTGAGTTCCCCGCACTGTATTGTCACACTTGGTTATTCGTCACCCGTCAAACATCGCTGTATGTTTTGTATGGTAATTTGTACCATACCGGAAGAACTGTGCTGTAACATACAGTAATCGTGCCACCCCGACCAACACAGCTCTCAAAACCGGGAGGGTGTTGATGGGCCTGGCGCGATTACACAGACCGTGGATCATTAACAACGTTAAACTGTCCGTAGGACGCGGAGTGTATATCGTCGGTTCGAAGACGCCTGGAGACTGGTGCCCGTTTTATTCGTCGCTTGCAATCTAGCCCTGCTGTGATACCATGCTACAGTTCAAAGATTCGGACTCGTAATTGACGACTGCTTAGAGGCTTCGGAAATAGAAGGCAAACTTATACTAAAGGCTTACATAAAGGACAGATAGATGCACTGGTGGCCCCGTCGGTCCATAAACAATGTGGCCTATCTCTAGTTTGAGGCTTCAAGTAAACTGAGGTGGCCTGGCGTGAGACGAGTATTATGCTTAATACGGCCACAACCAGTAAAGAAACAAAGACCATGACATGAAAAATGTGATACATGTGATGATACTCTGTGCCTTACACCAACAAAATGTCTTTTACCCGGAATTGACCAAATTAATGGAAGCGAAAACAATCATTCTTCTTACACCACAAAAACCAGCTCTACCAAAACCTAAACAAGTCTATAGACCCCAATTAAGATAAAAAATATTGCACCCCTAACCCTGAACCCCGGTAACATCTTCACGAAATGAGAAAACGGAGACCATTTCGTATTTATGTCAGCCCAAGGGCTGCTTTAGAAGAGCGTGAGACAGTTCCATGCACCCTTTCTGCATGGTTCAGTAGCATAGACTTTGACTCCAACTTCTCCCCGCAAATAGAGCACTCACAGCGCATGTCATTTGAAAACGGCTTGATATGCTTGTTGACGAAGTGTCGGCTCAGAGATCCAGAGTTCTTGTATATCATCAAGCGTTCGTTTTGTGGCAGTCTAGGGGAACCAAGGCAAATAAAGCAGATCGTTGGTCTCTCTTTTGGAGATTTGACGTAAACCGAAGCGATGGCCTTGGAAAAAATATCGTCGCTCTTATCTGAAGGGGTTGAATTCTGCCTTTTAGGCAGGGGGGCAGCCGGTAGCATATCGATAGCATCGGCGGAGCGTTTTGGGGTGACACGAGACCGCGAGGGTGCACCCTCTTCTGTATCATAGACCGCAATCACTGCATTGATTGCAGCAATTCGACGCTCATATTCTTTCTCAATCGTCGTACCCGGCATGGTCAGGACAGTGTCGATAAGTGTCATATGTTGCGGTGTCATATAGCCTGTTCGCTCCAGCGTAACTAATACTTCTTCGTCCACAACCTTTCCGGAAAGTTGCCGTTCGCTGTCGATCACTGGCTGCTCGTTCTTGTAACGCTCCAGATTCTCACGAATCAAGCGGTTCCGTTGCCACCCTTTCTCGTTCCGTAGTTGCTTAACTAAGCGATCATACTGCTCGTCTGCATGATCGAATTTTTGCCGTAGCTTTTTCACACTCTTCTCTTAAGCTTTCCGTCGCTTACGGATCATTCGGAAATAAGGGGAGTTTCTCCGTGAAAGATTATCACCAAACTCCCGCTGTAATGCAGCCTAGGCATTTTCATAGGTACGCTTCTTAGCATCTCGAACTTGTTTCCGCACCTGCTTCCTCTCTTCTAGAGTGCGGACACGGGGAATGTCATTGATACAGCTCGAATCCTCTAATCGATAGGGTCTATAGGGATCAATAGACCGACTCATCGAGCAGGCAAACCATATGAGCTGCTTCTAAGCGGGCAGGCCCCGTACAATTGCCTAGGCATCTATATGAATACCCACGCTATAGTGCCGAACAAAAGTGTCGATACTAGCATGCTGCAGCATCACGTTCTGTAGTTCATTGGACACATCCGCTGATTAAGAGGGAAGCATTAGCCTGGGATCCTATCATGCACAATGTCTCACTCACAGCTATCGTTGAACGCTTTTGCTACACCGTATCGGAGGTAATAGGGCTTTGCGACTTCCGCGAAACCTGTAATTTCACTACCTCGTTTCATTCGGTAACTCAGCCATCCCTTGGTAAGTTTTTCTTCTAGTGCGATTCGAATCCCACCAGGCTCCCGTAATGCTTAGCAAAACACATTTTGTGCGAGAATTTCGTCTTTCAACTTTAATTCCTGCTCACCAAGTCCATGGAGGACCCGGAGACGGTACAATTTCTTAGGGCAATCCATCACAGGGCCGTCTTTAGACAGACTTTTGAATGCGCCAATCCTAAAGAGCATACCCAACAGAAAAACATAAGGACTGAGAACCAGGGTGGGATCAAAGATAATTTCCGGAATTGGGAACGTATTCCTATTTCACAATGGTAAGCAAGCTTTGACTGGGTCCGTTGGCAGAAGAACTGCGGCACATAGAATTGCGTAGGGAAATCAGGTAGAAATCGAAGGGGGAAGGAAAGGAAGCAAAAGAGAGGGGACGTTCTTACGACTCTTTCGCGCCAAGAAATGTTTTTGTGAATTCTGGCCTCAAATAAATGAACAGTCGGGGTCGTCCACCATTTGGATCTCGTACTAATGTCAACTTGAGGTCCTGGAAGCGAAGTTTCAATAGTGCCCCCGGACGGCTACCGGTGATAGCAGCTAGCTGGCAGAAAAGAAGGAGTTATATCCGGTACCAGCCACAAGGAAAGGTCATCTCTGTTGTGGAAAGAATCACTCGTGCAAACTCGGCTACATCTTCGACATACATAGTCGCTTTCGGTCGACCTTTCAGAGAAAGACGTTTTTCTGTCGCAACTATCGCAAGCACCTATAGAAAGTCAGCCGGGTCAATTTTTATCGATATAGATATTCAATCAGGATCTCACGTCACGGATCTTAACATAGACATCTTTGCTAAGCTCATGCCCAACCTCGGCCTTATAGATTAGATGCCACCACTTCTAGAATGCGTCGAGCGTGCTTTTAGTATTCACTCCCGCGGTGCGACGTCCATCCTTTCCCCGTCGCTAGTCACACCGCCAGGAGAAGAGAGCCTTGAGGAAGCGGACCGTCTCCTCGGTATCAGAGAGCTAGGACAAACATTCCACCGGATCGCGCTTCATGCCTTTGCAGAACCTAGAACAATTAGCGAACCAAGCAAGGTAAAGGGATCCTGTAGTGAAGTCTCACTGGTCCCAGAAATATTACGTATCATCCAAACACCTTTAGGTTTTCGGGCTGTAGCGTTTCTATCGAAGCTGGGAGATATCAAGAGACTCGGCTTCGTGGAGGTAGTATTCTGGTGGAAGTTGCTCCTCTTCATCTTCCGATACCAGCTCATCTTCAGACTCATCTTCGGACTCGTCTTCAGACTCGCTACTTAAGTCGAACACGCTGGGCTCGGTGGAGGAATCAGTGTCGGAAGCGTGGTCCGAAAAAACCTCAGAATGGCTTGGGCTAGTATCGCTCTCATCGTCGGACGGAACAGAACCATGAGATGCCATGGCAGGAGGAGGTGGGTGCGATCGAAGAAGGCACAAGGAACGAAGGCAAGTCAGAGAACAGGTAAATGGTAGAGACTGGTTCTCTCTTCACGCCTGAGTGGTCGTGCCGTTGAAGAGACCGACCTGAGAGTGGAAGGGTTGCTTGGTAGCAAGAAAGAACATTGTGTCGGGGCCATGGCAGTCGATATTTATAAAAACCGAGGGAAGGAGGGAACCAAGGAGGGGAGCCATCTTCGGTTCCTCTCCTTCAGGAGGAGGGCTGAGGGTGGGTCGGCGGCGGCGGTTGCTATAGCGCAAGTGGTCTTGGTCGGGCCCAGGCACCAGGCACAGCCAACGCAAAGCATGGGTGGCAGTAGAGAGAGTCGGCCGTGGGCATTGAGGCACGTGATGCCAAGCCCAGCGACGGTGAGTGGAAGGCTTAAAACGGCCTCCGAGGCGGCCGTTTCTGGCCTCCCATTCACCGTCTCATTCTTATTTGTAGTAATAATATATAATTAAAGACGAAGAACTATACTAAGTATATAAATAAGTGTCCTTATATATCCTTCGTGCCTACTCCCTAGTCTACCCCCTAGGGGTAGATACTAGAGTCACTATATACTCCTAGGTATACTCCTATAGAGTAGGTCCTAGAGTCACGCTTAATTAGGCGTATCCTACGATCAACCTTTTCCTATAGAATACCGGGGTTATACTTAGTTAAGCATATTCTACGGCTATCCTACGACTAGTCTTATCCTACGATATGTCTTAGTCACGTGTCCCGCTCACTAGGTCCCTAGGGATCCTATAATGGTTGCTATCGTACGGTAGCTTATATCGTAGGATCCGTGGTTCCTTGCGATATAGCTTCTCTTAGGTTCGCTGACACCGTGTGTTATTCTGTATCATGGGGGTATAACGGAAAGACCATGTATTTCCGTGGTGTATCACGTGACTTGTTGGTTAGTTAGCTCTCGGTGGCCCATCGGTGTGGCTTGTGGATCTCCACTGATTGGTGACGGGAGTGCCCGTAACAATAACTAAGTGTCCCCTTCTTATCTAGTGTCCCGACTTCGAAGCTAGCTACCACTTTAAATTCCTTACTATATAGATGGGCTTCCAATTCTACCCAGTTCTTTAGCTCTAGTGACAGTTAATCTCTATAAAGCTTATTATTCTGGTTGAATCTTGTCCCTATGCTTATTGTAAAAGCATAGAGCATGCCAGGTGTTTCTTCTTAGTAGGTTTCTAGAGATAGGTATAATACATAGTCATAGTCCACCCTTAGTTTCCTATTTCTTCTTCCGGTCATAACATTTGACATATTAACATCACCAGATATATCCCTTAGTGCCAGTGCTCTGTTTAGTGATAGTTAGGATAACAGTTCTCGTTAAATCTATCTTTACACTTCCTCTTCTTCTTCATCTATCTCCACTTCCACCCCCCAGTTTCGATCGACGGTATCACTAAGATCGGATCTAGCGACGATAAAGGCTCGTTATAGTTAGGAAACGGCTAGTTTAGGGTATATATAGGTGGAGCAGGGGTCGTATTCGATGGAATCGACGGCGACGGTGATAAATTTAATAAATTCGGCGACGGTGACGTTAGTGGCAGAGGTGGAGAGGATAGAATATCTGCTAGAAAGCTTCCTAGCAGGCTATCTATGCTTACTTACTCTCTATTTGTTAATCCTAACATTAACTATGGGGTCAAAGGAAAAATAGCATCTATTTTTAAAAAGGGCGCCAATAGCGTTATCTCCCTGGTTTCTGTATCTCCATTTTCTTCGTCAACCAACTCTGCATTTCCATTTATTTCTACCTCGCCGGCGACATTTCTAGCATCCTCGGAGAGTGCGATCCTCGCTACTAATATAGGCATCTTCAACCGAGTACTCAGTTTAGCCTAAGCTTCTTCCATGGTGAGCACCATAGGCCAATTGACAATCCTATCAATAAGAGTGCTAACCGCGTCTTCTTCTATAGGGATCGGCTTACTAGGTGAGTACCGGCGGGATTTATCAACGATAGTATCTCTAACAACGTCTATCCTTCCCATTCTAGTTGCTCTTCCTTTCTACGGGAACCATACTTTATATAGGTTCTTCGAGATATATCCCATAAGATAGCCGATCTCTACTCTCGCTACTATTTTATCTAACTACACTCGCTTAATAATTCTTAAATATACCAAGCTGCCGTACATCCTAAGATTTGACAGATTGATAGTTTGAATTCTATCTAGCGCGGCATGCTTTATAAGCTCTTTCTAAGGTATAATCTATTGGTTGTTCATTTTTATTAGCGTTCGGTTTAGCATATATACTACTACATATATAGCTTCCGGCCATAGTTTAGGTGGAAGATTAGTGTCTTATATCCAGACTCTCGCCGTCCTAACTATTATACTCCTAGATCTCTCGGCTAGACCGTTCATTTCTAGTAAGCTAGGTGGTGAATGCTCAATAGTGTATCCTTCTACTTAGATTATAAATTTAACTTCATTTCTAGCACTTCTTTCGTTATTATAGTGGAAGACCCTAATTTCAATTTTCAACCAGTTCTTGATCAATACTAAGAACCGCCTAACTACCATCTAATAGTCGTTTTTCTTAACGTGAGTGAATATAAAGTGGCATCTAAAACCATCTAGGTAAAAATGCGTTAACTAGATATGTCCGTTATATGCTGGTTTTAATTGAACTAGATCGAAGTGCACCCTACCGAGTACACTATATGTCTATCCAATTCGGCGTCGAGATATCTGTCTAGGTGTATCTGCTAACTAGTAAGCTTCACATACCTACTTCTTAGGGTTGCTTCTAGTTATAATAATACCCTCTATCATCTCTACCAATTTAGCAATACGCTCTAGTCCAATGTGACCTAGGCGTTTATGCTATATTTTAAAAGTAGCCTCTATTTTTGGCTCCTATTCCGATTTCTTAGTGGTAAAAGCCACTTCTTCTTACTTCGTTGGTTAAAGCTCTTCTTCCGGGTGTAAAAGCTAGGGTAGTTGCTAATCTTGATAGATACTAAATACCGGCTTTCCACCTTTAATTGTCTTAATATAATTACTCCTAAAATTCATTAATCCCCCCCCCCCCCCCTCCTTTTATCATTAATCTATAGGATATTAGATTACTATAAAAATTGGGAGAATATCTGGCATTCTTAAGCTCCATTTTTACTAGTTTTCCGTTAACTAGGCTGACTCTATAGATGACTATAGTGCTAACGCCGTCTATTTTCGTCTCTATGTCTCCCACCTAGACGCTGCTTTATGCATTTATAAAGGTTTGAAATAACCGACGATCATTATATATGTGCACTTACGACCCGGTGTTAATAACCTATCTTTCTTTTGCTAGCTTTATACCGTTTTCTTAGGTGGAGAGAGCTTTAGTTTATATATCCTTAGGAGGAATAGTATCTGTTGTGAAGAAACTAAAATCATCGTTTTCGAAGGTTGCATTTATATACTTTGACTTTCCTTCCTCCTATCTTTTCTTTTTAATGAAGGCTTTCTAGGCTGGGTTTGTATTAATGACGGCGTTATACTTTTTCTTAGCACCTAGGTTTGGCTTATATGTTAAAGGACGGTCGTCTTTATAGACGTCCTAGCATCTCTATATAGGATGCCTACTAAGATTTCTACTATATAGGTATCGTCTTTTGAACATTGGTATGTCTTCGTTTGACGATTTCTTCTCTAGCTTTCCTAATGATTTAGGCTTTACTTCTTTATAGTTTTGCTAGGTTGAAAATGCCGCTTTCGATAGGTTCTTTTATGAAACTTGCTTTATATAGGTGATCGACTAGTGAGCTTTATACCGAGTAATAAGCTCACTAAATTTAATCGCCCCTTTATCTTCGAGTCTTAATATCCATATTTTATAGAAGCTAGGTGATATAACTAATATAGTATCTAGGAATTAAGTGCTAGCATCCTTTGCTTCGGTGATACCTACGTTCGTATAACGAGTATAAAGGGTTTCCTAGTTTAATAGCTATATATTAATATCGGTATTTATATCTAGCCCTTAGTCTAGATTTCTCTATTAGTGGCGAAGCTTTATAAGGTATATTAGATCGTAGTCTAGTGAGAATCTCATCCTTAGTTTTCGGAGCAATTTATATACTAAATCCTAAGAGATAATAAAGGCTTAGAAACTTAGGTTGATACTATTTCGTATAGCTATTACTATAGTGCTTAATCCTCTCTTTTTCTTTAGATATTTGTCGTCTTCGCTTTACCAAATCATCTACTTCGCCTTTAGGGTTTTATACCAATCTTAATTCTATTCTTTTACTTTCTTTTAAACTTCTTTAAGATCGGGTTGTTAAGGTTGTATTAGAGCAGCTGGCTCTTCTTCTTTAGCGGGATCATATAGCTCCCAGACGTTAAATTAATCGGCAATTCCTCTGATATTAGCTAGCCATGGTTCCCATATTGTTATATCTTGTAGGATAACGCGGGCAGACGCCGCGGAGAGAGTATAATCTGCCATTTGTTATCGTCTTATCTGGTCTTTATCTTTGACCTCGACTTTATATAGACAGAAATCCGGTTTTTCTTCAATTCAGGGGTTGCTTCGACGGTGGGTGGTTGAACTTTCAACTCAGCATTGACCGGCGACAGCGAGGTTTATTGATCTTAACAAATATAGATCATTATTGAACGATTCCGGGCTCATAACTGACAGAAATCTGTCTGTATGACAACGTATGGACAAAATCAGATATATTGGAATCTCTAACTAACTAAAAATGACAAAACCCGCGTTTTCAACAATCTGGGCGGACATAGATGACTAACTGTAATATGCACTTTTGTATGGTATGGATGGTACCATGTGTCACATGATATTCAGGGTATTTTACCCTGTTTCCACCATGTATTCAATCTTAGTATTCGACATATAGTATTAATAATTGACTAAAGCAAATCTCGGTATTTCTGCAAATAATGAGATAGGGAGATCCATGGATCATCGCGACGGCTGGGAAGGACTATGTCAGGGGGGTTGGGTATAATGAATCTGGCCAAACTACTACAGGTGTAATCACTTGGTGTTTTATACACCGCAGACTGGGAACGCTGAAAAGGTCAGCATCTAGAAAGCCTTAGCTTAACCACTTAAAGTGATATCTGACTAACTTATCTCCATTTGGCACTGGAACATTTGGATTCGAATGGTATATATAGATTCGTCCGTTTGGTATTTCCATTGTCAAGTAGCTTCGGATGGAATATCAACGCCAAAAGTCATTATGCCGACGTAGGAGATTATTCCGACACTTGCGAAGATGCTCCTATTTGACTCGGCTCTCAAATGGTGCCATTTATGATACTTGGAAGTAGAGGGACTCAAAGATTCAGAGAAAATGTAGTGAGAATTTCGTGAAAAGCTTCGTGGTCCAGAAAAACGAGGGCCTATCTTTTTGAGGGACAGGGAAGCGGGCTATGTTGACAGTGCGGCCAATTAAACACCCCATCATTTTATTCATCTTGGTCACCATTTAGTGTTGCGCTACTTAATAATTTTTTCTTTCTTCTCAACGCAAGCTTTGTGCTCTCGTTCAACGGTAGATATGGGGGTATGCTAACAATTTTCAATTTTCATCATGTCACCAGAGGCAGAGCTGTCAGTTACAAACATTGCTGTACTGTACATGTTGAATTGCAAGTATTCATTAAAACAACAGTAAGAGAGTGCAAGCCCTTTCAAAATACCAACATGAGTTTTCGTAGAAAATAGCATAGTGCTGCATATTGAACTGCAACTATCAACTAAATCGCAAGTCACAGAAGGAGAGTTGAGCCCTTAAATGACATAAGTTTGATTAAGTAGCCATCTGTCTTCGTTGTTAGTAGAAAGTTTGTATGAAATGATCGTATACGTGTAACTCACTGCCTTTAATCACTAGAGGATCGCGCCGAGCTTATCAATATCCCATCCAGCCCTTCCTTCGAACCCATATAGCGTTCTACCTTTCGCAGGTTGAACGGATTTGGTACCACCGATTCCTCCGGCCTCGAAGTAGTCCGTCTCATTGTGAGTCACTAATCTTAGTGAATCAACACGGCTAGTTGACGCATATATATCCATCCAGTCAAGGGGATCTTTGCCATGGTTTTCGAAGTCAAAACTGGTATGCAGAACCCTATCCTGTTCTTGCGAGGGGCAAAATCCGGCCGCGTCATATTTACCATCGGCCCATTTGACTCGGATACCCCTTAGGATAGTATATTTTTCGACGTCAACACCACTGCCACTACCGTACCAAACGTCGAGTTGTTCCACAGGTATATTACCATTCGAGAGCTTGAACGGCGCGCCACCATTACCTCCAACTGGAGTTGTGGGCATAACCATGATGTGGAATAAGAAGTAGAATAAAGATTTTTTAGATAGATACCCAAAATAAAGGATTTAGGCTTCTTTATTTCTTAAGGAAATGTAAAGGAGGTGCTTTAGAGGAGATTGGATTCCTAGTCATATTTATACTTCTACCCTTCCCTTCCCCTACGAGAGCATATTAGTACTTAGATGTCTCTGCCCTCTCCAATAACCTGCATCTGTTATTTGGTTTCGTCATTCTTTGCATATTAGGTCTTATACTCCATCATATACCTTAAACGAAGACGCATTCAGTAATATTATATCACGAATTACAACCATCAACATACTAACATGGTTATATGAAAAGTATCGTTGAAGCTTCTAGATCGCCCTATTAATGAATATCAGCTTTTGGATGATTTCTAATGATGTAATTATAGTCTAGACATATATTAATTTATATATTAATCTCGGGTCTTATGACTTGACAACCAATCTTGGAAGACTAAATTCAAATCGATCTTCAAATCAATAGCAGAAGATTTCTGAGTCTAGACTACGAGTCTCATGAGTTGGCTTGAAACAGTACTGTCAAACATGGAAATGTTATAGTCTAGATTAATCTTGTATCACTATCAGTGCTCTTTCATCAGGGTTAAGGTTGCGAGGGCAACCGTGGGTTTTAGGTTTAATTGCACTTTTCTAGGTACCTACTATCCGTTAGCATAGATAAACTTTAAGCTCATACCCAGTTCATACCGATTTGTTACACATAGAGTGGAGTGTGACTTAAATAGTGACAATGAACCGCGGATAGCCGAACCACGGACGAATTCAGCATAAGGTTGCGGGCTCGAGTGATCGACGTGCGTCATGTGGCGTACCCGAAATTGGCGGCGGTCATCCGCTTCGGACGCTAAATCTTAAACTAACCTGCCCGAGGGCAAAAAAGGGTTAGTACTCTATCATTTTACGTCAGTACAAATTCTTGTATATTAACATCCAAAGTCAAACAAATACGGGAAAGTCTAACGAGATACCCGCCAAACTTATTCAAAAATTCATATATGACTTTCTTGCAGTAGAGAGCAGAAGTTGATAGTATAGTCGAATCAACTAAACCTCTTCTGTATACTATTACACTCAGTAGTTCCCCTCTGTTTCCTTCATCATTTTCGCCATTAGCCCAATTCCTAAAAGCCAAGTGATGAAGGAGAGGGGTCCCCTCCCACCACCCTTCGTAGTAGGTACGAATCTCAAGCAGCCCTAAAAGCTCATACATCGTCTTATGAGGCCATTGGCATGCATTTAGCTTTGATTTTGCTAAAGAAGAACTATGTGAGATCATATAAATGGACCGCTCCTCTCGTTAAAGCAATCAGCAGAGGGTCTCGATCTTGGTTAGGCAACTAAGGCAAATCCTTTGCTGCTGCTGTTTTCCCCCTCTAGAGAGGCTTGTGGCTTCCTATTTATTGACACCTTCTTTCCCTAGGATGTCGGATACGCTTAACAGGAGGAAGAACCGGCCGGCCCACCGGCACCACGTTGGTATAATCCAGCTATATTTCAATTCTTTTAATTTGAACTGATAGCCGCACAACTAGTCTGGGAGTTACTATTTCAGGACTTATGATACTTATTGTCAAGGCTATCCAGATATCGTTCCCTGCGTTACTCCAAGTCGTAAACCAGACTACGTATTCCATTTTATCTCAGAGCCTGCCACCAATACAAGGATTTGAAGGCAACCTTCATCCTCCCCATGAATTTCGCACTAGACCTCCGCAAAGCCCATAAATGGGCTCGACCTCCGGGCCCAAAGCCCAACCAGCAGTGGGCTCTGGGCCCAATCTCTAGGGCCCAACCAAGCCCACAGCCCATTAGTGGGGGCCCATAAGGCCCCCAAGAAAGCCCATTTCTGTGTATAACTACAGTCTTGGCGCTCATAAACCTGATGATTAATGCCTGTTTTTTACGTATGTTCTAGTCAGTAAGCCCATACCTCGGGCCGACGTTTTACCAAGCCCAATCCGGGGGTTCAACTACTCCAAGAATCAAGATATCAAGATTCAATGGCGACGACCTGGTAATTAAGATTATAGATAAAACCCGCTACACTAGGCACTACAGTTTACCAAGATTACCCAAAAAAAGTCCAATTTCACTACGATTGTCTGGCACTTAGAGAATTACTAAGTGTCAATATATAGAGATATATATCTTATATACGTAGAAGTAAGTGCATCTTTCTATTAAACTATAAATTTAAGGGTCAAATTCGTAAATTATAGGTTAATAGGATTATATTTTATATTAAAAGATAGCTAATCTTCTACTCTCGACGTCTGCCTTTAGAAAAACGTGATATTCTAGCTATACCGGAGGTGAGAGAGGGTTTATAATATCTTATAAGCTATAGGTGTTACGCACTGCTAACTGGTCACAGTTAGGTTAGAAGGGTTCGGTTATACTTGCCTTATGCTTCTCAGGTTTCCAACGTCAACGATCTGTTCTCTCAACCGTACTGTTGCCTGATAGGCCTTACTATAGGATGGGTCCTATTGAGGTATCGAGGAACGATGCTAGGTAGAGCGCCGAGGAGATCTATACCGAGGTATTGGTCTACTCGTAGGTGTTATCAAGTTATAATCAAGTAAAGAGTCACTGAAGTTCCAAAGGTATATATAAGTAACAATGTATGATTGAAGATAAAGAACTAAACTAAGTATATAAGGGAGTGTCCTTATATATCCTTTGTAGCTACTCCTAAATATACTTCTAGAGTATATCTAGGAGTCGTCGTATACTTCTACGTATACTCCTAGAGTCGATGCGGGAGTCACGCTTAGTTAGGCGTATCCTACGATCAACTTTTTCCTATAAAGTACCGGGATTATACTTAGCTAAGTATGTCCTATAGCTATCCTACGACTAGTCTCGTCCTAGGGTGAGTCTTATCCTATAATATGTCTGTAAGCAATTTAGCAGATAATATATTATAGCCTAATGGTAGGTTATAATATTTTATAGGGAAGTAGTATTAGATAAGCTATATATATTATATAATGTCTTATATAATATATATATATAAATATGTATGTGGTTATACTTATCCTAAATAGGTAACTCAGATGGCGATGGTAAGATTAATTATTGTTATATATAGGAGTCTTTGCTTCTATAGTTCATTAGGAGGCAAATGATGAGATAATCTATGATATCTGTATTATCTCATTGTCTATGGTATTAGAAAGGAAGTCATAATATAGTTTTTTACTATATGTAGGATATCTAGGGTTCTTCCTAGATAGAGCCAGTAATTTATATATGATCTCCTTCCTACCATAATAGAAATATACTATACTATTATATTATACACTATTATACACTATTATGCTAAGAATGTCTTAGTCACGTGTCCCACTTATTAGATCCCTAGGGATCCTATAACGGTTCTTATCGTGCGGTAGCCCGTGTCGTAGGATGCGGGGTTCCTCGCGATATGGCTTGCCTTAGGTTCGCTGACACCGTGTGTTATTCTATATCATGAGGGTACAACGGAAAGACCATATATTTCCGTGGTGTGTCACGTGACTTGTTGATTGGTTGGCTCTCGGTGGCCTATCGGTGTACCTGGCGGGTCACCACTGATTGGTGACGGGTAGGTCCGTAACAATAGGGTGAAATGTTTTAGGTGAATAAATTGTAAAATAGGCGGGGAGATAGGTTATCTATAGGCTTTCTTAGGCTTTAGATAGGCCGAATCCACTAAATATATATAATCTAGCTAATGAAATGCTAGTATTACGACCCTTCGTTTTAATATCGACTAGCACTATAGAGTATAATCCTCTATTTACATCCTCTGTTTGCCTACCGCGTCGATAGTTCTCTCGTTAAGAAGGTAGGTTATATCGAATTCTTCCTCCCTAATACTGATTCCCCTAAAGCTATTCCCCTAAAAGCCCTTTATCTAATTCTAAACCTATTAACTATCACTAATCATATCGTAAAGCTAGTAAACTAAGTTTGGATCCTCTTAGTTAAGCCTATTCGACTCTAAGCGTAACTAACGACTTATCGTTTATTACCCCTTCGAATTGCCTAGCTACCCGTCTACCTCTCGGTAGGTTAATAGCTTCTCGTTCGTTTAGCCGTCTATTCTATCGTCTATCGCCCTAGATCCCCTCGAGCGCTTCTAACGTGTCGGCCCTAGTAGGAGAGGCTAGTATTTTCTATACGACGGGATAAATTATAGCGACTAGGTCGATTAGTGGTTAGAGACTAACTATAGATCTAAAAATAAGATCGCTTAGGAGTCGTAGTATAGTTCCGCTTTAGAGACCTAGGAATAGTTTGAGTAAGTGGCGTATACGGGCACTAGGAGCCTAAAGGTTATATATAAGCGTTATAATATAATTCTTAAGCACCCTTATACTACTAAGAAAGATACTTATCACTATTAACCGGCTCCCCTTCTAACTCGTTAAAAATGCAGCCTTTCGTCGCCTTATTTTACAATCGGCGTTAGCTCTAAGCCTACTAACCATACCATCCGCTAATACAATCCGACGTTAGCTATCTACTCGGGTCAAAGAGCGATAGTAGGATACACTTAGGATACTACTAGAGTATACGAAGATCTCGGTTAGGTTAGACTATTAGATATCTCTATTTAGGTAGGCGTTTATAGCTATCACTAGCTATTTTATCGACGTCGACTAGATCTACCGCGAGGTGCTACTTAGGTTCAAACCCCTTTATAGTACGTATTTAGGTATAAACTTAAGTGCTATACTTATAAAGACGCTCACTAAGTATAGAATTTAGGACCAAATCTTTAGATTGACAACTAATAATGCCTTAAATAACAAAACTCTAGTTGCTTCGCTATAGCAGTCTTTACTATAATAGTCTTTAGCTAGTGGTTTTAACGTTATCCGTATCCCCTATCTTACCTATATTATCCAATTAAGTTTGAATCAACTACTTGATCGTTTAAAAGTAGTCCTAAAGAATGAACATACTAAGACTCAATAGACAGATCGTCAAATGACCCTCGCTAAGGTAAACGCACAGAACCGGGGCATATCTCATACCTTACAAAGGATACGAGACCTCATAGTCTTTATCTGGGCTAGTCCTTAACGTCAGGAGTCATTCCTAAAGCTTTAACTTCTAGCCCTAGGGCTAATACTAGTCTAGGATGTCAAGACTCGATAGAATTCAACGTTTCTAATATTATTATTCTAGGAGTTTTAAATCCTTCGCTTATAACTCGAGATAGGCGTTTAGGTATATTCCTATAGGCGTGCCTATAGGTATACCTATAGATAAAAGACCCTTATAGCTAATTAGCTTATAAAGGATAGTAGGTCTATGTAAAGGTATACTGTTTTCAGGTGTAAGGCCTGTCAACCGGGTAAGATACTATGACTGAGAGGGGAACACAATGTATTGTAGAGTGTGCCAAGACTAATTCTTGCCAGAATGGAAAGTATCCTTTGGGGGTCCTTGACTATAGGGAAACCAACACGATAGTGCTGACATTGATATCACCTGACGAACCCCTCTCGGATCGACATCGATTCGATGTCGATCTATTGATAGATCACTGATATGGCCCGCTCTGGGTATTCCAGTTGTAAGGATCTTTTATCCGTTACAATATATTATAAGAAGCTATACTACCTAGAAGTGTTATTTAACTAGTTAAATTAATAATCGATATATTAAACGGAAGGTGATAATAGGGGTAGGTGATTAGTTAAATCATACTAAGATATCTAAGATAAACCTTAATTCACTAGAATTTCCAAATATTTCCCATTCCTTATTGTGATAATATAGTACAATTCTATATATAAACCAGAATATATATAAAAGACAGTTATTTGGATGATTCAGCCACTTTATAAACGCTAAGACTATAGATTTGTGTAATTTCGAGCCTAGGGGGGGGGGGGGGGGGGCTCGAGAAGTTCGACCCCTAGCTCGTTGCGGGTCGGGTTTCGAGCCCGGACCTTGGGCCCAAAGTTGGGCTTTGCGGAAGTCTAAACCCATCTAACCTAACTATGACCAGTTGGCAGTGCGTAACACATCTTCCACATGCTTCTTCTATAAAGTGTGGCTGTCATACCCCTGTAATGATAAAAGAACTCTATATACAAAGGTCCTAAGGCATTAATAGAGTGGCCTCAGGTTGTAAAGAATCTCATCCTTTATAATAACGCGTTTTAATATAAACTATATTTAAGGCTAGCTATCTATACAAAGCTAAGACCTAAGCGAGAGGATAGAGGCTAATAAGGAGGTAAAGGCCTAACTATCTAATTATAATATAATCGCTATTAGCGATAATAAGGAACTAGAGTCTAAAACTAAAGACGTATCTAAAGCTAATAATATAAATAAGTAAATTTATAATACTTTACTTAGTATTTAGAATTAAAACTTACCCCTAGATTAAGAGATAGACTCGATAGAGCTTCTATATTATTATCTAATAGTTAGAATTATATAAAGCGATAGCTAGCGTCTATATAGGGAACGGAAGCGTTAGAGAGATAACGATAAATATATATATACTAAGAGGACTAAATAAAACGCAAATAATTAAATAGATATAATAATAACCTTTTCTAGATTTACTATTTACTATAAACAAAATACCCAAAAATTACTAGCTTTTCTATATAACTTATATATATCATAAGGTTAGTCGTGTTTACACTATTTATAGTGCTACAGCACTCCCGCTACAGCACTACAGTACCGAACCAATTGTCTAGTGCTGCCAAGCCTTGGTGCTATAGTACCGAACTAAGGGCCTAGTGCTACGGCAGCACTGGTGCTACGGGACTTGTCAAGGCCTAGTTGGGTTGGGTTGAGTTGGGTTGAGTTTGGATTAGAGTGTTACGTGCCAGGTCAATCAACAAGAAAGAGTGCATTCAAACTAGAAAAGCAAAGATGGGGAGAAGGAGAGAGAGCAAGTGGTGAATCCCAGGGATCTTATAGCAGAGCTATCCCACAATGCAAACAAACCCCTTTCCCAATTAGGAATAGTAGCACTTCGAAGAACAAAGGAAATAAAGCAAACAAATGATCTCTCTGGCATGTGATAATATGCAGATCGTGACATAGAGTGGGTTATGCCGAAGTCTAATTTTAGGTAAATAGTATTATAAGAAATAAAATCTCTAATTCTATACCTGGGCTCTAGTGGGCCCCCACGATGGGCCGTGGGCCTAAAAAAAAGCCCAAAGCCCATCGTGGGCCTAAGAACCGGGCCCAAAGCCCAGCTCATTCGTGGGTTGGGCTGGGTTGGGCTTTGCGCTTTGTAGGCTCTGCGGAAGCCTACTATTAGGGCCCTAGGAAAACCTAATTTTATATAAAACAGAGCTCTGAGCGTTTATAACCCTATAAATTTATCGAACTAAAATACTATTTTTTATACTTATTTTAGTTTCCCTACTAACTTCGCCTATTATAGCATTAATAACTAAGCGGTTTTATGAACGCCAAGACTAGTTTTTTATGAAATCGTGGGCTTTGGGCCTAAGGGTTCGACCCCCGGCCACCTGTGGGTTGGGCTTTAGGCCCGGGTTCCGGGCCCAAAGTTGGGCTTTGCTGAAGCCTACCTAATAGATACCTAGTATTAGGTCTTAGGTTAGGTTAGGTTATAGAAGTCGGACCTAAGTTAGGTTTCGGAGAAGCCTGCAACTCACTAAGATTCGCTGTATATTACACTTGGCAAAACGTAATATCTGAAGGTTTAGGTTTAGACTAGCTTGGCCAACCGCTACAATATTCTCTAGGTTCGGCCTACTATCTCTTCCCTATCGCGGAAAATCGAGTAATATGAAGTTTCTTTTGTTAGGATTGGTTCCTGGCTATCGGTACCCCGGCTAACTAGAGGCCGCAGCCCGTGGGTCCGGACCCAGCTTATGACGTGGCATGGAAAACCCACTTCGTATTGCTCTACATCCGTATTACCTACGGTTTAGTTGTTCTATATGCCAGCTGATCTTCAATCACAAGTCACAGCCAGCAATAGTTCATCCGTAGAAGCCGAAGATATGGTACGAGGACTAGTCTAGGCTGGAGGACCGGTCTCTATAGAACTGGTGCCAAGAGGTCTTGAACTTGAAAGTATAATTTAAGGTTTTGCCTTTTAGGCCGAGTGTGATCAAGTCAAAATCTTTCATAACCACGTAAAATATGATTCCAAGCCCGAATCAACATGATGAAGCTAGTAGACTTCCAAATAACCAAAGACAAAGAGAAGGAAATATTGACGTCAATGAGACGCTAAAGCTTTACTATAAGGGTACAATTGAAAAATTCCCAACGCTTTAAGACACTTTCTTCAGAGCAATCTCTTTGAAAGCCAACAATTAACATGCCTGAATATCAACCTCTAAGCCCAATAGACTCTTCTGATGAGTCTCAGATCTATTTAACCTACGAAGCCGCAACGGGTGAACTACGAAAGAAGCTGTCTCGCAAGGGAAAAAAACAGAGATTCCAATATCATCTTATCAGCATTGTTTTCAACTTGATTGCAATCGCGCAAATAATCCTCGGTGCAATCATTACCGCATTAGGACCTTCAGCCGGTGAACATGTGCTAGCAATCACAATTCTAGGGGCTTTCAATACCTCTATTGCTGGATTGTTAGCTCTACTTAAAGGAAGAGGGCTTCCCGAGCGACTAAGGAGAAATTCGATCGAGATTGCTAAGGTTTTGGACTTCATTGAAGAAAGAGCAACCTTACTAAGATATGGCAATACCCAAACCTCTAATAACGGAGTCTCGGTTCTTTTACAAGAAGCTTTTCAAGCGTACAACTCCGCCAAGCAGATAATTGAGGGGAACCAACCCGATACATATACAGATGGAAAGAAAACTCAAACTTCCGTCTCCGCTACAGAGATGAATGGTTCTTCGAGTTACGCCACAGTGACCAATGAATCGATTGGAAAGAGACGCCAAACAGATGAGGAAATGGGAAATATCCATGGGGTTTAATCATAGAAACCCCAATAATCAAGGTTAGTATAGACGCGGGCCTACATACCTATTGCCGAATAATAACTCTTCGATAGTGTCCTCATATTTATCAAATTGAAGCTACTGTGTTATGAGCCCGCTGACTACAATGTCTATAACCGCAACCACCCATACATGTACTCTTTCTTATTCATTACATTATATTTTTTTCAGATAAATTAGAAATTAGGTGCGGACTGTTGTATTGAAACCTGTACATCATTGGAGTTTGTCAATCCAAACCAATTCACTATATATCCAATAAACCCAAATATTACTTTGTTTATCATATAATCAGCTATAGTGACTAGGTAGATATAGAGACAACGCTAAACATTTTTGATGGAAGTTATGATTTTCAAACTTCGGCCGTGACAAAAAACTTGAATATTTTCACAATAGAACTGCCTAGCTTGCATGGACTGCTCATAATTCTTCCCAATATTGCATAGACGCAACTTAACAGGGTGGAGGATTTTACCCTTCTAAGTCCCACCGATGATGAAACTGCTGGCCACGTAACTCCATAGATAATGCTCTAAGCATTGCTTGGTAAAGCCATAAGCGCCTAATATATTAATCCATCATGTCCTTGCCGGTATCTATGCAGAAAGACAACAACGATATTTGCGCACTAACCACGCACACTTGTGGCGATCAGATTACCGGAGGGCACAACGGATTCTGCTCATGTAGTAATAGCGGGGTACAGACTAGTGATGACACGGGGGATTCTATCTCCACGTTGGTATGTCCTGCGTATTTTATCTTTGCTTTGGGCTATAGAACGATGAATGACAGACACACGGAGCCAAATCAATACTGTGGCGATAGCTTTGGGCGCAGATATGTGTAAAAAGTGGAGTTTTTCCATCACATGACTATTCAACCAAAGCAAGGGTGGTACTAGTCCCATCAATAGCTTTGTTTTCGCGTGTAATCCTCTCACCCCACACTGACAGATGCATCCCATCCCCTCCATGGTGTAGGCCGTTTGCGGATAAGAGCGGGGTCCGTTGCCAAGAAGATCCGCGCTATGGAGTGGAATGAACTTTATTTCATTCTTGGCATAGAAATGACACAAGCTATATTTGTACAAGTAGACACTCTGGGTGCCGGAGATGCCAACGACCAAATTTTTATTTTATTTGCGGAAGCTATTTCAATCGTACCAGATAACCAAAGTCTCTTGGTACACATAAAGAGCTTGGCAGCACCCAGTATTAGTACAGTGTTGTGATGATGTAGGCGTCACAGAGCTCCGACCGTTGATGACAGAATCAGCGATTTTCGATATTTTTTTAACCATAGGCCGTTTCGTTAAGATGGTGGCCACTAAATAGTAGCCGAGAGCAGTTGTCTTAGATACTACTCCGTAGATATACCAGAGGAATTAATTGGCGTAATTGGCGTAGGTGTGCTTACTGCTATGTTTTGTTTTAAAAATCCATCGTAGCCTCAACCTGATCTACCACTATACATCTCCCCTAGCACTGCCCCTTCCCTTATAACCGCCATTAGTCCCCTCCCTAATTCCTATTGACCTATCAACTAGGGCAGACATATTTTACTAAAATATTGAAAGATGAAATTCATCTAGTAAAGGTATATTATTTAACTCTTGGAATCTACTTCAAAAAAAGTACATGTTTGTCTAAAATGTCCAGATCATTCGATCCTAAAGCAGCTAAGTATCATCCTTTGGATACTGCCAAGTACAAAGCAACCAGGGTGCATGTTTGACAAGTCTAGATCATTCGACAATTCAACCCTAATGCAGCTAGGTATCGTTTTTTGGGACACTGCCAAGCGGAAAGAACCAGATGTATGTGTGTCTTTAGCACAATCACAACTTTCAGTCATCGGATCCCTTACTAACATGAGCTGGTGGTGAGATACTCTTCACATCTACTCGCCCCACCCGCCCGTCCCATGGAAGGACTGGCCCGTCTTACTATATAAACCAGCTTACAAGAGTGATGTGATTCAAAATCTCGAGTTTCATTAACGATCATACTCTGTCTTAGTTAAAAACCAATTGTATCTCAAGCTCTTCACTATATACCACTCTACTAGGTTTCACCTACAAGGCCTTGTCGTGGAACTCTACGTGGCCTCGCTGAATCTTTACTTCACTTGAAGCCTCTCAGCTTTAGTATTCATTACAGTTGTTTCCCACCATTTTAAAAAGAAGCAAAAACCCCATAATTTACCAAAATGTCCATCATATCAATCAATGGAAACCATTTGGATCCCGAAGCAGAACTCCCAGTCCTTCGGGCTTTGCACCTCGAGTCCGAGGATGCCACAAACTCAGACTATATCCTGGTGCAGTCAGTTGAGCCACTGTCAACTGAGCAGGAAGACGAAATCGAATGGCTAGGCGTTGATATCCAACAATATGTGTCCAAGAATACCTACCTGTGCGGTTTCAAGGGCACCGACCTCGAATCCATCCGCCGCCTCCCATATATATCCTGGGTCAACGTCTATCTAGACATGTTTGTTATTCAGTCTAGCTTGAAAGCACCCGCTGAAACTACAACGCTGTCGTCATTCCCTGCCGTCCCAAAAGACCGTACCTCTCACACAGTTGACCTCATTCTTCATAAAGATGTCGATCTTAGTGCTGCACATGTTGCCTCGGAAATTGCTGCAGCTGCGCATGCCGACCCTGACACATTGCATACTGGGTCTTCAAAGATTCGAATCAATGTTCAAAATCAATACTTAGAAGGACTGGCTACCCTTGACTGTGTCAAGAGCATCCAGCCAGTTTATCCGGCGCGACTGTTCAACAATCGGGCGATAGAGATTTTGGGGTCCCCTTTGCAGATCAATGGTACTCAGTACGAAGGCGAAGGACAGGTGGTAGCTGTTGCAGACACAGGGTTCGATAAAGGCTCTACTGTTGATACCCATCCTGCCTTTCGGAACCGAGTTAAGCAACTTTATGCCTTAGGGCGCCCTGGAAGGTCAGATGATCCAGATGGCCATGGAACACATGTTTGTGGATCTGTTCTTGGAGATGGGTTTTCCTCAACGATGGGAGGAAGGATCAGTGGCGCAGCACCAAAGGCTAGCCTGGTGGTGCAATCTCTTCTTGACCGAAATAACAATCTGGGTGGAATCCCAACCGACTTTACCGAGATTTTTTCTCCTCCATATGAGAAAGATGGCGCTCGAATCCATACCAACTCATGGGGGTCTTCTGCCTATAGACAGGTGCCGTATAATCCCGCAAGCGAAGAAATTGACCAATTTGTCTGGGACCATCAGGACATGGTGATACTATTCGCTGCTGGAAACGATGGAATCGACGCGGATAAGAATGGTATCATTGACCCAAGGCAGATCGGTGCTGAGGCGGCTGCGAAAAACTGCATTACCGTTGGAGCAAGCGAGAATAATCGTCCGGATATTCCCATCACTTATGGTAACCGATGGCCAAGCGGTCCGATTAGCAAAGATCTGATGGCAGACAATCCCGGAGGCCTGGCAGCCTTCAGCAGCCGTGGACCTACTATGGAATCTCGCATTAAACCTGATGTTGTTGCACCTGGAACAGCGATCCTATCAGCCAGGTCTAGAAAGTTGGTTAACGCTGAGGCCAGTTTTGGTACAAGTCGGGATCCCGAGTGGTGGTTCCTAGCCGGCACTAGTATGGCGACTCCTCTAGTTGCGGGATGCATTGCTGTCCTGAGAGAAACTCTCATCAAGAGTGGAGCACGGAAGCCAAGTGCAGCTCTTCTCAAAGCATTGCTAATCAACGGAGCAGTTGAATTACCTGGACAGTATATTCCAAGCGAATCTGGTCCATCTCCGAACAGTAACAGCGGCTTTGGTCGAGTGGATTTGTCCAAATCAGTGATCTTGCCAAGTCAAGCCGATGGTGGATACCGCGAGGGAGGACCACTAGCGCAAAGTTCGAGCGAGGAGACCGTGATAGACATCCCAAACAATGGAGATCTTTTGAGGGTCCAGGAAAGATCAGCTAGCACCACTACGATCAACGGCCCAGTACTGAAAGTGTCTTTGGTCTGGACAGATCCACCAGGGCGAACCCTTCAAAATGATCTGGACCTTCTTGTGGTCAGTTCGGATGGTACTGAAAAACACGGTAACATGGGCGACAAGCCTGGATTTGATCGGACGAACAATGTGGAACAAGTCGAGTGGACGAATATTCCTTCTGGGAAAGTCAAAATCATCGTGCGTGCGTATCATATCTTCAATCGAGCGTATCCCCAGCCCTACGCACTAGTATGGAGCATCAACCGCCCATCGAAGTAGTAAAGTGAGATATTGCTTCCGCCTCTAAGCAGGACGTGTTGGGTTATTTAAAGTAATTATTCGACTCGTGCTACAAACGGCAGTTCCCAACCAACGGAGTCTAAATTGTTCTCCTCGCTTCTCAAACCTTGCGTTTTCAGTCTCTCTTTCTATCTTTTCTTGTGCATCAGGGGGATATAATCACATGTTGGAAGACCCTCAATCTCGGAAATTGCCTCTCTTTACATCTGCATCTCCCTGAAGATTTTTATTTACTATGCTTCTTACCGAGACCTCACCTCAAACTTTCCGGGATTTTATCACTTGGTCTGTAAAATTGTCGTCTTTTTATGGGCTCTTTCTCCAGTCTTATAGCCTCTCAAATTGATCACCATGAGGTTTATTTACCTATAGACAGCGCGTAACCCACTAGGCTCTTTTATGTTAGGCATGTGATAGATTGCTGAGGTAGCTTAGGTAGTTAGTTCTCAGTGTCGAGGAACTTCTTCCTTCTCTGTTGTTGATACTTTGCTTGTCTTGTTTCAATACAATAATTAGTTTCGCTAGAAAATGGAAGTTAGCATAGGCTTATAGTATTATATCGTACACGGTACAGAGATTCAGCCGCGGGAATATCCAGTGGCTGGGGCTATACTTTGCTACAGTAACTCTGCGTAAGCAGAAGCTGCGTTATGTCTATCGCCTAGCTGGTTGGAAATTCATTCTGCCTAAACCCTTCAAATTGGGCATTTTAATGCAGACACCCCAATTGTTTTCTAATACTGCCCGACTTTAAATGCATGAGACTCACGCTATATCGCCTGGTAATAAAGTGGTAAGACAAAGAGCCTACTATACCAATACATATGGAATAGGAAGATCTTTAAAATTAACGTCGGTATGGTAATATCCATGAATACTCCCGGGTAGGCTTACAAATATGGTATGCGTGCCACCTAGTTCATAGTCGTGTAAGAAAGCTCTAGAAGAGCGCTTAAAGACGAAAACTAAAGCTATAACCCCAAGCTGTGCTAATATATATACCTAGGGCAATTTCTATTTGAGCTGTAGATATATCCGCTTAGCATTTTTTTAATAGCTATCTTTAACAAAGTAGAATCACGCCTTCTCCCCTATTTTGTAGGGGTTTATGCATATTCAACTGGTATTTCTTCACTAGAGTCTTTCCCCGTACCTTAGAAAAATCTACTGAGCCTACATCGATGCTGAGTAGGGTGCTGCGCTTACCGGCCTTCTTGTCCTATGCCTGGGGAATATATTCTCATTTCTTGTATCAAAGGTTTATCTGGTAAATAGTAGATAAAATTCCCACTTATATAGGCATATTCAAATCAACGTTGGTAAATTTGACTAGCCGCTGGTGCGGGATATTCGAGAAACAGGTGAAATATTCTGGTAGCTAAGGGGGAGAAAACAAACTCTTGTCGGCTAGCAGTGGTCGACAGCGGAAGTACTGTCACCCCAGTGGCAGGAGGGTATGATCTCAATGACGAAGTATTATGAGGTAATCGGGTCGTCGAACGCGGCCACCAGGCGGTGTCCGGGTTCCCGGGCGTAATCTCAACCCGATTATGTGCATATTCCTAGTTACACAACATGGTGGGGGATGTGGGGGCACCACGAGATCTACCTAGAAGGTTTTCCCCAGGTCCACTTTTTATACTATTACGGACACGCAATCCTAGCAGGCGAAGTTTCTTATGTACTTCTATGACACAGAAGGAAATCATATCTAGAGAACGTGTCTTGATAGAATATTCTAGCAGTTATAAAAGTACAATGTACCTTAAATCTGCGATGTGCCTGAGACTGCTTTTTCAGCGTCGGGAATACCCCCCTTCTCTGCCTGAATATCGTCCTTTCCCGTCAGGCCATAATCTGTCTCAAGCTCCTTTCGAAAGGGGACCTCTTTTTCAAGAAACACCAGTATACATTCAAGACCGCAGAAAGCAATCGATACTTCCTAGACAAGCTTAAGGGAGTCAGAAAATACCCCGATAACATCGCTTTTTACCGGGTCACTTAAGCTGTTAATGAACATATTAGACGCATGCTCGTAGGCGTGACCGTTGGAGAATATTTGTCGCACACTAGCATCTGAAATACGATGGGCATATTGGTTAAGCTGATTGTTGAAGATGCCAGCGGAAATAGCCACCAGATAATCGATTTCTCACTCGGTTATAAGCGGTTAGTTTATCCAGTGTAGCGCGGAAATAACCGCCTATTCAGAGATAGTCTCCAATACCTAATAGAGTAAGGTTAGCCCATCCGATCTCATCACTTTCCCCATTCTCCGCTTCCGAAATTTCCAGGAACACGATCCGATCGCGTGGCTTGGGGTAATCCAACCTCGGACAATCTCATCCTGGCCCTTTCCTCGGGATGCTTGCTATCTCACTACTCCTGCTCGCTCAACATGTCTTCTCAAAGTAAGAGACGATTCCTACCAGTCCTATCAATCTAATCAACCCTAGTGACCACCCTCCAGGCCATCCTGGACAAATTCCGAGCTGATCTGAAAACCTTCGAAGAATTCTACCGCCAGCTCCATAGCTCTCCGGAACTGTCAGGCCAGGAGGAGCAGACCGCTTTGTATGCCTCAGAATACCTGAAGAACCTGGAATTCGAAGTCCACACAAACATTGGCGGGTACGGCGTTGCCGAAGTTCTCCCAAACGGAGATAGGCCCACTGTTCTCCTACGCACGGACACGGATGCTTTGCCGGTCCAAGAAAAGACCGGACTAAGCTATGCGAGTCGGAAAACCGCCTGCACCGCTGATGCGGTCGAGACGCCGGTTATGAATGCCTGTAGCCACGATGTTCATACACGGAAATACTAACGTACTTACTCAGAGGCAGCCCAACTATGAGGTAAGCAATCGGCCAACTCCATACCAAATACCCAAAGTAGAAAATGGCCATTCTCGGATGGACCGGTATAAATGCGGGGTATACATGAGGGGTCCCCGAGTTCAATGTCGGGCCAGTAGCCAATCAGGTAAATATAGCAGTGTGAATACATGGCTCTGGAGTTGGTGTTTTGTTATGCTATGGTCTACTAGGCTTTGCCCCCTCAGGCATTGATATAAATAGGTAAGTATTCTGCTGCAAAAGGTTACATCTTGCAGATTCCACCGTTAACCCAAGAAAGCTTCGCACCTTATTTGTGTCTACCATGCGGGTTAACTTTGGGGTAGCAACCCTGACAACAACCCTGGCCTCATGTTGCCTTGGCTCGGCCATCAAAAGCGACAAACCTGAAATTTATTCCTTGTCACAACGTGACGGCAGCCTTCCAATTTACAAAAATGCCTCATATTGCATCGATGAGCGCGTCAAAGATCTCCTAGATCGAATGACGCTTGAGGAGAAAGCTGGTCAGCTCTTTCAGACCATGCTCTTCCAAGGTCCGCTTGATGCAGTGAAGACTGGAGGTGTGGCGCATAACAGCACAAACAACATGATCGGCGAAAAGCACATGACGCACTTTAACCTCATCGCGGACATCACCAATGCAACGGAGACGGCCGAATTTATCAATCTTGTCCAGGAGCGAGCATTAAACACCCGGCTTGGCATTCCCGTCACAATGTCAACTGACCCTCGCAATGCCTTCACCGAGAACTTGGGTACTGGCTTCAAAGCCGAAGTCTTTTCCCAGTGGCCGGAGAGCCTTGGCCTTGCTGCGCTTCGGGACCCCTCCTTGGTGAGGAAGTTCGCTGAAGTCGCAAGAGAGGAATATTTGGCTGTTGGACTTCGTGCTGCGCTACACCCACAAGTCGATCTCGCGACGGAACCGCGTTGGGCCCGCATCGCTAATACCTGGGGGAAAACAGTACACTGACTAGTGAACTGATCGCCGAATATATCAAGGGGTTTCAAGGAGACAAGCTTGGACCTCGGTCTGTCAAGACTGTCACCAAGCACTTCCCTGGAGGCGGACCCATGGAAAATGGCGAGGATTCTCACTTCACATACGGCAAAAACCAAACCTATCCCGGAAACAACTTCGAAGAGCATTTGAAACCATTCAAGGCAGCTATCGCAGCTGGTGCTACTGAAATCATGCCATATTACTCCCGACCTATCGGCACTCGTTACAATCCAGTTGGCTTCTCATTCAACAAGGAAATCGTGGCAGGTCTCCTTCGTGGTAAGCTTGGATTCGGCGGCATTGTCTTGACAGACTGGGGACTCGTTACAGACGTTGATTATGCAGGAGAGCCTATGCCTGCCCGAGCCTGGGGCGTCGAGAACCTCACTGAGCTTGAGCGAGTAGCAATGATCCTCGACGCCGGATGTGATCAGTTTGGCGGCGAGGAGCGTCCCGAACTGATTGTTCAACTTGTCCAAGAAAATGTCATATCGGAGAGCTCTATCCATGATTCAGTTGGTCGTCTTCTGAGAGAGAAGTTCATACTCGGTCTCTTTGACAATCCATTTGTTGATCCTGCTACTGCTGGCCGAATGGTTGGAAACGAATACTTTGTTCGTCTGGGCAGAGAGGCGCAGAGAAAATCATACACCCTTCTCAGCAATCACCGAAATACTCTTCCCCTCAAACAGCTCGACGAAACCACTAAATTCTATATTGAAGGCTTCAACACTTCTTTCATAGAAGCTCGGAACTATACTGTTGTTGATACCCCAGAGGAAGCCGATTACGCCCTTCTCCGGTACAACGCGCCTTATGAGCCTCGCCCTGGCGCCTTCGAGTCCAACTTCCACGCCGGCTCGCTCGAATTCAATGCCACAGAGAAGGCTCGCCAAGCTAAGATATACTCAACTGTACCCACAATTGTGGATATCGCCATGGACAGACCCGCTGTAATTCCGGAAGTTATCAAACAGGCAAAGGCCGTCTTGGCAAATTTCGGGAGCGATAGCGAGGCTTTTCTGGATGTTGTATTTGGCGTGAGTGTCCCAGAGGGCAAGCTGCCATTTGATTTGCCAAGGTCTATGAAGGGTGTTGAGGCGCAAAAGGAAGATGTGCCATTCGACACAAAAGACCCGGTGTTTAGATATGGGCATGGCTTGAGCTATGTTGAAGACTGTGTGGACGGCGGTAAAGGCTCTTGAACGATATACATGTATGATGAGTCAATCTCATTACAGATCTAGTTTTAGGAGTGGCAGTGGACAAACAGTGTCACGATTTCTGACGTTATTGAATATATATAGGGAAGGGATTCCCTATGACTCATATGGCAGAAGAAGAGTGATCTTCAATCTGAGTTGTGAGTTTTGATCCAGTAACAATTTCAAGGAGCAAATCTTGGTTTAATCACCTTTGTAAGAGCATTGCTTTCAATATACTTTGTAGGTCTAAACAGACAGGAGACTCCATCGTTACTTTTCATTGGCCAGCTTGCTGTGGAGTGTATCCACCTGGGGAGCCAATCACGGGATTTCGCAACGGCGCCGGGACTGATACATACTTTGTGGTTGCCAAGCTCTGTGGGTCCATATAGGCCGCGCACACTATGTAGGGCGTCCCCTATCGTTGCTTGTTCCCTTGTATAGATCGGCTGCGGCTATCTACTCATCTTCACTGCAACGCTGAACTATCTGATGGATGCATATAAAGAGTCTTCGGCTTCTGCACAGGCAGCGGCTAGCGCTACAAGGGCTATAATGGCAGTTGTGCTGCCATTCGCGGCGAGCCTAATGTACACCAATTTAGGTATTCACTGGGCAAGCTCGCATTTGGGGTTCCTGGTCTTTGTATTGGCTTGGATACCCTTTATTTTCATCGAGTATGGCAGATTGATCAGGCAGAAAAGCGGCATTGCTGTAGAGCCGCAGGAATAGATAGACGAGCCACATTGAAGACGAACTTGAGGCTGGCGTGACTTTATTTATAATTATAATATTCTTATGTATTGCGTATTACCGATCCATAGGGGGTTGCTCGGGGGCTTGAAGAGGACCCTTGGTGCTTTGCCCTCCTCGGAATTTAGTCAACCACTCAAGGTTATCTGCCATTGTCTGGTTCCATTGGTCTTCAGAATCAAACAAAAGTTGCCTCGCTTCGAGCTGAAACATTTCGTCCGTCGGAATGACACCATCTCTCATCATTTGCTGTGCATAATGACTTAAATGACGAGTGAGCACTTCCGTGTAAGAAACCAAATTGCCTTCCTGAACTGGCTGAAGCCCTGGCTCTAAGGATTCCGGTATCGCTTCCGGTTCTCTTGCTCCATCCAGAAAACTGGCGCGGGACAGCATTTGGGACAGGTGATCGTTCACAGCTCCGTTCGTGGCGGAGAAAGGCACGAAAGTTCGCGATTCGAAGTCGAGCAGGTATGGAGGAACACTATGTGTGACTTGCGCAGCAATCTCTGGCGGAAACTCATGATCACCTATCCAGTTGGCCATGGTGCAGCCTTGGCGGAAGTGGAATGTTAGATGGTCGGCTCTTTCGTCCCAGTTGGACATCCGGCCGTCACAAAATCCACAACGGGAAGGAATTTCTGTTATAGCGTGTTTCCAATCGTCGATTAATGGAATGGTTTCGAGTCGGTAGAAGACGCGCATATGCTGAACTAGGTGATCCTTTCGCCGAAACGAACGTATTTCTTGCTGACATAGTCCGTGTTTGTGCTCGTCTAGGTGCTGGAATGTTGGATCCAGCTGATTGCAATAGGCACAATGAGCGCGACCTGTTGATGGTAGCACCACAGAGCCTCCAAAAGGCGCGCATGTCCAACTTTCTAGGTTGAGATGAAGAGACTTCTCGTGACGCATCCAGTCGAATTTATTCTTGAATTTATCACAGCAGAATGTGCAACAAAATACGCGGGGTTGATTGGCCGAACTTCGCTTTTTTCTGGTTGTGTGAGCCTGCTTCTTTCGAATTCCGGCAGATTTCTTGTCCGACGCGGCCTGGCTACCATTAGACAAAGCAGACACCCCAGATCGGTTAGAGCGCCGAGAGGATGCACTGGTAGAACTTTCTCCACTTGTTGTTGATGGTCCTTGGGATGCTGGACGACGATAGTTTTGGAAAGGATTACCTGGCACAGAGCCAGGCGTGACATGCGATTGATTTACCCCTGAGTAGCTCGAGGGATTTTCAAGCGCATTCTGAATGGCTGATAGACTGGCTGCTTCGCCTTCGGGGGGAGATTCCTTCCAGCGTTCCAAGGGATCCGCGGGACCTAAAGTAGGTGGTATGAAGACAGCATTTGTTCGTTGATTTGTCTCCTGTATCATATACCTGCTTTTCCGCCGAGGAAGTCCACTGTACCCTCGTAGTGAATGGTGTGGTAGGGGTGGTGTTGAGGTTAATTCCCTGTTCTCGAAAGTCCCAGATAGTAATGATATATCAGGCGAAGTAGAATGGCCGGAAAACAATTGATCATGTTGTGTTGGTTCAGTCGGTGGCAAGGATTGTAACAATCCATCGTTCATCCAATCAAAGTAGCCGTGCTGTTCATCACTTGAGCCATCATGTTTTGTCGTGCATGAGTCAGAAGTCAGATGCAGAAACTTCCCATGTGCCGAGGCACTTTCTAACGGGAAAATTGAATCATTGGAGGCAAAAACATCAGGGGAATTATAGTTTGTGTCATCCCCCCAACAATGCAGCGGATCCGCGGATTTTGGCAGCGTATGTGCACATCTGTTGTCGAAGTATCCAGGATAATTGAGGAAATTGTCATTTTCAGGTAGAAAATTATTATTCACGAGATCTGAAGATAGGTTAGTGCGCTGATTCTCGGACCTTCAAGTACGTAGAACCTATACATTGCGAATCTCGGCGCCGTGGAGCAGCCATCTCCACAAGTCTCTTGCTCCCCTTCTTCAGTAACCGGCCATGTAGAAGCCGAATGGTTTGGATAAATAATGTATTCTGCCAATTAAATAACGGTAGCCGCTGGTATGCTTGAACACAACGATACGAAGAAATGGAAGTGGTGGGGGAAAAATTGCCCAGGTGGTCCGGGGCGTGGTGAATCATCGGATGTGGGGCGGTGTGCCCAGGTGTGCTCGGGACCGCAACGCGGCGCCGGGGGCTGTCACCATGCTTTGTTCTACTTGTTGGCGAGTTCAATGAGACAGATGTTCTTATATTCCATGTTTTATGCATCACTGTATCTGTGAACCTGATCCGAAACCATAACTAAACCTTGAGCTCCTTCTCGGGTACCACTCGCGCCCATTCATGCTCCACGCGTCCATACATCATATCGCCCAGCCAGCCCTTGATTTTCCCTGTAATTTCGGCAGGAGTGCCATCGGGGCCGGTAGGGATGTTGATGTCTTTTCCGCGGTGGTGAATGAGAGCGATAGGGGTAATGAACCACTACAAATCGATTAGTATCTCACTGTTTTCCCCATAGACTTGGATGAAAAACCAATACTTACAGCTGTACCAGCAGAGAAGGACTCCAGGAGTCGGCCTTCCATGGCTGCCTCCTGAATTTCACCGATGGTGAACTTGCGCTCGGTGACTTCGACCTCATCCTTCAATCGCTCTCTCACCAAGTCAAGGCAACTTCGACGTGTGACTCCGTTCAAAATCAACTGATCGTCCAATGGGGCTGTGATAAGCTCCTTCTTGCCGTCCTTGCGTTTCCAGACCACGAAGAAGTTACTCCCGCCAGCCTCGGTACAATCACCTTCACGGCCATACAGCCATAAAACTTGGTGGTAGCCTTGACGGAAGGCTTCTTGCGTGGCTAGCACCGACGGTCCATAGTTGGCGCCGACCTTAGCGTACCCGAATCCGCCAACCCAAGAGCGTACCATATCGTCAGGGCTCGTCAACAGGCGCTTTCCGCCTATCGGCGTATCCATGCGAGCCATATAACCAACAATGATATATAGTAGCGCCTCCGTTGGGCGTACCATGCCGAGTTGGGAGTCCGTGCCGATCATGGTTGGGCGGACGTATAAGAAGTCTCCAGCGCGACTCTTAGGAAGCCACTTGGCACCATCCACCGAAAGCAATGCAAATATGAGCTTTTCCAATTCATCCGGGTCGAACTGAGGAAGGGAAATCCGCTCGGCAGACATCAGAAGGCGGCTCGCATTGCGCTCGGTTCGGAACATTCGTAATTTTCCGTCATGGCCACGGTAGGCCTTGAGCCCTTCGAAACATTCGTAGGCGTAGTGGAGGCAGGATGCACTCGGAAGAATGCTGAAAGGACCGTAGGGCTTGAGCTCTGGGACTGACCAGCCGCTCTCGACATTCCAAGATGCAACAATCATGTGGTCGGTACATATCGTTTTTTTGTTACTGGCAAGGGTTTTGGCATCGGGCACATCTCGCGGGGTGGTCGTGTAGGCATATCTTAATTGCGACGCATCGAGCGGTCGCACATCATCCATATGTGAGCCCATATTTGAACAGATCAACTAATAATAGGCAAAGCACTGATCTTCTATATTGTTCGTTCTCTCGGCAGCTTATATATAAATCACTTGGGAGTCTCGACCATCACTTTGATTTTCTGCTTAGTGAGAATCATGAAGATCCTTTCCTAGGGCGTGCCACTACATAGGGCGTGTATCAACACGCCCTATGTAGTGGCACGCCCTTCGAAGTGGGTCCGGGTAACCTGCCGGCCCACATGGTGTTCTCGGTCCTTGGCGCCCATCGCCGAATCCACGATATGGCCTCCAATCTCGAACCTTGGTACCAATATTTATCGGCCCTTAATACCGGGATGAGTACTGAGATCAGCGATCATAAGATAGTGGATTTTCCGGTTGTCTTCAAATTGTGGGGGAGAGGGCATCAGAGGAAGGTCTGTTCAGAAAGAGCCGGATCATACATCATGCATTATGCCGTCGGGTCCAATACGAACAGCCTGAAATCAATCAGAGCTGCATAACTGAGACTGGATTGGATATGCAGGCCACGCTTGAATACCTGAGGCAATCCCCGTTGACCGCCATGATATCGATTCCCCCTGGTTTACCTGTGTTTCACCTCGAACTTGTCATATAAAATTCTTCTACTTTTCATATATTCAATAACAGGGATCTTGCATTGAAATTCCTACTCCTAATATCTTTCAAGGTCTGTTAGCGGACGCAGATCGTTTTTGCACAATATGTATTTTGAACCATCAATGAACCCTTTTTGGAGTGCCACGGAACCATAATCTTGCCATCTCATGGTAGCCCTTGTGATCTGGATGTATCCCATCGGAGAATCCCTGAACGTCCGGTCCATCCGATGTGTCCATGTCCACCAAAACGACCTGCCTCTGTTCAGTCGCCTTCTGTTGGGCCAAAGCGCGAAACTGGTCGTTGACGCGCATCACCGCCGAGTTCACCTCTTTGTCCGCACTGGGAAGCAAAGTAGAGAGGATGATGGTGGACTGAGGGGAAGCCAGCCACAGATAATCGAGCATAACACCCATGCGGTTACCAGCTTCTGTAATACTGAAAAATTGGAGGCAGTCATTCGAGCCGGCGTTAACCAAGAAGACATGTGGTGACAAGGCTTCCACGGATTTTCGAGCCTTTCTCTCGATCTGGTCAATTCTGAAGCCACGCCAGCCCTCGTGGTCATTATTGGACATCAGTCTATCTTTTCGCGAGCCCATCATGCGAGCATTGATGCTATCGACCCGGAGCATGTGCAAAAGCGATTTTCTATACCCCGCCCCATGGGATGATCCAATGCCGCGAGTAACTGAACCGCCGAGGGGCATTAACCGTAAGGCAGCTTCGTCAGCGGATGTAGAGAAATGATCTAGGGCATTTCGCAGTTAGCTATAGGCTCGACATTCGCCATCCGTTGGGTCTGACTAACCACCTTCTGAAAACGATGAGCCTGACTGAGGCGGCTCAAGGGTAGACAAATAGCGATTATTGGTTCCGGGAACTGGGAAGCAGTGAAGGGAAGAACTGCGCGACCGGTCGATTATTAGCTGCGAAGGAGGCGAATGGATCGGTCGTCGCATCTTGTCAAGAGGGCAAAATATTTACACGGCACGTATCATGCAGAACTAACCGAAGAATAGAAGTGGCAGGGGTGAGTTGAAATATGTTTAAGCATTGTCCTCGGGCCTCGGCGGAATATCAAGGTGCCGAGCCTGCGGTACTATCGTCCAATTCACTTGGAAGTCAAGGTATTTATTTGTTTTAATCATACAGGTGCGACAGCCAGAATCAGTTCATGGCGCAAGAGCTTTACGTCTCGAATTGGTCTAGAAGTCAGGCCATATAATGAAACTCAAAATTTGCCTGCAAAGGTAATCTCAAACTACATAGGCACAGGGGACTCACATAAAGTATGGTCGTTCTCACGCGATGGATGAAACATGCAAGCCCAACAAACTATCACAAACCCTCACTATTTTGGTACAAACCGCGGGCACTGTTTTGGGGGAGAACGTGGCGAGACAACATCTATGAGCCATCGCAAGGGCCTTTAAACATACTGGTGGGAAGTAGTAAGACCAAGAATAGTGGAATCCAGCCCCGAAAACCATTCTTGAGGCGCCCGAGATAAGGTGAGCATGGCGCGTCTATCAACCTCCGGAGTTAAGATCATGCCGATAGAGTCCCTGTGAATAAGTATCTCTGACAGCATCCTCTAAAAACTGCATCTCAACGGCAGGCTGGAAGAGAAGTTGCTGCAGAGATGAATCGGTCCACGGAATTCCCGCTGTTGAAATTGCGTCTTGTGGCATGTTTTGGGGAAGCTGTAGTTGTAATTTGCCATCCAGGATCCACTGAAGTCGTTCATAATTTCCTTTTTTTCGTTTTGTGCGCCATTCGTTGATGCATGCCTCGAGAGTCCAGCTCAGAAGAATGATAATGGCGCCGGTGCCTAATATCACAAAGAGTGATAGGATGCTTAAGTTCTGGAGCATGCTGAGTGCTTGAACCTTCTGCTGTGTGCACATTATGGGCCAGCCATTTTTAGTTTCCCTCCTGACTCGGGCCCCTGAACGGAGGTTTTGGGGACTAGCGGCGAATTCAAGAATAGCGCGCTGGAGCTTAGCGAGGCTGACGGAGAACCAGCTTCTAACTTCAATTATCTATTGATCGTCTGGTAGATAGTGTTGCCACTCGTCGAAAATAAGCTTATTGGCCTGTAGTGCCGAACTTCCTCGCCATCCGATTGACTCCTTAATATTGCTGAAGTAGGGATTAATAACGTTATAAATGCGTTTTGTAGCGGCGAGTTGTTGTGGATTGTATCCGATTGTGGAAAGACTGTTACGTAAAGGAGGACATCCGGTGAGCTTAGTGTAGTTAGTGAAGGTGGAGTTATTCTAGAGGTTCTGGTTGTAGAATTGGTGTTGATCTATATAGGCCATTATATTGACGTATTCTAGGCTCGGAGTTAGATACCTAATGGACACAAGCCGTTGGAGTTGTATATACCATCATTTAAATAAATAATACTTCTATCACCGAATGTGTGCTTTAGGTGTGATGAGAAAAAAGGATCGTAGATTGGCTGTATGCACTGGAAGTTGTTCGGAGAAAGATATATCAAAGTGATATCTCCTCTAGTTTGATTGAGCTCTGGTCTTGGCGCCAATGTATTTTCTTCCACTTCCATCTGGGCAGAGATAACACTGGTAAGATAGTTAGCATGGGCTAACAGCAAAATCACACAGATTCCCACTTCAAGTCATATCCAAGGGAGAAATTTGTTTGGACTGTTTCATACTCGAAGGTCCAGTTTTGGACACTCAAGTTGGAATCGGACACAATAGCCTTGGGTCTAAAATAGTATTGAAGGATCCCCCTAACACTGGAGTTTGTGTAATCAACTAAAGTATCATTATAAGCGGTTGGTGGAACGATAGAGCATGTGGTAACTCTACAGAACTTGACTCTGTCCTTAGGAGGCGTATTGATACCCAAATCTTCATGCGAGTCAATAAAATCAGTGTCGAGCTTCAACGCCACATTGTTATACTAACACCAACCGGCGGCAAATGGATAAAGTGTATCTGTCCTTGTTGAAAAAGAGATTTCTTTCTTGACGAATCTCTTGCACTGTGGGAGGGTCTCATTAACTTGATAACACGCTTGGGCATAATTGACTGCCGAGGTCGAGTCTAAGAGAAACTTGAACAGGTAATTTTGATAAGCGGTTGTGTTATTGTTCGCTCCCGGGAATTCCTATATGCCATAGTTATTAGAGCGTACGAGTGAGGCTGTTCCGGTAGCCTCTACTAATTTAGATGAAAGTATGGCAGCTGCTGCCCACGTAAAGGAGAATAGAATACCCCAAATGGATAAGCCCTAAGATCGAAGAAGGAGGACCCAGAGGGTATTTTTTGGTGCTATCTATAACTGCCGTCCTTAAGAACCATTGGTAGGTTTCCTTTTCCATTTGAAAGGCAGCTTAATTAGCTCCCACCATGTACCACTAGCACTCTCAGGGTTGCGTAACATCACTTGGTGCTGACGATGTAGGGCATCAACATCTTTCTGTGTAGCTCTGATCTTATAAATAAGGAAGGTGAAAATCATTAGAAGCGAGTGCCCACAAAGGCAAGAAAAGTGCCGAGAAATGCTATTAGAAAGTTGCTATCTCTCTGGCTTAGAGTCAAAGTTGCGCCACGGACACTGTTGTGATCGTAGTTGATCTATGGGCCGGTAAAGTAAGAGTAAGAATCCATTGTGTCGACTGGGGTTCAAGCTTATGCCAATTAAATATTCTTTCTATATAGGTCAAAGAATAGCCATATCGAAGAGATAAAAGTGAGAATGCTCTCCAAGGAAATCCTGCCTGAAGCACGAGGGACCTATTTGTATGAGGCACCTACAATAAATGTTTTGTCTAGACCACGCTAAACCCACAGACTACCCGTGGGTTTTATTGTCCTTGGTGAACTAACCTATTGGTATCCTAAAGCATGCCAAACTACAAAGGAGAAAAGTATCTTAACAAATTTGCTGGGGGTTCACGATGTGATTATTTAAGTTTAAGCGGTACCACTAAATCATTTGCGCTTCTACAGTTTGGTTGTATTAAGGAAAAGCGTTAGATTCATCTTTGAAAAGGCCACTTATCATAGCGCTTATTATATTAGGACATACAAATTTTAATCTACGTCAATACGATTATAATGATTGGCTAGACACAAACCTTCCATTGGTGCATATGCTATCCCAGACAGTATATGATAGAGAGAAAGAAATCAAGCACTGTACATATTAGCACATGTATTTAGTACATCACTATGACACTAATAAGTGGGATAACCATCGAAAATTAATACAATCATATCAAAATCGAATCGCTTCGAGACATTCCAATCCAAAGGAATGCTCTAAAATCTAATGTTATCAGGCAAGTCTAGCCCACACTAGTGTAATTATTACGACAATATCACATATAGTATTTCATGGATTGATATGAATGAAGAGTGGGATGGCTTCCACTTAGATAAAACCCATTGTGTGCCAGCTAGTGCAAGATTTAGTGACGTAATACACTTCTCTGAGTCTTTTATACACTGAATTTAGGTGATAATAATTGTTTTATTTATGACAGCTCAGTCTAAGTGTATTAATACTGGAAGGCTCTTCATACAAAAAGAATAAATTATGCAGAGAAGAAAAGGGAAAAAGAAAGAAAAACAACAACATGAAGGTGGTCAGGTTTGTATGTAGGTGGGGTGAGGGTGTAGACCTAAGTCACCCATCTGTTTGTGTTTGTTGATGTGATCTAGGCGTTATATAATCTTTGTTCCCTAAAAACTTTATTTTGGTAATGACTATTATAGTATAACATAGTTACCTGGCTGGTTGTGAAATTTGGCACTAAACGGTAAATAGCTTACTTAAATTGCAGTCCCGTCTCTCTCTCTTCTCTATGTTAAGATTACCGTACCTATAGCCTATAGGGTCGGTATCTATCAGGTGATGGCATTTTAACTTCAGTCCATAATGTCTGACTATCAAGTAATAAACCATCTATTAGCCTCTGTTGCGTTCGACGCGCCCACAGCCCATCTGACTAATAAATTGTAATCAATCGTTAGCCCACTTGGAGTGTGTGTATGTATTAGGGAATGTATATATGTTTACGGTAGTCTAACCTGACTTGTTTGTGAAGGTCTGCTATAACATGGATCTAGACTGACTTCGGCGATTGGTTGCTACTATCACATTTTTCCTCACAACACCAAGGTATGGTAGGTTCTGCTGATCTAGAACAATCTATAACAACCTACAACGATCTGGTATATTTAACCTTCTCTAAATGATGAGCAATGCGACTATCGTCTATACTATCCAAAAATGTAGAAAGGACTTAAGGTGATACAATCTATATGCCGTAGACAGATCACTTGGTGATTTTCATAACGGTCATATGGATATGGAAAGAAAGAATAGACTTCGACGTCCTATCGCCAATTACACTTTGTCTAAGTATCTGGTGTCCGTTAGTATAGATTAAATTTAAGCTCCTAGCCAGTTAATACTAATTGGTTATATGCAAGCGGAGTGTGACTTTGAAAGTAACGAGGAACCGTAGATAGCCGAACCACGGACGAATTTAGCATAAAGTTGCGGGCTCGGATGATCGACGTGCGTCATGTGGCGTACCCGAAATTGGCGGCGGTCATCTGCTTCGGACGCTAAATCTTAAATTAACGTAAGGGCCAAAAAGGTTTAGTTTCTTCCTTCTAGTGCGTAATAGCAACCCCATGACCTAACCTAGAGAATGATTTCTGGTTTGTTAAGGCCGTTTGTTGCTATATCCTTTAGGCTCTAGTCGTCTTTGTCTTTCTAATAACTATAGATTTCCGGATGAAGCTTTCCCGGGCTACGGATCCTATTATGATCTTAGCTCTCAACAGTTTTGCCGCTATAGAAAAGTAATACGAACTTATGTAAAACTAAAGGTAAGTAACTAATAGCGACTACCGCTCTAGGCTAATGTTACGGGCACACCCGTCACTAATCAGTGGTGACTAGGCTTCCGCGAAGCCCAACGTTGGGCCCGGACCCCGGGCCCAAAGCCTAACCTATAGTGGGCCGGGGGTCGAACCTTTGGGCCTAAAGCCTAACCCCCGGCCTCTCGTAGGCCCCTATTAGACTCCAACGAAAGCCTACGATTGTATAAAAAGCTGGTCTTAGCGTTTATAAAGCCACTAAGTTATTAAAATAAATAAACTGTTTTTTACAACTATTCTAGTTTATCTATTAAATATTACTACATTTTCACTAGAATAAGTTAGAAATTTTATAAAAACACTCTAACTATAAGGCTAGTAGGCTTTATATTCTATTAATTACTAATAAAAATCGATATTTATTATCTTATAGTGGTGTTATATTAATTCGAGTATTTATTAACTATAGACTACTAGAAATATATATTTATAGTAGAGGGGAGTATATATATATGTAACGGATAAAGATCCTTACAACTAGAATATTCAGAACGGGCCATACAAGTGATCTATTAACAGATCGACATCGATTCGATGTCGATCCGAGAGGGGTTCATCAGGTGATATCAATGTCAGCATTATCATGTTGGTTTCCCTATAGTCAAGGATCCCTAAAGGACCCTTTTAATTCTAGCAAGAATTAGTCTTGGCACACTATATAATACATTATGTTCCCCTCTCAGTCATAGTGTCTTACCCGGTTGACAGGCCTTACACCTGAAAACAGTATACCTTTACAATATACTCCAGAATAAATATAAATATAATTAGAAATCTATTATTCTTACTTTATTTTCTATATAATTAATCTTGAAAGAAAGCCCTTTTTCTCTTTTCTTTTATCCTTATTTAATATATCTAATAACTTACCTAGTACGCGAATTATAGACGTTTATAGATATCCTTTATCCGACTAGGTAAAATATTTTTAAGAGAATCGCTATCGAATAGGCTAGGAATAGGCTATTAATAGGTTTTATAGGCTTTATAGACTTTTAATAGGCTATATCCACTTAATCTATACTATTTATCTAATAAGAAACTAGTAAGTATTTTCGTTTAATATATAGATTTATTATCTAGTTATCTATTATATTATTATAATAAGCTTTAACACTTTATAATATATCCCCCTTTTATCCTTCTATTATCACCCCTTACTATCGTGCCTTTTACTTATATTATAATATCCTAAAATTAGTAATCCGAGTTTATATTATCTTTATATAATATAGAATTCGATAATTTAGTATATCTTACCCCGACTAACTATCCTACTACCCCTTTTAGTAGCTAATAGACTTTTAATATATTTAAAAACTCCTTCCTCTAACTATCTATTCTTTTTATAGCGCCTTTAACGTTTTAACGTATTAGACCTAATAGGTGAAGGCTATTGAGATCCGCAGGACTCATTTCGGGCATATGAGCTGCGTCTCTGGTCATTATGGATCCTCATGGTGCCACTTTGGCCTACATAGACTCCCGTATCCGCCTGTATATAGCAGCCGGATACTCCCAGTCTAATACAAAACCATGCGATCCTTTCTGAATCACACTATATATACTTTATAACGAAATAAGTTATAGCGACTAGGTAGAATAATAGTTATAAACTAACTATAGATCTAAGAGTAAGATTAGTTAGGACTTAAACTACCTTTCGGATATTTAGAAGCACTATATCTAGATTATATATAGTATAGATAATACTATAAAAGTTATATATAAGCGTTATTCCGCGATCCTTAAATACTCTTATATTATTAAAAAGGATATTAATAAGAAGAATAGGTGTTATAATATAATAACTATAATAAGATATCTTAAGACATCTTTTTATATAAGGGTAGTAGACGTAAACTAATAGAAGGGGGCGATATTAAAATTTATTTAAAAAATAGTATTTTTATTTAGATTTAATACTTAACTTCGAAACACTAACTTTTATTAATTAAGGGTATATTAAGCGATAGAGTCTTTATATAAGAAGACTAGGAGTATAATATTCTCTAGTTTATTACTCTTAATCGGCTTTTATTCTATTTAGTTAAGTATTATATCTTTTAACGCTTAATCTTAAACGCCCGATTAGCCCTAAGCGATCTAAAACTCCTATTAGCCGATACTATTCGTTACCGACTATTCGCTTAGGTTAAAAAGTAGTAATAATCTACACTTAAAATACTTCTAGTAAACTTAAAGATATTAATTACCTTAGACTATTGGATATCTCTATTTAGGTGGTATTTATAGCTATTACTAGCTATTTTATTAATATAAATTAGGTATATTATAAGGTTCTTCTTAGGTTTAAACCCGTCTATAATACTTATATAGGCGTAAATATAAGCGGTATTCTCTTAGAGACCTTTATCGATTATAATATCTAAGACCGAATCTTTAGATTAACTATAGATAATTGTTACGGACATGCTAGTCACCAATCAGTTGTGGAGACCGCAACTACTAATGGGCCACCAAGAGCCAACCGAACGATCTGTTATCAGATCACGTGTAATATCCTATACTCTAGGATACCCGGGTATTTAGGGAAAAGAGAAACCGCGATCACGCTTAGTGAGTAAGAGTATGATTAGCCCTAAGTAGGACCCACTTCTAGAAGATATCCGGTATATATATACCTATATAGACTAGCAAACCTCTACCACTAAAGGGAGCTAGAACCGGCCTCCCGCTAGCCGTCCCGAAGTATACCTTTAGAACTTTAGTGACTCTTTACTTAATTATAACTTGACAAACACCTACAAGTAGACCAATACCTTAGTATAGATCTCCTTGGCGCTCTACCTAGCATCGTTCCTCGATACCTCAATAGGACCTATCCTATAGTAAGGCCTATTAGGCAATAGTACGGTTAAGAGAACAGATCGTTAACGTTAGAAACCTAAGAAGCATAAGGCAAGTATAACCGAACCCTTCTAACCTAACTGTGACCAGTTAGCAGTGCGTAACAATAATATATTAAATAATAAAATATTAGTTAATTCCCTATAATAGGCTTTACCTCTAGAGGTTAATATTATCCGAACCCCCTATCTTACGTATATTATGTAGCTTAGCTTAAACCGGCTTTTTAATTATCTTAAAGTAGTTCCGTTTAAAAATACTATAGAGACTAAATAGACCGACTATTAATTAGCCTTAGTCTTAGCAAGAATGGACTCTACATGCTAGAGTTGCCGCTCACACGTATATCTGGATTACTAGTCCTTATTGTTGCAGCTTGCTCCGACATTAACTAACAATCAGATATTTAACACGCAGCAGAATTTATTCCGCTCCTCTACGCGAGAAAGTCTAGGTCAAGTTTTGTGTAATCTGTTAACTGTACCAACGTCCTTGCTTGGAGAATAATAGAAGTCAAATCAAAGATACTAAAAGTCTAGACATTAAAACAACCTATAGTGGCACTAAAAATACAATTTCGGCATTGACAATCTAGCGGAAGTTGCTAAAATCAAATTAAAAGACAGTCAAAGATTAGGGCAGATTATTTCAAACACGTAGTAGACACAGGATGACTTGCACCTATAGGAGCAAAATACATAAGCATAGGATACATAGGGAGATAAGATTTTTTTAATGTAGACCTTGCAACAAGTAGCCATCGAGTCGCAGGAAGTAGCGCTGCAGCAACGGTTCTCAAACTCGCATTTGGGCCCCCTCAAGTAGTATCTAACTGCAAGGCCCCTTTAGCGCAGTCACACACGTTCCTAGGAGCTGGCCCAGCATGTATGGCTCATTTCCGGTGCCGAGAACATGCTCAGAAGGAAGAATGGGCACGAATGAGGTACCATTGGGTGGGAAGATACCGGGTTGGCTGAAGCTTGCGATATAGGTGGAATGGGTGCCATGCTGAACAGCCAGCCAGTTAATGAGTTCTGAGATCTCAGTTGTCTGTGTATATCTAGACAATCCAAGAAAAGCACCTGTCAAACTGGTTTCTAGATAAAGGGTTTCGTCCAAGAATTCCGTAGCATTCGTAGGGGAGAGACTTGTGAAGTTGCACTTGGGAGATTGGAAACCCGTGATGTTGGAGCCAACGCTCTCGACGAGCAGAGCGCCCCTGTAGTTCTGTTGTGCCATACGCCGGATGTTGATATAATAGTTTGCATTGGAGCTGTTTGGTGCATTGGAGAAGAAGGTCTGATTCAATGGGATGGAGGAGTAGAAGAGATAACTGTAGGCCTGGATAGCTGAGGCGTATTGGACAACTTGGATGTCGGTAGAGTTCGAGCAGTTACTGTTAGACACGGCAATGCTGGTTGATATGCCGCTGAGGAAGAGAGTCCCAAAACGTAAGAAGTGCATAATTGATTTGATATATGGGCTGACTGTACTATAGCGACTGTAGTCCAGTATGACGGTATCTGCAACATCAAAAGTAATTCTATGTTAGCACCAGAAACGCCCTCCCATTTTATAACGCTCCGTCTCCTTTCTAGCAATTCCAAAAATGCCGCTCGAACGTTAAGATAATGTTCTAGGTTCTGGTCGATGTTGTCTAGTCCTGAACATAACGATCCGTAAAAACCATGGCAAAGCTGCTGCGGGATTGTCTCAACCATGTCATCATTATCATGCTAGTCAAATGGTCATTAAAGGGTTAGAGGGGGTGATTTCTTGGGACACTGAGACTAGGGCATGATGTCATACCGTACCGATCCCGTAACCGAAATTTAAGCCGCCTCATCGTAAGGAATTGTGACTGGTCAAAAACAGCCATGAAGTTAGCCGGGAAATGTTGTAATAATATGAACAGTAAAAACATGCAGTACAAACCTTTGCTCTAGACATGTCTGTGGCATTGATAAGACTCCTTTTCAGACCGTCAAGTGGAATTTCGATTTATATTTGACTCCTTGCTGAGAAGCCGACGAGGGAATTGTTACATTCCGTAAATGCCAACAATGGTTGAGGCGGCGTTCTCAATGTAGTAATTGGGCGGATAAGCCGGTTTCTAATCTTGCCGTGGTTCTGGTGGCTCTGGTGACACTGTGGTCTGAGAGGAATTCGAATAGCGGTGAGGAGCACTAGCCCCCAAAATTTCGGTGTTCCACCAATTAATAAACCCCTCAATGTTCTTGGGGTCTATCTGAAAACCACGTCCCGAGAGCTTCTTGTGAATGGAATACGCGCTACTCTCTTCCGTGGCTCATAGTTCGATGGGGTTTGAAAATGCTATGCGGTGCAGCGTCCATGAAAGCCTATGGCAACCCGCCAGCCTATGACTGGTATTCTATTGTGCTAAAGATTCGAAATGTTCTAGACAGAACTCGTGGGCAGGTCTAGATCATGGCGAAGGGAATGATCATTTTACTGACGTCCTCCTCACACGTCCCACCTTCTACGAAGCTTTCCGCGCCCAAGGTTGAAGAGTAGCATCATTAACCCTGCAATTGAAATCCAAGACCTAATTGTATTACAGCGAGAGCCGAAAACAGTGAAGGCACATAGACAGCCTCAGAACTTATCAGGCATATCTCACAGGTGGCAAAGCAGTTTAACCTCATGACTTGGTTAAGGTCACTCGGATCATTTTATCATCTAGTGGCCTTGGACAGGACAAGCTAGAAGCACCCTGAACAATAGTTTTTAGTATATTTTGGCGAAATATATCAGGTACGAACAACAAGTATTACCTAATCTTAACAAGTAGCCATCTTCCGTAAAAGGTAATACCACCTATAGCCGAAAGGCTCGTTAAGGTATATAGATCGTCAGTCTTTACTGAATAATAGGCTCAGCTACTATCCTAACTCTTGTTCTCTGAAGGAGGTTCTCGATATAATCAACGTCGCCAAAAGACTTTCTTCGTAATTATAGAATAGTCGAAGATAGCATGGAGTCTAGGTCTTGACAAGTACTGCAGTACCGGTACTTCAGGTGACGTACAATATGAGCAAAGGTACATAGCTGTCACGTTGCCCAGACACTCTTTATTACAATGTTCATTCATTGGGACCTCTGTGCCTAGAACATCAGACTATTATATTTCATCACATGCATTAGAATTTGAAAAGTGTTGAGTCACCATAACCTTTACCATGCTCTGCCCTTACCTAGAAGTATGATATGTCGCCAAAGTGTTTACCAGACAATCACACCTATGGTTGCCTATGCATTTCGTCACGACTGGACAATAAACTTTTCCATACATATAAATCCCTTCATCGGTGACCTTGAGAGCATCCTTGGCCTCAGGTCTTGATAGTGGTAGAACGCGGTAGTTGTTATCCTTGTCTTCTTTATGCGATGTCTTCCTATACCTTTACCGGTCCTTGGATCAACTATGATCGGAACAGTGTCCTCGGTGCTACTTTAACTCTAACTGAGAGTGGTGGGGGTTTCCTAACAACTTTTCTCGGCATTTTCATTGTCTTTGTGGGCGAAGGATTCTGGACGATTTTCTCCTTCATCCTTTTCGAAATCGGAGCTACAAAGAAACCGGTCGATACCCTGCATCTTCAGCACCAGGTGATCTTACGCAATTCTCAGGGTCCTTGGGCAAGTTTCTGGGAGCTCTTTATGCTACCTTGCGCGTGGGTGAAGAGACCTGCCGATGGTCCTCAAGGACGGCAGTTCCAGACACCGCCAAAACGTTTCATCTTGAATATTCTATTTCGATGTTGGAGCTTGTCTATTTGGGGTCTTCTGGTCTTCATTGGCTGGACAGCGGCAGGCATACTGTCATCTGAGGCTTCAAAATCTGCCGGAACAGACACTTTAGTGCGGTCCCACAACTGTGGCACGTGGACGATCCCAAGTGCGAGCAATGTGTCTGTTCCGCATTTCAGTTTCAAGCTTCTCTCAGACTCTATTTCAGCTGCCAGTTATACTGGACTATGCTATGGACCCAATAAAAAAGACCCGCGGTGCAAAAGTTTCATCAAACAACAAATCCCTTTTTCATCCAGGACTGACGCGAATTGTCCATTTGCTGATGGTTGGTGCTGGTATGGTGACAGCGCGGCGTTAGAGTTGAACACTGGTTTTATTGATTCCCATGAAGATTTGGGCATCAATGCGCCTCCAGGAGACAGAGTAAAATATCGCCGGGTTGCCACATGCTCTGTCATTAAAGGCGGCCGGTATGAAATGACAAATACCAGTGCTGGACCTATCTATCAATATTTCTACGGCCCCATTTCTGGTACTTCACAATGGACTTTCGTCTACCATAAAATCGAATCAACCTTCGGCGGTGGATATGACTTGAAGTGAGCGTCAGAGAAATTTACTAAAGTTTAATGTTAACTGTTGCCAGTTCTATTTTTGCGATTGCGGGCGAATCCAATACTTGGACACCGATTCCACAGCTCAATACGACTAAAGCGACAGGAGACATCACTTTGATATATCTTGCCCCGAATGGCGTCGAGTCCACGCAACAAATAAATGACCCTTTTTTCACATCACACAGAAGCGTTTCGCTGACTGCCGACGGTGTCAATTATACCTTTTACAAGGCTGATTGTATTTGAATCCCGACAGCCTGTGCTTATAAGGTATCTAACTTTTGACCTAGACCTTATGAACGTGATGGTCTGTGTAGATCAGCATCAATTCTGTAATCCGAGTCTCTGGAATGACTCCAATGTCGACAGCTGCACTACTCTCACCGGAGCGAACTCCTTGGTCGGCGCCCTCGATACGATCGGATATAATCCACGACAACTGGCTACCGCAAATCGGATTCAACATATTCTCCTTACCGACAGTGTATACTTTTCGATAGGAGGGCGGGCGAGCTCGGCACTGCAAGCAAATAGCCAGGTTTACAAATTGCTCCAGGCCCCTTTGCCAGACAATCAATGGGTTATTGAAGTCAAGAGCTGGTTTACCGTCAGCCTAGCTATTCTCCAACATGCAATTGTCGAGTTTGCTAGCGGCCCAACTAACCTCCCTCCGGAGGCTCGAATCATCACTCCAACCGCGAATGGTTGGCCCATTATGTGCAAGCAGCAAAAGGTCCCCAATCCCGGTACATACCAGAACTTCAGTATCCTGGCTCTGTCTCTGATATTTGGTATTGGTGCCATTATCCTTCTCCTCAGCTGGACTCTCGAGCCAAGCATCAACAAATGGCGCGAGAAGCATGACCCAGTCAACCATAAACGACTCCAGTGGATACTGGATAACAAGCTACAGTTACAGCGTATGGCCTACGAATATGCCAATATTGGCCAATGGGAGAAGAAAGGCGAAGGTGTCCCAGTCACTGTGCTAAATGGTCAAAGAAAGATATTCAAGTTCCCAGATAAGATTGACCCTTACCAGCCTGGACTGTTAAGTGACCATGATATTCTCGACCAGCCTAGAATGACGAACGGTCATCCATCACGGAATGGGTTATTAAACTCATCACAGTCGTAAGGGAAGCAAGTCCACCTCGGGAAGATCTAGAGCGGTCTTTCTAAAAATAGGCGCTGGTAAAACACGGGGGACTCACTCAGGCTTTTAAAAAAATTATTAATGTGAATGATACTCTTCGGCACTACGCTATGTAGGGGCCAAAGGAGAGGAGGGAGAGAGTTGATTCCTACAGGAAGCAAGCTGCCTGACTATCTGTCTAGCAAACCTAGGGGTTGGTGCCTGAGGCATTCACTACGGCCTGAGGCCACGACAACATGTCGGCGCAGTTACGCCGGTATACCGGAGGATTTATTAATCCTACAAATGCTGTAATATTTCTTATGTAATCAGGATAGTATAAATTGCCAGAATAGTGGATACAGCAATACAGAGAGTTGAATACCATTGATTGGACCCCTACATTTACAATACGGAATACTCCGACAGTTATGAGCCTGGTTCGCACTAAATAAGACTACTATATCGGTATATAGTATCTAGCACGCAGCTAGAAGTTGTCTTGCAACCCTGAAGCTATATCAAGCTATCCCTTGATTCAGTTTCAAAACATTGAAGCATCTTGTTACGGACATGCTAGTCACCAATCAGTTGCGGAGACCGTAACTACTGATGGGCCACCGAGAGCCAACTAACCTATCTGTTATCAGATCACAGGTAATTAGGGAAAAGAGAAACCGTGATCATACTTAGTGAGTAAGAGTAGTCTGTCGCACAACCCGGGTCTGGGTCAAGATATCCAACCCGGACCCGGACCCAACCCAGGACCCAGGCTGGGGCCCCAGCAAACCCCAAATTTTCATAATTTTTCATAATTTTATGCTCTTATATTCTCTGTATTAGCTATTTTCTACTAACTTAATAGGTTTAGTATAAAGGATAGATATAGATATTGATCTAATTTAATTCAAATCTAACTAGGTACAGTGGAGAAAATATAAAAAAGGTGAATTTTATAAACTTGAAGTTCAAAATATATATCTGAGATAGGCGTTAACACCACCCTTTCCCTATGACCATATATAATTTATTAAATTTATTTATTTATTATATACTATATCTTAAATAAATAGAAAATTTCGTATATATAAGGTCCTAAAACGAGCTTTAAACACGCTGTATTAGGATGCTTGGCAAGTTTATTATGTTTGTAACCTAATTGGGGCCCCAGCCTGGGTTTATATTAGGTCTGGGTTGAGGGTAGTAACCCAGAACCCAGCGCTAGGTGCCATTCTTAGAGATAGAGAGGTTTTTATAAGAGATGAAGTCGTAAAGCCTATAAAAGGGCCTTAATCAAGTAGTGAAGCTTATAAAAAAGCTTTAAAGAAGTACTCAGAGGTGAGTAATGGTATAGAAAATCCCGGCTGATAGAGTCAGACCGGGCTTATAACCTGTTGAAATAGTATACAGAGGGACTATACAGCAGGTAAAAAGGAGTATCTCTTGCAAAGATAAATGGGACTATGAATATAGTGCCAGAAATGAAATTGTAAACTGTCTAATCTCTTCATACATAGAAAGAAGCCTATATTTATAGGCTTCTCCTTCTCCCCCTGGAATCTATCAATTTGTAATGGAAACAGAGTGGTGGAATCAGAAAGAAAGAGCTGAAAGGGCGATGATAGCACTAAAAGCAGCCTGAATTAAAATGCCTTCCTGTGATACAACAAGCTGGCGGTTGTATACAGGAATTGGTGGTGTAGACGGCAAACTGCATCGACGGCGCTAATCTCGATTCCGTAGGACTTCGAAGCTCTTGGCGTGAGAGAAAGGCATGGTGATTCGTAATGCATAAAGCATACCGAATTACGGTTAGCGTTGAAAGCTCCATGTTAATTACTGAGAATTAACTTGGATTCTCAACAGATAGCAGTGGGGAGGAATGAGAAACAGCGAGATCCTCAAATGCCTTTTTCAGCGTGCGCGGCAGAACGTCTTTCCAATATATATCGTTCCCCAAAGGCTTGTGGAATCTCTCTGTTGAAAGAACTGACCCCTTTTTGCTACCCACTGATTTTCATTTTTGCTTTTTCAAACAGAAAAGATAGGTGCGAGTGGTTCCACAAACACGATCAATTATCTTGGCACCGCTGGATACTTTTTGATGAAAACACCCCCAATTACCACTCAAAATAAAAGCCACGGCCCTGATGGACGATTGGCAAAATCTTCCTGGAGAGGTCTGTTTATCCTTATCACAATATTGATATCCGTGTATTTGGCAGATCAATTAGATTAACCTTAGAAGGGCTCAATACAACTGAGCGGGCAAGAGTCCTGTGCAGTGTGCTATGACTTGAGCATTAAACACATATTTGTCGCGAAAGTCTGTTCATATCGGCGAATATTGTATGCCCCTAGTGAAAATTAGGTCTCTTGTATGGTGTACTCCGTGTATGCAGGTAGCAGATCAGAATGATCCGGGACGTGGCCCCCTGTGAAGAGCTAAGCCAGCATGGTGGATTCGGCATGATACCGAGTACCGAGTACCTGGTACGCGGACTACTAAGGGTATCTAAAAAAGACTACATCTCGCCAAGGTTATATGACGATGAGCTCGACAGACTGCAACGGACGATCTGTGAACGAACCGGACGCTGGCTTCAAAGGGAGCAGACGTTAAAAAAATGGATTGGCACAAGTGATGAATCAACAAAGGTTGTCTGGCTCCAAGGTATACCCGGAGCAGGTGTGTTGGAATTTCCACAATGGTTCAGTGAAAAATCCTAACAGGTGTGCTATGAACAGGCAAAACTCACATTTCATCTATCATTGTGGACAAATTGAGAGGTCTATCACACACAACGCTATTTGCATTCCTGAGCTACAAACAAGGTAACGCGTCGACAGTGTCGATCATACACTCGCTAATATTCCAGCTCGTTATTGGCATGGAGTACTTTGATGAAACTCTCAAACAAGACTTGCGAGCTAAGCTCTTTCACACTTTCCAGTCAAGTAAAAGGAGCCTGAAGAGCAATACTAGATTTGCTCGCGAAACCTTGACAGAATTACTCAAATGCGTTGGTCCGACCTACATAATCATTGACGGTCTTGATGAACTTCCTGAGAGCGAGCGCAGGGTGGAAATCCTAAAGGAGCTCCTAAATATGTTGAAGGTCTCGACTGAAACACGACTACTGATTAGCAGTAGAGCACAAGATGAAATTAATGCAGTCCTAAAGGCCACGTCGAAGGTGATTCAAGTCCATGACAACAACAGTGGCTGCATCCACGCATATGTCTCAGTGAAAGCTGGAAGTTGGCTGGCCGAATCTGGATTTGATGAGGATGCTTGCGCAGAGATCAAGAGTTTGTTGACCCCGTTAGCGACAAAAGCGCAAGGTGATTCCAAACATGTAACCTTTCAAAGTCAGATTGTTGAAAATTTCGGTTTTTGATTCTAGGCATGTTTCTTTACGCGAGGGTGGTGATGGACAATATTCAAATGTGCCACACCTCTGACCAAGTTCAAAATGAATTGGCCGTTCTCCCAGAGAGCTTGGATGAAGCGTAAGATACTCCCAAACAAGACCAGTGGCAAGTGTTTACCATTAATTCCCATTCAAGGTATGCGCGTGTTTTACAGCGTCTCAATGATTTGCAACCTTCGTCGAAAGTAATGTCTCAACGAGCCTTGGGATGGATAGGATGTTCTCCAATTCCAATCAAAATCCAGGAACTGAGCTTTGCTTTGAGTCTTAACGCTAAAGGGGAGGGCGAACTACCTCGCTCCGAGAACGTGGTAAATATTGTGCGGCTCTGTGGACCCATCGTTGAAACCTTCAATGATCATGTTTACTTCGTACACTTCACCGTCAAGCAGTGGGTTTCCTTTTTGGAGTTTCAGTGAAGAGATCTTAGCTAACTTGGCAAGGTATCTTTTTGAGAAACAAGACTATCAATTTGTTCGAGAATTGGAAGCCAACCTCGAAATGACCATGACGTGCCTTCATTACCTGTCCTTCAACATATTTGAAGTCGACTTTGAACCCGATATGATCAAGGAAAACATATTGTCAGGTTCATACCGCTTGCATTGGTTTGCGGCCAGTCAATGGATAGTGTTAGTTCAAAATTGCGCGAAACTATTGGGCAACCGCTCCCCCCCAGAAAGCCTGCTTCGTGCCCTCAGTCGTTTTGCTTACGAATGTGAGAACGGGAATTATGAAGCCATAGAAGACTTTGACTCTCAGCAAAGTGACGAGTTTAAAATATTCAGAGAGAGTGCACCAAACATACATAAGCTTCTGCACCAAGAGCTTCAATTTCGCCGTATGGATGTGGGTGATTGGAAGCTGGAAGAAGAAGACAAAGGTATTCACGAACCAAGCTTTGTTAATCTGTCCACGAAGAAAAATCTTTCAACCCTGCTAATCATACTCCCTACTTCAGATGATTCGTGGACAAATCTAGATCCATTCTTTTTATCATACTCTTCGCTGGGAATCTATGAGCAATTCGAATCGCTTCTATGCCCGAAAGAAAATCACATTGCTAAATGTAACTGTCCCAAGCTGAGGAGGCTCTACGGGGGGCGTCTGTTCAGATGCAAGTACAATATCTGTCAGTCCCAGCAAATCTCATTCGAAACAAGATCGGCTCGCGAAGCGCATTGCAGAGTTCATGATCGCGCATACAAGTGTACGCATCCGTCGTGTGACTTTTCAACATTAGGGTTTTCTTCCTCGGGTGAACTGACGAGACACGTGTCAAATTGCCATCCTCATGCACCTTTGAAACCCATCCAGCTGATCAAAAATCCTGACGACGATGAGCTTGTACCACTATTGTCGGATATGATTGCAATGGGCATGGCAGCGCAAGTGGAGGCACTGTATCCCAGATTCAAGGACTTGGACGACCTTCCAGGGGAACGGCTTCTCCAAGAAGCTGCATTTTCTGGGACATTGCGGATTTTCCAATGTCTGTCTAGTAAATGGAAACCGGATTTAAAAAGCACGGAGAACCTTTATGTCACCTGCGCTGAACAGTCAATCAAAGGCGAGAATGTGGAGGTTTTGAAATGGATCATTCCACGATTGCCTGAAGAATTTTCCGCTGCATTCATGCAACTCGGTGCAAATACAGAATCGACTGAAGTGTTTGAGATATGGAAAATGCGCTTTAAATCATACCGTTTTAGAAAAGGACCTATGATTGAGAACATACTTCATGCTGTGAAGGATCCTGCCAAACAGGAAAGACTTGCAAGTACCTTGAGTGAACAGGCATTGCTTGGCCATCTAAACACGGACGATTTGAGTCGTTTATTGAAGGCAGTAGCGTCCTCGACTTGCTCAGTCTCAATAGCGAAAGTGTTGCTTATCAACGGCGCAGCTGTGGACTTTAGGAGTTTGAATACCCGACGAAACGAATTGCAAAAGACTCCATTGATAGCAGCGGCCGCAAAAAGGACCAGTGAAGGCGCCGAGATGATGAAACTCCTCCTCCTTGCAGGAGCAGACCCGAATGCTGTGTATCGACACAGAAGGGACAGCGAACCGAAAACTGCTGGTACGGAAATGGGAGCCAAAGGAGTTTCAAAATGGCTAGGAATGACTTGGGATGAGCTCGTGGAGTGGGCCACAGAACAGCGATCCAAATCTACGAAGTGAGATGGTATCTTGACCCAGCTCATGATGACCCATACTGATCGCCCGTTTTATTTTGAAGCCAAAGTTGAAAAGCATTGGTCTCTAAGTGAACTTTTGATATTTTGGGTGTTCTATGTGGTGTTAATGGAGTTTTACATCTTAGCTCCGTCTCTCAACACCCGACAGACTACTCCTTATTTTAGCAGCTCTAGCAATTTCTTGTTACTTGTCAATGCCACTGTCCAAAGCAAACATGCTTCACCAAATTACATACCTGGAATCGACTCTCACTCAAAACTAATTGGTCCGGCATCTCATCGCTGAACGATTGCTGAACTAGCTTTAATTTAGTTTGTTGAACCGCCTGAACGTACTATTTCAGGACGAGCCAATGTCAGCGGTTGAGATAAATGCGTGCAAGAAGAATGAGGCCACAACAAGGTACTACAAAATGGGTGAAGCTGAATATACCAGTTCGATTGAGTCTTTGACAATGTAGCGAGTTACTGTCACATCACGAACTTGACCCATGCGATGCACTCGATTAAGAGCCTGTGCCTCAACCATGGGATTCCACTGTGGCTCAACCATGTGCACACAACTGGCTGCTGTAAGGTCGACTCTAAAAATGGCATACCAAATCAGCCTACAAAAAGCTATAAGATGGAAGGTTGACACATAACTCACCCTTCTGCAACACTTCCAATGCTGGCGAGCATCACTGTACAACTTGAGTCCTCGCTGAACCTCTTCAGAGCAAGTGACCTCTTTTCAAGAGGTGTTTTGCCATCGATGCGCTCGAAGACAAAATTGTTTGCTTGCATTGCAACTTCAAGAAGGTCGAGCATCTTCGTCCAGAAACTGAATATGACACTGCATTGGGAGAGAGGAGTCAGAAAGTCTGACGAATTAAAATTAACTGAGATCTGCCTCACCTCTTGACGGGTCGTTCACCAGAGAGCAAATGATTGCCGCTTTGCTCATTCTGAATGTTCTTCAATAGTGTATTGACTTTAGACGAGGGGCGATAATCCGCTTTGATCACCTCATTTGGCGCCATTGGTGTCAATGGCAAGTCAGGCGTGAGACTGACTGGAGGATCGCTTAATCCTTCAAGTTCGAAGTCATTTGCGTCGCATTGAAAATCCATAGTCGACAAGGTCTGGCTGTGGTATAGATCTGTTGCTATAGCAGGTAACAGTTGATCTCCGTGGTTGCAAATAAGCCGTAAAAAGCCGATCAGAGAGAGCATAGTCCCCCAGCGCGCCTTATCCATCTGGGAGTGCTGAGTGGAGTTCCCGACGACGAGAGATGAAGCTCGGGATTTAAGGAAATCGTAGATTCTCCGCTCTCCTGAGTCCAACTCAACAAGCTCCTCCCTTTCGACGCGTAGTGGTAGTTTAAGTTGATCTTGCACGTGGCTTTTCGTTCGTCGGAGACATGTCGCAGCAACCAGCTTTCTCAGGCGGTTAATTCCCAACGTATTCTTGCCGTACATGTGTATAGGTTTGATCAACCATTCCGCGAATGCGGTCTTTCCATATGGCCCAGTAAATGGAGGTACTCCAACAAAAGAAATTAGTGCTGCATAGTCTTCTAATCGGTTGTGAATTGGGGTCCCTGTAAGGCACCAACGATACCGAGCGCGAAGTTGGCATGTAGCCTGGAAGATTTGGGAGGTACGAGAGCGGATATGATGAGCTGAAATTCAGCTAATCAGTGAACAACTCGAATATCAATCTTTTTGTCATGATGGAAGCCTCACCTTCATCAAGAACCACCCGAGCCCATCCCTCAGAGTTAGAAAAGAGAGCACTGTTTACTGCCCCACTTGACCATTCACTACGCAAAGTGTCATATGTTGTCATGACTATATCATGATTCAATAGTTCCGGTATCAGCTTGTGCCGATTTGGGCCATGAAACACGACCATGCGGATCTGCCCTGGCCGAAAGTGTCTATTCCAATGATCAGTCGGTGAATAACCATAGAGTGAAGGAAGGGCATAATACCGCGAAATTTGTTGTTTCCATCCGGGGATCGCTTCTCATAGTCAGTGGAAGGTCCTTGAATAATAGCACATGGGCACATACTAGAGGGGGTTGTGATGATGAGTGTTGTTCTTGGTTCTGTGCTCTCCAAAGACAAACCATCAAGGTACCATGCAATAAGTGCCAATACACTGATTGTTTTGCCTAGCCCCATTTCCTAATTTTTGTGAGAGGGAAAAGTCTTGACAAGGCCATAGCGAGGATATAACTAACATCGGCGAGTATTCCTCCCGCAGGGGGCTGCGGGCGACATTTCTGTGTTGATCCGGTGACAGCATGTCGATACCTGCCGAAACAGATATGGTAAGATTCTAAGAATTATTTAAGAGTAATCCTGGGACTTACCTGACGTTACCGTCAAAGTCACGGAGGATTTCCCAGAGAGTTGGGAAATCTGCCTCTTCAATGACACCACGTTCCTTTTCGGTCATCATAGAAAGTGCTTTGATTTGATGCCTGTTAAGTCGTTAGCAAGGGGATACAAAGTGACTCAAGGCCACTTCACTTACTCCTTGAGATTTGTCTGCAATCGGGGGCTTTGTTCGACAGGGGCAAATTTGGCTGGACCGTCCACGGTTTCGAAAGCTTGAAATACTTCACTGGTCCTCTCTTTATCCAAGGATTGATTCACTATCGTCATGGTTGAGAGGGAGCCATTGGCTAGGTCCTCAATTTGTGGCATTTCGGTTCCTGGAGATATCAAATACTGGGGGTTTCTGTAAGGTACGGAGGCGTCACATTGAGTTGGATGCTGAAGAAACAGACCACCCTCGGAGAGAGTGTTCCCAACTGCATTCAGATCCTCGTGAAGTCCGTATAGTACGATATGTACCAGCGTGTCTTTATAACCCAGCGATTTCCTCATGTCTTTAGTTTCCTTAGTCTTCTCGCACTTGGCGGAGAAGGTTACAGTGAACTCGCGTGCAAGTTTTCCCAGTGCTGGTGAGTTTAATAACCCGACATGATAATTCGTATGGCCACCAAACAGCTTCAGAACATCGCCAAGTACTTGGACGTTCACTGGGATAAAATTTCCAGATTCATTAGGCAATCTATGGCAGGATGCGCTTGTGATGATCTAACGATATTAGATGTGCGGTAAGTATGAATGTGAATTTACCACTGACCATTCCGAAACACGTATCATATGACCTGGAAACAAGGCTCTGGGGAGTGGACAATGTGTCTTCTAAAAGCGTGCCGGGGGTGGTGGTAATCTTTGGCTGCACATCAGGATAGTTACGGTCGGAATTTGGCGTAGGAAGGGATTGAGTTGCATCTGAAGCTTCTGGGGGTTGAAGATGAAAACCGGAGGATTGCTGGGCAAGATTTGACGAATGTTCATTTTCGACGTTGAAGAAACGCGTAAGGTCAAAGTTGCTAGAAGGCACCTCATCTTGGAAGCTAGCCCAGATATCGTGTGAGCCAAGGGACACTTCAGCATCCTGAGCGTGGGTTACTGGCACCAGGCTCGAAAATAATGGGTATGGATCTAGAAGAAGGTCATGGGTTGTCCATGCATGTTCCATGCATTGTCTCTTGGGGTCGGGTTCGGATTGCTCGTTGGGTGCAATAGCATCGCACTCGTCCCAATCTCGCCTTTGCGTCGCTTCTCTAGTGAAGTCGAACTGAGTCATGATTCTTGGTTTCGCAGCGGGGGTTATGTTGAATGGAATTGAACAGTACAGATCTAGGACTTTCATTCCTAAACACATTTCTCTCGGCGTCTCATCAAGGCCGGATTTGCACAGCCGTGTGGCTTTGCACTCACGGTAAAAAATTGCGCAGCCTCACTGAACAGCCACTTAGAATCGCAGGGATCTTGAAGACTGTGGTTGGCTGTTGTGCCCCAAGCGGTGACGAAAGGACAAGGCAGCCATGATTGGATGCATCATATGGGAAAATTTAGAATGAAGATCCTTTGGCCTCGCTGGGTAAACCATCGATACCCAACATTTTTCCTCGCTCTCGAACTTAAATAAGATGTAGGCAAATTCAGGCCACCTTTGTCTCTCAGATAACGTTAATCAACGTACAAGCCAGCCACATAGGCGAGCCACTCAGCCATTTAACTATTACTTTTTATCATATACCCGAGTTGAGGCCTTCAAATACCGTTATGTACTGACGGCTCCAACCTTGGAAGGTTCCAAGTTTTTCCAAGGTTGGACTTCGGGAATTTGTAGGGAGATACCTAGGTAGCCGCTACTGTCGTAGGGGCGCCGCGCCCAACCTTGGAAAACTCCCGAAGTCGGGCCTGGCGGGCCGATCCTTCAATTATGTAAGCACTCCTTCTCCAGGGCAACTGACACGCTCTACTTCTTTTCTTCGTTTCTCCGCTATTATCCGCTGGTTTTGATGTAAATTCGGTTCTTTCATATACCAGTGGCCTGATCCAATTAACTGTGCAGTGTTATTCTCTGCCAAGACACCTCCGCAGCATAATGACAGTACCACTGCCCGTGGAACTGTTACTCGAGATCGCAACACTTCTGCAAAATGACGGGAGCTCTCTAGTTCCATGCACTTCTGTTTGTCGCTCATGGCAGGCGGCCTTTGAGCCCCTCATCTACTCCACCATCGCTGTCTATAGTGACGATGAGCACAAAGAAAAACGGCAACGTGGAATGTCTCTCGCAAATTTCCAAAAACTCACATCCGGCGATCGTGCTATACGGCAAACCTGGATCCGAAATCTAGAGTACGATATCCTCGTCCCCTACGAACTATTGGACTGGACCACACGTAAAGAGTTGGGGAATTCTAAAGGTTACTGTATAGAAAACCCTATCAGAAAGGCCAATGATCTAGCTTTTCAGACGGCTATAGTTAGACTTTTCCAAGTGCTTCACTCACGTGACCAGAGTGCCCGCCTCAAATTGTATCTATATGTCCGAGGACGTCGATATAACCCTGCACCAGAACCATATACTCAGCACTGGGATATCGCTGGTGATTATCGTTGGGATTACAAAAAAGGACGTATATTTTCAATACCCCCATACCGGGCGCGTTTTCTCAACAATGGTCCAGATCTAGCATCTGTTCCATGCATTGAGAAGCTCTCTTTCCTAAACCACGATCCCTCCTGGGACCAGCATCATCAAATCTGGACTGGAGCAGTGCAAACTATACTCCAGAGCTGTCCAAAAATCACGGAACTAGAGGTCAATCTCAACGAATGGGTCCGTCCTGATCACTTGGAGTATATACAAGCACGTCGTGCAGGTAAGCTGTACCCTTTTTAATATATATTTCTTGAAATCTAAGCATATTTGACTAATATCTATATAGCACTATCCTCTCTTATCGGTTCTATTCCAAGGAGCCTAAGGGTGCTAGACTATGAAGGGGAGAAGGATGGCCCGTGGAAGCCGTCCATGTCTGCACTAAATGTCATCCCTTCTGGGATTGATAGTATGAGCCTTAAGCTGCGAGATCTCAGCGTTCACCTTCAGGAATTAAAGTTGAAAAACACAGCTATTCCGTTTGACTTCATGTGTCCTTTAGATGGTGAAGGCAAGCCTAACCTAGGCTCCTTACACTGGCCCCATCTGGAGATATTGGAGGTTGAGTGTGTGCCACCCTGGCTTCCTTCAGGTACGTAATTTGTCTCCTCCGGAAGAGAAAGGGAAAAAGAAACGTGCACTATGTCCAAGGTCCCTAATAACAAATCAACCAAAAGGAGAATGGACTTTCCACCACACGGCGGAGGACCAGGCCGAAATCGACCAGATCGACGACTGGGAAGACGAGATATGCGATGTCGAGCGGGGATGGGGCTGGCCATCAGTGAGGATAGAAGAAAATTTCCATCGACTTCTCATATCGCTGGGCTACGCGGCCCAACGTATGCCCGCTTTGAAACGGATGAAATTCGAAGTCGAGGGCGATTCCCAGTTTAATCTATATTTTCGAAACGCCGACAAGATCACCTTGGGATGGGAATGCTCCCCTGGATATCAGCCAGATAGTCGGGTTACAATGGCCTGGGGCTTTGCACTGGATGATCTGAAGATTTCCTTTGCGTTCCAGGATATGTGTTCTGTGATCCTTCAAAGCTGGCCGCCCAACACGCCTATCTAGCACCAGCACTTTGATATCTATCCAAATTGGAGGCGGCCGTCGGGGGGGTTACGAGCCACAAAAAACAAGGTTATGTTAAAAATCTGGATTACAAGAATACAGCTTGGGTGCTGCGCAACGTCGTGATGAGTCCGTTCCCGATAGAACGCGGCTTCATTCACCAGCTGATGCAGAAACTGGAAGAAACCATCATCGACGAAGTCAAGAACACATGTCGACTGCGAAATAGTCCTACAGCCAATACTATCGTGTTCCTGGAATTCCAGACGAGAGTCCATCGCACAACCCAACGTCAACAGATTATCCTGGCCGTGGAACTGGAGGATGATGTTAAAAATCAATACATCACGCTGCGCAAGAAATTCCCGGATGAAGACATCGGATTCGCGCCGAATGGTCCAGCACATCTCGAACAGTTAATGCTTCAGATCGACAACCCCGACCAATCCAGTCCGACCGTCAAGGGTGAGATCGGCATCGTCGAGGCAGGAGAGTACTCGCACTCGATACATTGCGACGTAACGATGACCCGAGTGGAAGAGTCGGGGATTGAACTCTAATTTCCGAGGCGATCATTACCCTCGCAACTTCACGCCATTTTATCTTTTCGGCTCGAAAAAGCAACACCATATCTCGCACATGCTCTTCCAAGCGCCGAACATATATCTTTCACCCAGTAACATCCAACTGGATGACGAACTCCACGATAAAGTCGCGCCTCGCCTAGGAAAAGGATAAGGTCTCATTCTCGCGTTAACTGATGACCGCGCGGAAATGATGCACTCCTTCCCGCGCAGCAGGTGCGATGGAGGGGCTCATCCACGTCGAAATATATATCTCTCTCCACCTTCTACGTATTTTGCTCTAATTGCGTCAAAGCCAGGATATACATTGAAAACATTGGGAATTCTTATAAATTTATCTATCCTCGATCTAACCTCGTATATCCCACATGCAAGTCTATATTCACGGGACTGGGACAACCTATCTATATGCAAGACTCGAAGGCCTAAGCCTTGAGAGTATACACAACGCGACCACGCGAGTCTGTACCCTTAAGCACGATCTCATCACCAGTACTTGAGACAACACGGCGCTGATCCCCATTGTGCAAAACAATATCCAAATCCTTCCAAGCAGGAACAAAGGCAGCCTCATCACGCTCAAACTTGACAAGTACCTTCTCCTCGGTAGAGCTGTAGCTAATCGTGTAGGCAGCAGTACCAGGTTGGACCGAGATACCATCATCTTCATACCAAGTCGTAGCAAAGACCGTACCGTGCGAAGTTCCCTTGGGCGGGAACACTTCCACACCACGGTAATCGTCAATATCCTGGACGGCCACTGACGCAGCGGTCTCATCGCCAGGAACACGGGTGTGCACGCTCTTGCCGACAGGAATGGCACCACCGACACGGGCAATGAGCGCAATGCTCTTCTGCCATTCTGACGAGATCTCGACCCACTGCCCGGATGCGAGGTACTGGTACGGAGCGTTCATGTTGACGTAGCCATAGTCGAAGACGCCGGTCTTGCGGGGCAGGTAGACGTTTGCGACGTCGATACCGGTTTTGTAGACCCCGCCAACTAGTACGGTCTCACCGAACCAGAACTGATCCTCGCCCGCCTTGAGTGTTTTGGTCCACACCTCGGGATCAGACTCGTAGCCCCAGCCGGTCCAGCGCTGCGGCGGTGTTGCGAATTTGTGGCTCTCCAGGCCGAGAGAGTAGATGTAGGGCAACATTTCGTAGCGACGCTTAATGGTGTCGCGGACCTGAGGCGTGATCTCGGGGTACATGAAGGGCTCGATGACGTCACCAACGGCAGAGTCCTTGGGAGAAGTCTTGAAGCAGTTGATTGCGAAGCGGGGAGCGTGGCAGCCTAGTTGGATCCAGCGGAGGAGGAGCTCCGGGGAGGGCTGTGGGCCTTCGAATCCGCCGATGTCGTGGCCTTCACATTGGAGAAGGGACATGCCGGCGTTAAGAGATAGGGCATTGGCGCCCTTCATGTTTTCCCAGCTAGTGACGTTGTCGCCGCTCCAGGAGGATGCGGCATAGCGGAGAGTTCCAGCGGTAGCGCTGCGGGTCAGGACGAAGGGACGCAGCTTGGGTTCCATGTCTTGCAGGGCATCATGGGAAGATTTGCCCATCAGCTCGGTGTGGAGAGCACGACCCCAGAGTCCGACGGAGTTCTTGACATTCTTTGCTGCAGCGTTCGCCACGGTGGGCTCATTGAGAGACATGGTCCAATCATCGTCGGGTAGGGTGTATTCATTGTTGTCGTTCCACATACCGTCAATGCCAACCTTTTTGAGACTCTGAACCCCGTCGTACCACCATTTGAAGGCCTCCGCCGAGGTGAAGTCAATGTGAGCACCGTCGCCACCGGTGGCACCGCCAGCACTCCACAGACGCATGTACCCAGCCTCCTTTTCGGCATCCTTGAAGAAGCCACCTGCATCAACCAGCTTCTGGAAGTCGGGGTGAGAAGCCAGTAGGAAAGGCTTGATGTTGGTGAGAAGTCGGATACCGTACTGGTGCATCTTAGCAATCCAGTCTTGGGGATCCGGGAACCGCTCTCGGTTCCATGTAAAGACATTGCGGACTTTGGGCTCGGTCTCAGCAATGGAATAGCCCGAACTCATTTGGTGAGCCGAGCAAGGAATGCCATGTTGCTTGAGCTTCTCCGCAAACTCCAGAAGGGCCAAGTGGGCCTTTTGCGGCTCATCAAGCATAGTGTACTTGTAGCCACCGGAGATATAGCCGTAAGCCCAGCGGGGCACGAGAATGGGGAAGCCGACCAACTCGGCATATGAGCGGACAACATCTTTGATGGTCTTTCCAACAATGTAGTATTGCTCGAGACCACCGTAGTCCTGGCGGTACACCTTGAAGTGTCCCCAAAGACCATCGATCTCGGCTCCTACAGACCACAGACCGCGGCCATGGGTGGTCGAGAAGATGGCCACACATCCCTCTGCAGAAGCCTTAATCAGGAGCGGAATGTGCTTGTAGAGGGGATCGGTGTTGTATACATCGTATCCAAAAGAGTCGGTAGCCGAGAGCTGGAATTGACGACCAGTCAAATCCATGGGAGCCGCCTTCTCGCCGAGTCCGACATGGAGGCATTCGCGGTCATGCACGGAGTAGTTAGCGACACCGTCGCCATCTTCGACATAAGACCGCAGCGGCAAATCCTCGTGCAGAGGCTTGTCGGAGCCGGCCCATGACAGTTTGACCACGGGGGTGTGTTCCCAGTTTACGGAAGCAGTGACACCGGCGACATCGATTGATTTGGAGGAGTCACCCTCCTTGGCGAAGACATTGGCGCCCTGGAGGTTGGTCTCAGGCTTGGTGACACTAGGATAGGGAGGGATAGGGTGTTCTGCGGAGGAGAAAGTGGCTCGGAACAGGTTCGGACGAATAGCCTCGAAGGTAAAATCAAAGGCACTCTTGCTCTTTGTGCTGCTTCGAACGTGGACGGAAGCTTCTTGGTTAGTGGCCTGGGTCACTTGCGAGTAGCCCTTGGGGTAGCTTTCTTTTTGAGGCATGATGAATGTGAAAGACAATGTAGTTGATTCAGAGGAACTGCTGAGAATACCAAGATATTCCTTGACATGGTGGTGTATTTGAATGTTTGTCGAGCTCCCCTCAGTCCCATCTTTCCATGTACCCCGCGGTGGTTCCAATGATGCATTGCAGCTGTATAGAATCGGATATCGGGGATAATCACCGAGAAGCGGAGACGCGAAGGTTGTAAAATGGGTAGTACCGAGATGATTCTGCCGCAAACTTCCGCATTGCCGTGTTTTCCCCGCAAAAGACATCCCGGGGCCCCAGATGGCCGGTCCTGCGCTAACTTTTCTCTCGGTTTTGCTGACCGAAATCCGATCCTAATGATTCTGGGCACCTTCTTATGACTCCCTTTCTTCGCATACCCCCTCCCACGGCATTTGCCTCAGTGAAGTGATTGGATAAAACATCCCGACGTCGGCTACATGTAGCAACGTGTTTTGCCGTTTCTCTCCAAATCAACTGACCGCGTGGACTTGTACCAAGTTTCATCGGCAACCATGCCAAGGACTAAAAAGGATAAATCTACCATCTGTGGTTTTCACACTTCGGGTTTGAATTGCCTTGTCCGGGGAATGTAATAGAGTTTTTCCCCACGGGGTTTTTGCATGCAAGCCCGTACTACATATATCAAGGCTAAACATTTTGTGTCCCCTCTTCTGACTTGATTCATTTTGTCTCTATAACTTCTTGGTCTTTTATTATTTCCCGTTGTGCCTCTGCAGGTGACTAGCCATGTCACAGCCAAAGGGCCAGCAGGAGGAGTTCGTGGAGACCATTGAGCCCGAGCTGCCACGAGCTGTGCCTCCTCATAATGATGGGACTGGAAGTCAGCCCAAAGGCGATCAGGCTTTGAAGCTCATCGAGGAGGTAGGGCACTCAAACATTCTGACTCCCGAGAACAACGCCAAAGTTCTTCGGAAGATCGATTTGCGTCTACTTCCCATTCTCCTCGGAATCTACTTCCTCCAGCAACTCGACAAGTCGACCATCTCGTACGCCTCAGTTTTTGGAATCGTTGAGAAAGCCCATCTCCATGGCCATCAGTACTCCTGGCTAGGCGGTTCGATCTATCTGGCTCAGCTGGTGTTCCAGCCCCTCGTTGCCTACCTTCTGGTTAAAGTCCCCCTGGCAAAGTTTCTGGCTGTCTCCTGCCTCTTATGGGGTATTGCTTTAACATGCATGACTGCTGCTACAAACTTTGGAGAGCTGCTTGCTTGCCGCATCTTTCTTGGTATCTTTGAGGCTGGAATTGGTTCGTTATCTCCGAATCATACATTGCTATCCTACTAACGATGGGTTTCACCAGCACCGGCCTTCATTGCAGTCACTCAAATGTGGTATCGGCGTCGTGAGCAGCCTGTGAGATTGAGTTCTTGGTATGCGATGAACGGAGTCGTTAATATGGTGGGTTTTCTCTCATATCGTTTTCTTGGCACTTAAGTTGACACTGAAGGGAAGTTTGGAAGCTTGATTGCCTTTGGACTGGGTCATATCAATTCCTCTATATTTGCGCCCTACCAGGTAAGTTATAACATGGGATTGTCTGTCGAGGTATTACCAACTAACGCCGATTAGATCATCTTCCTCTTCTTCGGTCTAGTTACTGTTGGGTTCTCTGCCATTATTCTGTAGGATTTGGCCCTGTCCCTTTTTGCCTGTATTATACTAAGACAGTTCTACACAGTGTCTTCATGCCGGATTCCCCCATGTCCGCCAAGTTCCTTGGAGAGGAGGACAAACTGCTATCTATTGAAAGACAGCGAATGAACCAACAGGGTGTCGAGAGCCAAGAGTGGAAATGGGACCACGCAAAAGAAGCCTTCCTTGACCCCAAATCATGGTTCTGGTTTGCGTTAATGTTCTCGATTTCGTGAGTTGGCTCAGAACGAGTACACCGGACTAAAGTTGCTAACCGACCTTCAGTGTTCCAAGTGGCGGTATCACTACTTTCGGGCCTTTGATTATCAAGTCCTTTGGCCTCAGTCAATATGATACCATGCTTTTCAACATTCCTTTCGGCGCAGTCCAGCTTGTCGCCACAATGGGAGGAGCTTGGCTAGCGACCGTTTGGAAAATGAAGGGTCCAGTCCTAGCATTGCTCTGTCTTCCACCTATCGCGGGTTGTGTGATGCTGTTGCATATTGCCCATGACAATGCTCACAAGGGGCCTCTACTTGCAGGATACTACATTGTAAGTGTTGAATCGAACCGAAAACGGTACCGTGGAAGGAATACTAATAGACTTTATCCAGATCTCTGTGTACCCAGCTATCAGTAAGCGTTTACTTAGTTTCGGGACTTGAGCCCAACTGACCATCCCTAGCCCCCTTGATATACTCCTGGTCTGCAGGAAACACAGCCGGAGAGACAAAAAGAAGGTTACTACCGCTATCCTGTATGTGGGACAGTGCGCTGGTAATGTATGTAGCACTCTAAGCCCCCAGATCGGGTTTCTTGCTAACATTCTTCCTATCAAGGTCCTTGGACCGAACCTTTACACCACGAATGAAGCGCCGCTTTACCGCCGTGGTCTGTTGTCCAAGTAAGTTCATAAACACAGAAGCTTTTGAGCATCAAATATCTAACACCCGACTAGCCTCGCGATGTTTTGTGTCTTGATAGGTCTGACCGGGTAGGTTTCATCCAATTTCAACTGCTCTACAATTTGCTAATTCTGACTTCTTAGGGCAAATACCGCATATCTGTACTTCCTAAACAAGAAGCATGAGAAGAGACGTGTGGCTCTCGGAAAGGACGCCAAGATTGTAGATCAATCGATGCAAACCATTCAAGCTGTCTCCGACGATGCCAAAGAAGAGCTGCCTCAACAAGCAGCAGATGACAATGCGTGGAAAGATCTGACTGACCTGCAAAATGAGGACTTTGTCTATGTCTTCTAAGCTTTGGCCGGTTTAATTAGTATATGTTATAGTAAGTAGGACTTGTGATTTTGCTTTATTTGATAACTATTGCCACCATTCTATGTATAAAATGTAACTCGCAATATACTACGTTTACAATAATATTTATCAAAGAAACACCATAAAAACCCCTAAAAACGTAGCTTTTCCTTAAGTGAACTAGTCCGTTGTGGGACCTGGTTGATTGTATAGCCGGCTCGGAGAAACAGCCGAACCCCGCGTTTCTCCAGGTTTTCCCCTTCCCGTCAACCCCGAGAATCATCAGTGCAAACAAAAAACGGCTGGCGCTGCATGGCCGACCAACCTGGCTGTAGTCCGTACATCACGGTGATAGAGGATGAATCACTGCACCTTATTCCAGCGCCAACAGGGAAAAAGCGCATTCCGGTACGTCGCTAGTGAACCGAGTGGGACCCTACAACAGCGGAAAGACCCTAACGATGTATGGCCTTTTCAATGCATAGAAAGCCTGCAGTGCTTGTCGACAATCGAAGGTCTGTGCTCAAGCATCCGAGGCTGAATATTGTGGGGGCTTTGGCTGATCGTCTCAAGGTAAAATGTGATGGAGAGAGACCATGTACAAGGTGAGTTATATTCCTTGATTGCAGTTTTACATCAAGATTAAACCCTGATACTGATAAGCCAGGTGCCAAAAATTGGAAAAACAATGCGTCTTCTTCGAAATACCGAAAGACCCTGTCTCAGAGTACGAACTTGTCTTATGAAGTTGTCAACCAAGACTAACATCCCCCAGACGGATCGAAAGCGTCGAGTCAGAGGTTCAATATCTCCGACAACAGTTAGATGAAATGCGCGAGTTGCTTCAACAGAGCCGCTCGCAGCCCACCCCAAAATCCCAACTAACACACTCCCCAAGCCACCTCCGTGATCGGCAACAGCAAGTAGCTCACGAGAGCGCTCGTGGTTCCTCGGGCTCTCATTATCCTCATTCACAGGATAACCCTCAAGACGGGTTTCCAAATATACCGGTCGCCAGCTCCGTTGGCTATACAAATGGTCACCAATACCAAAGGTCGATGCCGGGGTCCATGCCAGCCCTCTCTCCAAATGAGACTTCGGCTCAGCCTCTCTATGCATCCAATCGAATAATTACTAGACCGCCCAAGAGAAAACGATCTGGGTTTGAGATTCGAGATGAGCCCATTGCCGACTTTATCGATAAAGGACTCATCACCCTTGAATGTGCTATGTCATACTTCCATACGTATGTATGATCCGAGATTTATTTAACTATTAGTGATTCTGGCTGACTGAAACGATCCTAGCTTCTTTGGAGGATGTGTATGTATGACTTCTCACTCCCATGCTCCAAATACTCATGTTTTGCGAATCATACAGGACCGGTATATCCCGATCTTCGACCCTCAATACGATACTTTCGACTCCATTCGATCTCGAAGCAGTATACTTCTCAACGCAATATGTACCATTGGCTGCATGGTCGAGACCAGTAAATCCCCCCCCCCTTTTGGTATATCTGTGTACAATGCTATTGTACTAAACAGTTCTAGGATCCGGAGGTGGTTCAATGTCCGACGTTCTCCACGCCGAGCTGAAGAAATGGATAAACGTCATAATCCAGAACAAGGAATTAAACTGCCTAGAATCAGTCCAAGCAATGCTCGTGGTTGCTTGTTATTCCACAGAACGTTCGCTGATCTTATCATTTGCCACTCGGATGGCCATGGACCTGGAATTGCACGAGGCCTTTGATGAATTGATCCAGCGGCTTGCTCTTCAGAGTGAAGATATGGCTTACGCCTTGCCACATCAGATGTTTGAAGAGGAGAGGGCTCTTATGTGGAACGCTCGGACTTGGTTCGGGCTTTTGGTTCTCGAACATATGTAAGATGCCCTTTACTATCATTATTGGGATTACTAGGCTAATGAGATGTAATGCAGATTTCGTGTTGATGGAGGAAAGCCCCCTGGCATTCGACTAAAAGGAAATGCTCGCCGCTGTCGGGTTTTACTTAGCCATCCATCGTCGACAATCTTAGATTTGCGGTTGTTCTCTCAGGTCGAGGTATGTCGAGTCCAGTACCTAAATTAGACTTAAAGAAGTACTGATGTTTGCTGTTAGTTAAACATCCTCAGAGGTATGACCCATTCCGTGAACTTAGGTGCAACGTCTAATTTATATTCTATAGCCAATGTCGGCGATGCTCTAGGAGGAAACACTTCACTTGATGGGCAAAGCATCGCCGATTACGTGCAAGATATGAAGATTGAGCTAGATTTGTGGTTCGAGTAAATTTTCCCGTCTTATCGTATCTCAACAAATTTGCTAACCCTCAGCAGTGACTGGCTACGCATTATCGGTATGACTCCAATTGCTATAATCGGCTCAAACCTGCTAACGATTCGAAGAAGCTTGTGTTGCCGCCACCGACGAGAAGCCATCTCTACTCGTCGCCCTTCGAGTGCAGAAATGCTGGGCAGAAATGATGCTCAACTGTAAAGCACTACGATCAATGGGTGTTGAGAACGTAGCGTAAGTACTCCTTCATCTAATGTGCTTCTATCTGTGTTAACACAAACGTGAAGTGCGATGTCCACCACGGAAAGAACGATACTCCTCACAGCCAAGGCAAGTGCCCGCCGACACCTCCGCCTCATAATTGCCGATCCAGACTTCTACCTCGCCAAGCTGAAATACGCAATGGATTTTGTCTGGGCCAAGTGCGCATTCTCCTTCCTATTGCTTCTCAAATTATCCCGCCTCACCCCTGAGCGCGACGAGGAGCACCAAGAGCTGCTGGAACAAGGGAATCGACTCCTCGATGAGCTGAGCAAAGCTGGAGCCAGTGGAACTCAGTCCGGAGCTGGGAATATCTATCTCCAGATCTTGAAGGTCAGTATTGAGAAGTATGGGCGTGCATTGATGGAAGCACAACAACCCAGCTCGGGTGGTCCCGCCGCTACGTCGCCGTTCTGGGAGTTGTTTGATGCTCAAGCGGATCTCCAGTGCTTTGTCCCTGAGCAGTTTGTCTCCGAGTGGGACTTTCCGGGCCTCAATTTGTTTTATTTTCCAACTGCTTGGCAAGATTTCTTTGGAGATTTCTCGTTAGCTATGTAATTATAGAAACTAAATCTTTTCCTACCGATTGCTCAATGTCAGATATGGTTACAGGCTTGTATTAATATTAAACTGTCGTTTACCTTTCTAGTGGCTTCGTATCCCATATATATATCACGGACCACCGGGTTGAAAGACGATATTTTTCGTCGAAACAAAATAAAAGATCTATGAATTCCCCACAGAGACAGAATATTCCACATCCTTCCGAATAATCATCCTCGTACTCCCGTCACTCCCACTGCGCATACTGCCCCTGTCCCCTTCGGACCGCCCCTCCCCCGAGTTGGACGGCCCCCCAGCCTCACAAACAACCGTCCCATTCTCTGTCCCATCGCCCACATCCGGCCTCCCCGTGAACAAGCCACTTGCCCGGCGCGCGGGCCGTCCTTTTACAGTCCCCATCTCATAATCCCGCGACCGCCCCGTCGCGTAGGGGTCTGTATTCCCCCGTCTCCCAGACCCATACCCATAGCCGTAGCCGCCGCTGCTACTACCGAGGTTGGAGTCGCCAGCTGTGCCGTAGTTGGTTGTGAGGGCGTTCATGAAGGGGCGCAGGCAGAAGACCGTGCATGCTACCAAGGCGTAATTGAGGTGGAGCTGGGTGAAGATCGTGTGGCTAATTGCGGTGAATGTTGGGTTTTTCATGGTCGTGTATTCTTTCAGGGTGGAAAGGTGGAGGGCGGAGAATATTATTAGTCTATCGGTTAGATATATGTTAGTTTCATATTATCAAATAGGGGTTGGATGACCTCGGGAAGATTTGGGAAGTGGAAGAGGGACGTACGGTAGTCTCGCCGCGAAAGATACCATGATCACGATTTTATGTGAAATGTGCATCTGCAGACCCCAGACTAGGGCGATGCAGAAGGTAAATAGTAAGATCTCTGTCGAGATGTCGAGCGCGGTGATTGCTTGCCAGCGGGGGAACTTTTCACCGTTAGTATATCTCATTCTCCGTGTATTTGGTTTGCCGTTTTAGAGAGCGGTTGGCTCTTCTGCAATTGTAGACATACCAGGTTATGACACTGCTCGCCAGGTACAACCCACGGCTTGTTCCCCTCGCAGTTCACTGCGATGAGCAGCACCGAAACTATAATCCCCACTGTGCTGAGCCCGAACGTCGCCCAAAGAATGCTTTTGTGGCGCTTGCGCGGCGTCAAGCGTAAGTAGATGGCGACGATGCAGCATTTTGAGAGGTATAGGGTTAAGAGGTATAGGACGTCGGCACCGAGGAGGGACTATGTTGTCAGTTATTCTCTTTTATCCAATTGGGTGGGGTGTTGAGTAATGGGTACATTCTGTATGCGGTCAACGGCCTTCTCGGTGAGCAGCGATATATCCGTCCCGAAGCCGATACTCGCGGCGTGGAATATGATGATCGACTCGGCAATGGCGGAAACCTATCCAGTTAGCCTCATTTCCAAAACAGATCAATTTCTCTCAATTGCGTACCGTCGCTCCCAACAGCATGATATCGTCTGATCCCCATGGTGGATTGAGATATATCCTCACGTATACCCGGATTAGTAGGCAGACCAGCGAGATTACTAGGCATATGGCGGCGGTGATAATGATAATACCAGCATGGTGCTTATCGTCTATAGTCTCGAAAGGTGGCGATTGGCCCGGGGGCACTTTGATGGCCATTGCGGTACGAAGACCAAATCGTGGTCTGTGGGTTGGAAGGGTCAAGGAGGGAATGATCTAAAGGAAAATGGAAACGAACGATAGTTAGCCATCATGATGGTGATTCCATGGCCACACAGCTCTAGCAATTCAAGTGGAGAGACCTAGCAAGGATGGCATCCTTTGGCCCAAAGTTTTAACATCATTAAATAAAGACTAGAATCCCTAAATTCCGTAAATACCTAATCTTAATAGGGCTCTAATAGGGAATATACCGATGTACTCCGTAGGGTGATCTAAAACAGGTTCTTCCCGATTAGTTAAGTCGATATTTTCGAGTCTCCCCGAGCTAGAACCAGATCCAACGCAAGATGATAGATTAAGTTTAATTGAGCTATTTTACCAGCCAGCCATGGGGCCGATGTGTGTGGGTATATAGGGCCGGATGGGGGCTGAAAAGCATCCGCTTAAAGTATCTCTACCGAGCTGCCCCTCCGCCACCTTCATATCTAACAAATTAAATAATTCATCGATAGAAAGCAGGCGCCACAACTGGGTCGCTAGCATCCAATTAGGTAGGTGGTCATGCCAACCGCACGACCTCGGGAATTAAGTGCGGGTATCTTGGCGGGATAGACTTTGCGTGGGGGGGCTACATGGGGCCAAAACCTTGGAACCCTTCCGCTTAAAGTATTTATGAGTATCCATGGATCCACTGCCCCTCCACCACCTTCCATGGGTAATATGTGATAAATTAAATAATTCATCGAGCTTATGCTCACAATCCTGTGATTCTTATTGCTAAGATCATTTAAAATATCCTGAGTATTCCTAATTCAGGGGTGCAAAGTCGGAAAAACCCGCTGTATGAGGCCATATGTAGGTAATGCATACTACCTTGTCTCATATCCATAGAAATAGTACACCGCCAAGCCCTTTGTTCTCTTTAGCTTTGCCCGTTAGGTAATACCCAGTCTTTATTAACCAACCCCTTGATTAACTTTCAACCCCTAAATGTATCCAGATGAGGAAAGTTTCAACGAACTTCTGACGCTACGAACGTTCACCGGCCGGTCGGGATGCCGTGTTGACCGACCACCGTTATGGCTTATTCATGCCAAGCGCTCCCCTATGCGCTCCTTTACATTATGCGCTCCTTTATGATGTTGCATGGAAACAATCCGCAATATTATCGTCTGAGCATATAATTGTTTCTAACTATTAGCATACTAAACTACTTATCCTCCCTCTAGTGTAAAAATTATAGAGATTACATCTCACGCTTCACCAGCGCCACGGGCGGGATGTAATGGTGCCGTCCCCGCAACACATAATACACCACTGCAATGAGAAGAATCCCCCCGTACATCACCACACACCAGTTCATGGTGTCTGGTTCCACCGTCGAAGTGAGCGGGAAGAAGGCGAACACGAACACCGGGAGCAGGAAGCACAGCGCTCCGATGTTGATTGCCATGCCGAACCGGCCCAGCGTCCATTTGTGTGGTGGGAGTGGCTCCCCTCTGATACGCTTGAGGAGGACGCAGGCAATGGTGATGATGTACGAAGACATCATCGCGCCAATGGTCAGGGTCACGATGGCGAGAAGTGCGGTTGTGGAGCCGATGTTAATGAGCGACAAGAGGACTGTCACTGCCAGCGAGACCATTACGGCGTTCAAGGGAATGTTCCAGCTGGGGTTTACCTGGTACTGTTAGTGTTGTCAACCCTGGAGAAGGAGGATAGGACGTACATATCCGAAGAAATCGGAGAAAGGAAGGCCGCGGTCACGCGCGAAGGACCACAACTGGCGCGATGCAGTTGCTACTTCTGTGATTGTGCTCGCCGTCAGGGTCAGCACAAGAATGGCAGTCATCGTGTTCGTTCCCGGCAGACTCTCCGTCGCGTTATAGAACACCTGCATGAACGGGTACCCTGTTGGAGTGGCTAGGATATCGTCAATGTCGCCTAGCGTAAAGCAGACCGTCACCAGCATCACGAAACCGGAGATGGCGTTGACGCAGACAGAGGTAATCATAGCCTTTGGCAAGGTCTCAGACGCATCTTTGATCTCCTCCGCTGCACACTATTAGCGACGTTCGTCTATCTTAGAGAGAGAGACTTACACATATGCACCGCGCAATCATATCCAATCAGCGCGGTGATGGTAGTCGAGAATCCAACAAGCGTGGCAGTCCCAACGCTGTTCCACTCTCCACCGTTGTTGAATTCGGTAAACACCTGCTTCGCGCTACGGCGAGGGCCAAGCACCCACAACGGAATTATGATAGCGAACAGGCCGCACACATGCAGAATCAGAATCAACACCTCCACAAAGGGCAGCCGCTTGGCCAGGAAGGTGTTGAATATGATCGAAAACATGGTGATGGCGATCACGAGCAGAGTGCCGTGCCAACGCTGGACATCATAGCCCGGGTTGTTCAGCACCATCAGGCCTTGGATAATAGTTCCAGCCAAATAGGCGATCGACACAATGGCGCATTGCCAACCCATGGCGCATAGCCAGCCTACATAATTAGCTTAGTCAAGCAAGAAGACGGAGCAGGAGAACTTACCGGTGATGTAGCTGAGGAATTTCTGACAGCTAGGAGGGGCAAACTCCGATACCCAATGGTATTGTCCGCCGGAGGTGGGAGCCCTGGGAAGTCAGAATGGATACAGAATGGATACAAGGACTCAATGGGTAGACTCACATGGATGCCATCTCGGCCAGACTCAAGAACACCAGAAGGAACCCAGCAGCGACGATGACGTACCCCCAGATCAGACCGGCAGTTCCTCCATCGGTTAGGCCTTGTGCAAGCAAACTAAACAGTTAGTTATTATTCAACCAAGAGTATGTACGGATGGCATACGTCAAGACAACCTCCCACGTGGCGATCAGCGTGCAGCCAAATCCTACGATGGAGACGAATCGGAAGTTACGCTGCAGGGTCAGCACACATGCATTAGCGACAATAATACTAGGGGACGTACCCGCAGGACCTGGTCTCTCCCCAGGGCGCTCATATCGGCCTGGTCGGCCTGTGTGCCACGCCATTTGGGAGCGACATGGCCTCTGGACTGGGCTTCGTCGGCTAGAGTCATGGTGACTGTTGAAGGGTCTTTGTCCCAGGGCATAATGACATGCAGGAAGCAGTGACGACGAAGGATTAGTATAAAAGACAGGGGTAATGGTAGGTCGCATCGGTACTTTGTATAAAAGAACCGTGGTGTCAATCATTAGAATATTCTCCGGCCCTCGTGGAATCCACCCGGCGTATCTGTCCGACAGTGGAGTAGCTCGCCTCCAACAGAATGTGCGTTCTAGGCACCTGAGGTAGTAGAACTCTGTAGTAAGACTAGAGCGTGGTTTCAGCATCCTGCAGGTTAGTGTGAACTAGGGATGCGTCGTGTTGATTGGGGCTCCACTGTGGTTGTTATTGCCACGCAAGGAGTGGGGGAGTTAACATTGTGTCGACCTATAGGGTGGTACAGTCAAACCCAGTTAACTTGGACCCCCTTAATATTGGAATCCCTTTACTCCATACGGCGTATGTTGTACATACAAAGTAGGAACGATTTTGATGGCCAGAATTAATTAGCTTCTATTTTATATACTTGAGCGCACCAAGCCCTTTCAAAGTTCTATATTAGGTTTAGTCCCCCAAATGCTGTAACCATGGAACTAAAATCATAAACTTTACCGGCCCCACACGATCTACTATCCAGGATATCGCCATTGTTTTTTAATAAAAAATATATAAATATATAAAATACTAATAAGAAAAAGTTAATAAAATCCTTTCGGCAATCTTCCAAACTAACAGGGTTTGACCTCGGGACTGTATGGTGCCATTGCTGATTTGCTGATTCAGCGGGTCCACTCCCCTGGTCGTACGGACGTACGGACACACATTGCGTCCGGTAAATCGGGAGTGCATACTGTACTCGGAATATCAAGTTAATCAACATGCCAGCCAAGTCTCGAGGATCTTTTCAACAAAGTTCTTCCTACAACATATGTTATAGATACCAGCTTATTTTTGACTCAATCGATCAATTCAGGAATCAATAATTGGCTCCCGCGATACTAGTCCGTACGGATATCTTAATATCCAACACAATGCTTTGGCGGGGACAAGACTCCTTGCATGAGCACAAAGCATAATTGGGACTGACTATCAATTGAAATAACCGTCGTTTGATTGGCATTTTATCTTCTTCCTCTTTACCTTCACCCATCACTATGATCCCCCTCATCCCCCTCACCCTCCTCATCCTCATCTCCTACCTCATATACCATCATGTTATAAACCCCTACTTCCTCTCTCCGCTATCTTCCATCCCCAATGCCCACCTTACATCCCCACTCTCCAGCCGCTGGATTGACCGCAAGCGCAGCACAGGCACGGAAGTCCTCGCCATCTACGCCCTACACCAAAAGCACGGCCCCATTGTCCGCCTCGGCCCGAAGGAGCTGAGCGTCAATTCTCTCCATGGTCTGAAAATAATATATACGGGGGCTTTTGAGAAACACGCTTTTTACAATGATGTCTTCGTCAACTTCAACACCGAAAACTTGGTCGGCATGATGCACAATGCGCCGCACGCGCACCAGAAGCGCATGCTGAGCAAGACCTACTCCAAGTCATTTCTCCAGGAATCAAGTGATCTCCGCGCAATCTCGAAGGTTGTGCTGTGGGACCGGCTTATGCCTATTCTCAAGCAGGCGGGGGACGGTGGAGAGGTGTTGAATGTGTTGCCGCTGTTCCAAGCTGTTGGGATGGACTTTACCTCTTCTTTCCTATTTGGATTGGGGCAAGGAACGAGGTACTTGTTCAATATTCCCGAGTGGAAAGTGTGGTTGGAGGAGTATGAGCAATTCAAGTATTTGAGTCGGGATGATCGGTATATGGGATTTATTGAGGGGTGGTGCTTGGGATTCTGCGAGCGGACGGAGGCGTCTAAGAAACAGGACGTCATCGGAGATGAGGAGAAGCTGCCATCCACAAACCCAGTCGTCTACGACCAGCTACGCCAGAGCCTCCTCTCGCAGAAAGAACACGATCGGCGGCCGCTGAACTTAGCAATTGCGTCTGAATTGCTGGACCACCTGGTTGCTGGCCACGAAACGTCAGGCATCACCTTCACCTACATGATGTGGGAGCTGTCGCAGCATCCGGAGCTTCAGACCGAGCTGCGAGAGGAACTACTCACCTTATCTCCGTCCCTCAGATACCCAGACACAGATGGTGAGAAGCCCCTTCCATCTGCTTCCGCGATCGACGGCCTCCCCCTGTTGGACGCTATGGTCCGCGAGACCCTCCGTCTTCACTCCCCAGCCCCGGCCCAACTGCCCCGCGTCACACCCACCACAGAAAAAGGGACTTCCCTGCACGGGTACGACAACATCCCGGGCGGCGTGAGGGTCAGTTCAACCTCCTATTCCCTCCACCGCATCAGCGATGTCTACCCGCGGCCGCTGGAATGGCTGCCACGACGATGGATCGACCCAGGCGACAAGATCCACGACATGAGGCGGCTGTTCTGGCCGTTCGGGAGCGGTGGACGCATGTGTCTGGGGAGTAATTTTGCATTGCAAGGTATGTCCCCCAAGTATGAGTTTTGGAGAAGAAACTAATGATGCAGAAATCAAATTGGTTATGGCGGCTGTGTATTCAAATTACACGACATCCATTGTAGATGACGAGGGAATCGAGCAGGACTATGCGTTCATTTCTCTGCCGCGCGGGCGGAAGCTGATGTTAAGGTTTATCCCGGTCGATGAATGATGCGATGCAGCCATGATAATATCAAAAGTAATGAATAGCGTTTTTTGATAATTTGGCCATGTCTCACCCAGGGTCTTGGCCACAATATCGACCTCTACCTAGATATCTACGTACTCACCATATCAACCCTTTAGATTATGTAACGAACATCATAAGTTGCCGCACATCGGCTCAATAATTCAGCCGACACACCGCATAACCGGAGACATATATCTATTTGCATTTGTAACGAATGTAATCGAAAAAGTATTTCTATATAAGCCCAAGCATAACTCAGGCATGATGTATTTTCAAAGTTCAACTCATTCTAGTGCCCTCAACAAGTACTTCCTTGATCCTCTAACTCTCGATATTCGAAATGCAGGTAGAGGAGCAGCCTCGAACGATCGTCGTCCTAGGATCTACAGGGCATCAAGGTAGAGGCGTGGTCGATTGTCTTCTTCGCGAGCCTGGGTTGGAAACATGTCTCGTCCGTGCTGTTACGCGGGATATCAAATCCGATGGGGCTAGACAGTTGCTCCAAGATTATCAAACCCCGGATAAGCGTCTCAGTCTCATCACAGGCGATGTTTATGATCCCGAAAGCCTTCAGAATGCTTTTTCGGAGGCATATGGCGTGTTTGCAGTTACTAGCGAACAGGCTTCTAAGAGAATTGACAAGGAAGAGGACATGAAGCATGAACTTCAAGCTGGTTTGAATATCATATCTGCTGCGAAGCTCTGCCGGGTGCAACACTTCGTTTTCAGCAGCTTGCCGAATATGAAGCAAGCTACAGGAGGCCGCTTCGAGAAAATGTTCCACATGGATCACAAGTATATAATTGAACAATGGGCAAAGCGAGACTTATCTGCCGTCACTTGCCTTCTTCCAGGTTGTCCTATTCCAAGATAAAGCAGCTTTTATCACTCACTAATCTTCACTGACAGGATTCTTTCTCACAAACCTTAACCGGTCCCAGTATTGTCGTCGCCAAAACGGGGTCGTCCGTTTTTGTCCACCGATTCCCGGGGACAAGTTTGTCCAGTGGCTAGATCCGGTACACGACATGGGTGTTTTTGCAGCAAGTAAGTTACTGTTTTCTCTACAAGCCACCGATTTTGTATTACCCACGCCGTGGACTTTGGAGCTCCAAGTATTGGCATTGATATAGCTTGGCAAATGAACCTTGTGGCAGAAAGCTGACGGCCCTCTAGGGGTTTTTGCCCTTGGCATTTCGAAAACGAAGAATAAAAACTATGTTGTCGCAGGGCCCAAAATTCGCATGCAAGATTTTGCAACTATTTTCACACGCGTCACTGGTCGTCAGGCGATTTATTCGCCGACAACTTTGGATGAGTGGGCTGATTTGGCATCGGAAGCAGTCGGGCCTGGATTTAAGGAAGACATCCGGCAAATGATGGAATGGGCTTCAATCATGCCCGATGACAAGATTTGCTACGGTGCCCTTGATCCGGCGGAAGATCCTTCTTGGGAAGATCTTGGTCTTCGTGCCAGCGGCTTTGAAGACTGGCTAAAGCGTACAGGTTGGACTGGACCATAGATTAGTTGTCAGGGTTCATGAGGAGATCTCTTCGAATGAGAGGATTTTGCCTGTGAGCATTTTCACGTCCGCAGTCTTGCTTGTCATTTTCCAAGACCTGTCATCGAGTTGATATAAATGTTATCACAAATTGTAAAATCTGTAACTAACCATTAATTGATGTATTGTCCTAGTTATGGTATTTGACATAGAACATAGTTGCTACCCAATCGATCTTCTCATTATCCTTCGGCACGTTTTGATTCTAACGATCTTGACAAATTCCGAGCCACCAAAAAAGCCATATCGGACTTTCTTCCGAGATATTGAAGCGCCCGGATCGAAAACTCACAATTCTGGCGCAAGCACTCAGTATACACATTTTGCTCTGCGGAAACATCGAAATTTTCTAGCAAGATATATCCCGCCTTGGCAAAAGAATGGACTAGCACAGCCGTCCACGGTTCGACTAGGAAGGCCACTTCACTGAGAGAATCATGGAAATGGCGGTTCATGAACGAGTCCTGCCCTTGTATTGAAGCCCGGGCAAGTCCACCGACTGCTAACGCATTATTCGTTCTAAGCGTAGCAACCAAGTGGGTAGCTTGCCGAGTTTCACATGCAATATCAGAGCCGAGCCTGCATTTGTCAATGCTCTCTAGCACGTCCGCCAAAAGCATCACAGCGAGGTGCCAATGGCCGTCGAGGATGACGTACCACGATTGTATGCGAGAAGGAAGCAGTTCATGATTGGTGACGCAATCGACCATGAAACTCTGGTATGTGGAATCCCAGTGCTGGCAGACTTGGAGGGTCTTTTGGATGACATTTTCAATATGATCGGGACTAGCACCTCGGTAAACCAGAGTTTGGAGCTGCGTCACCCGACGATAGAGCAGTACCTTGACAGGAGTCGCCTCCGAAAGTACAGATGCAGCTTCTTCGTAGGAACATGGCCACCTCGGCTGGACTTGGCTCGATCCTTGACGTTCCATTGAAGAATGAAGAAAGAAATCACCCCACACATCCTGCTTCACACGTATCTTGCTTCTTGGAATATTCCAGTGATCCAAATCAAGTTGATTCCCGGGCTCAGCTATTGGTGGTGAGACCGATGAAATTTGACTATCCTCATCCGAGACTACTAATGGACGCTGATACATTGCAGAACTCAGGGTATCAAACATAACGCCTAGCCAAAACATGAGGTCTAGCGTAGTGCGGTGTTCTTGGCTAGTCAGAAGTGGATCGAGTTGCGGAGGCTCTGACGGCTGTGGCATTTCCAGAATGTTTATCGTTGTCGGGTCTATCGACCCCCTCCCAAGCTCTCGCACCTTGGGGGCAGCCTCTCGCTGCAGTCTTGTGAACTTGTGCCGAAAAGTGAAAATTTGGCGGTTGGCGTTTTCCAGAAATATTGGCGCACGATCATTCTCCAAAAGTTCTTCCAAGCTTGCTTCCTGTCCTTTGTCCAGCGGACTTTGCGTCAAAGAGAAAATGATGTTTGCGAAGGCGATGCGAAAAGACGGAATGCTGCTCGAATGCTCTAAAGCGTGGCGTGCTTCGTTCCAAACTTTCTCTCGGATTGCTCTCTCATCATGGTCGATTGCCGAAGGAACTGACGCACCGGTGCCTTTCTGTGCATGTTGAGTCCACTGCGATGCGAACGACATGATCGCTAGATGAAGGGCTCGAGCTGCCTTTGTATCTTCTTCCGCACTTAACGCTCTGCCGCGTATTGAAGATGATACACGATCCAACCGACAGACTCGAATACACATTCTGTTTGACCAATTTGGACCCCATTCTTTCATCCCTTGATGAGGAACCACTTGGCTGATTGAGTCGCTGTAAGGGCAGTTATGCTCTGTCAACCAACATGACAAAGCATTCTCCATGCTGTCGTGGTATATGCGGACTAGGTTCCGTGACATCGTTGCACGAGCGCTTTGCTTAGCTGTATTTTCGGAAGCGATGCAAAAGTTCCATTGTAGTTCAGGGTTTGAGCTTCGGTCAGACGCAGCCTCTGATGGATTTTTGTGTCGACTCTGTTTCCACATTGGAACCGTCGATATGAGATCAGCAGTGGGTGTATATTCATGCTGTGGTAATAAGCTGTACGTGCTTTCGACAGAACCTGGTAGCAAATCCAAAAGTTCACCCTGGGCGTCGGATTCCACGGAGTAGTCTGGAGATCCATGTGGCTTTGAGTTATTAATTTGCAAATCGTATGGGATGTTCATCGTCCAAGGAAATAATTGAGACTGGCCATCGCTTGAATTGGGGATTTGGAATGACTCCAGAAAGTGATTTTCTGGGTACGAAGAGGACGAGGACGAGGCGTAATCTGAGGTCTCAGGGGAGCCAAGCAATTCTGGCAATTCTCCGAGAGTGGCAGGATGTGTTTGTGCAGGGCGCAGTATCTCGTCAAGAGCTTCGTCATTAGATCCTACGATAGTTGTGTTTGTAGTGTTCGATTTGATTCGTTTTCGACTCCCTCTCGAGTCCACGCGCTTTGAGGAGATCCAATTGAATGTGCACTCTTTTTTCCATCGTGTACAGTTCGAGCACGAACTGAAAGCGCTCTTTTGTCGCTCTTTCTAAGTATCAAAGTTAGTATCCGCCGTTGATAACATAAAGACATGTTAACAAACAGGTGCGTCGCAGCCTCTTTTGCCCTTGCGACATGGGTCACAGCTATGAAGCTGACGTCGGCGGGAGTCTTCCATGCTAAGCTATTGCCTGTATTATTGGTGGTGAATTGTACCTGCCGGAAAGAAGGCAGAATTTTGTCACCAATACATAGTATGCAGAAGGAGTACAAAAAGGGTATTCAGTATTCAGACTATGATATTTCATAATCCCTGGGGGAACACGTGAACTTTGCGGAGTGCGGAGTGAGTTTGAGTGGGGTAAGAGTGGGGAAGCTAGGGCATGCATCCGTCCGCGGGTCGACACGAGTCAGCTTCGGTCCAGTGGAACCATAATTGTACTCTATGTTGTACTATTGAGATGGTCGAGATGCTTGAGACGGATACTGCCAGGTGTGCCGTAGGATGAAATGACCGCAGTCACCAAACATATGGACCTAACGTATAATGAATCCAAGACTGTGTAAGAAGATATTAATGGCTAATCTTACTCTGCAGCTAAGACATCGCATTTTTGGGATGCGCGCCCGGTATCCCGAAAAGGGACGGATAATCATCTTACCGAGACCGAGCCAATCGTACCCTACCACGACAGCCCGGCCGAGAAATACGCTAATGTATGCACGCCACAGGTAATAAATATGGTATTATTTCAGATGCATACAACAAATTAAATGCAGACAACGCTATGAGCTACATACTGATGATTGATGAGGAATGATTTTTAGTATTCATATTACCAGCAAAAAAAGTAAAGTGGCATGCATGCATTAGCGTACTTCTCGGCCGGGCTGTCGTGGTAGGGTATAAACCGCCCCCAACGGGATGTGCTCACCGGTTTGCCCGGCGCAGTTACTACTGCAGATTGATCTTCAATGTGATCGACCAATTGAATGTGGCAGGTAGCGGAGTTATTTCTTTGTACATTTAGGGGCAGTATTTCCCTACAGCCTTGCCAATTTAATTTCTCCTCCTGATCTAATGAACAAGCTTTCTAACTAATTGATTGATATGCTTAGCTGATTGGTCAAGTCACCGTCTACAATAACTTCTACAATAGCTAGTTCCTGAGCAAAATCGTCCCGGGATTTAAATTTCCACATGTTGTGCACTCAATATGTAGATTTGATTTTCCATGATATGTTTAACTTGGAAACGTAAAACAGCAGTCGAAACCCTCCCAGCGATCTGAAGCTTACGACTGAGAAAGGTGCACACGGACTGTCTTCACCTCAGTATAGTTCTCCAGCGCGTATGATCCAAGCTCTCGGCCTATTCCTGATTCTTTGAAACCACCAAACGGCATCTGGTAGTGAAGGGTGTTGTAGTTGTTAACCCACACAGTTCTGTTGCAAGAGATGTCAGCAAATTCATGAGCCATGGAAACCAGCTTTGCTATTCAATTGACTCACCCAGCTTTGATAGCGTTGGACACTCTGATGGCAGTGTTGATGTTCGTGGTGTGGACAGCTGCGGCCAAGCCTATTTTAAATCAATCAAGTCAGACCATGGAAAGCATATTGAATGTGAGATCGTGTAGTACTTACCGTAGTTTGTGTCGTTCGCCACTTGAATAGCCTCCTCTTCACTGTGGACCTTCTGTACTGTGCACACGGGTCCAAAGATCTCTTCTTTCACAATCGCCATGTTCTCAGTGACATCAGCAAAGATCGTGGGTTGGATGTAGTATCCTTCGCTGCCATGCCGATCGCCACCCGTGACCACCGTGGCACCTGCACCCTTTCCATCCTGAATATAGCCCATAATCCGGTCATATTGAACCTGGGATACCTGAGGGCCCTGGAAGGTCTCGGCACTGAACGGGTCTCCGACCTTGTTTTTCTCTGCTCGCTTCTTGAAAAGCTCCAGGAACTTCTCGTAGATAGCTTCGTGAACAAGAATGCGAGAGCCTGCACAACAGCACTGTCCATGATTAAAGAAAATGCCCAGGTTGACCCATTCAATTGCTTCCTCTAGGTTGGCATCGGGGAGAATGATGTTCGGTGACTTGCCACCCAGTTCAAGAGTCACTTTCTTCAAGTTGCTATCGGCCGCGGCTTTCATGATCTGGCGTCCGATCAGAGTCGACCCAGTGAAAGCAACCTTGTCAACATCCATATGAGCGGCGATCGCCGCGCCCGCAGTTCTTCCGAATCCTGAAATAACATTGACGACTCCAGGGGGGAATCCGGCTTCTTTGATAAGCTTGGCCACATAGAGACCTGAAAGGGGCGTTTGTTCAGCCGTTTTCATAACGATTGTGTTTCCAGTAGCCAGAGCAGGGCCAATCTTCCAAGCGAACATCAACAGCGGGAAGTTCCATGGAATAATTTGACCACACACACCGACCGGTTCGTGGCGCGTATAGGTCAAGCTATTACTATCAGTGTCAATCGTTTGACCGTAAATCTTGTCGGCCCAGCCACCATAGTAGCGCAGGCATCCTGCAGAGGCGGTAACGTCGCCTTTGGCCATTGTCACTCCCTTGCCATTATCAAGGGCTTCAATAGCGGCCAACGTTTCGATATCGCGTTCTAGGAAGTCTGCTAGACGAGTGAGGAGACGACCACGTTCGGATGGTGTGACTTGTTTCCACTCTCCATTCAAGGCTTTGCGAGCAGCTTTCACGGCAATATTGACATCCTCTTCCGCGCCTTCGTGCACGGCTACAATAGGCTTCTCGTTGTGAGGGTTGATTGTCTCGAAGGTTCTGCCTGCCACACCCTTGACAAATTCATTATTGATGAATCTTATGTTTTGTCAGATCATTGGCTAGACGCATTAAGGTTTGGATTTGTTTGGCCCAACTTACAGTCCCAAAGGTTGCTCATATGTGAGCACGGGGGTCTCGACGGTTTGGAAAAGTGACATGATTGAAGAATAAGAGTCAGTCGATGATATAGATTTAACAGAATGTGAGATATGTGAGAGTGTGAGGCATGATAGTCACTCTTATATAGCTACTGTGAAGGGCCCGGTTAGCCACGGTCGAGGGTGCATAGCGCGGGGAAAGCATTGAGATCGATAAAGGCCGGCCCGATGTTTTTCGCTGTCTGGGGTAGCAGCTCACGTACCCCGGTTTTTTCCTTCGATTTGCGGTTCCGCTCGCCCGAACTATCAGCTAAAAGTGGGGAATGCATCAACCCCGTATTTTGAAAGTGTTCGGCAAGGGGACTCGATGTGAGGGACTGCCTGCAGAGGAAGTGAGGTGTCCTACCCAATCATCTTACTTCATATTGCCATTTGGTTATATCAATTTCATCTGAATTATGCCCACTTAGGCAAAGACACAGAGTTAAGTCTTATTTGGGTAGACGGCGCATGTGCTCTTGGTACTAGTAGTATCGTGCTTCAATATAAACTATATATTTCAAATCTAGCGAGCTCTTCCAAAGTGAACCGTTGGCCCGACGTCTCTTATTGATAGCCCTTTATGTAACGCATGGCATGTCCTCTATTTCGACCGCAATTGTTGGGCCCACAACTGGGGCGCTCAGGCCTCAGAGCTCGGCGATCAACTCGATGACAAGATCGTAATTCCCCAGGCTGTGTGGATACTAGTAAAATGCGGAGAATAGCTCTAAAAACCAAAAATCAACATCAGTCTTATCTTGAATGGCACGACAAGGAGAGGCAGTATCAAAGATTTTCTTGTGTATCAATCGTTGATAGTCAGTCAAATTCAGCATCTCAATTTATATATCACATAAACTCGCACGCAAGTATCCACACCTATATACAGCACTCTCCTAGTCCTTAATATGTGTCCATAGCATGATTTATCAATGGTCAACCACCATTTACTCCGGCAACTCGAGCACATAGCGGCCGGCAATCTTGCCTTGTTCTGTTTCAAGTTAGTTTTGAGTCAAGTATACAGGTGGGAGTGTGTCACGTACCCATAAGCTCGAAGATCTTGGGGAGATCCTTCAGAGGCGCCAGCTTGAATGGAGCTTTTATCAAGCCTCGGGCGAAGAAGTCGAGAGCTTCAACGCCATCCTGTTGATTTCCAACGTAGCTTCCCTTTATAGTGATCATACGAACGACAGTACTAATCACCGGGGCCTTGAGGAATGCATCTGGGGGCAATCCAATCGCAACAATTGTGCCTCGAGAGCGAACGTATTCTGAGGCTTGTTGGAAAGGCTTCTCGGAGACAGCCAACAAGATAACCGCATGAGCACCAAGACCATCAGGGGTTGCCGCTTTCACGTCGGCAACAAGGTCCTTGGACTTAGTAAAGTCGACAAAGGTCTGGTTTTTTGTTTTTATTAGCTTTGATATTCAATGTAGAGGAATGTCAGGGTATAGGGATATTAGTATCATACCTCAGTGCCAAGCGACTCGCACATCTCTCTCTTCTCGTCGCCTCCATCAATAGCGACTACTCTAAGACCCATGGCCTTTGCGTATTGCTGTGCAAGTGACCCAAGGCCACCGCCTGCTCCAACAATAGCAACTGTCTGGCCAGGACGAACACCGGATTCCTTCAAACCTTTGTACACAGTAATACCGGCACAGAGCACTGGGGCTGCTGCATCAAGAGGGACACCCTTAGGGATCTTAGCAGCATGGGTGGCCTTCCCGACCGCATATTGCTGGAAGGTACCATCGACAGTGTACCCAGAAAGTTGCGCATGAGCGCACAGAGGGGTATCGGATTGTCTGCAGAATTCACACTCAGAGCACGAGCCGTTGATCCACTTAATTCCCGCGTGGTCACCGATCTCAAAGGTGCTCACGAGATCACCCTTGGCCACGACCACTCCAGCTCCTTCGTGGCCACCGACCAGAGGCATCTTGACTGGGATGGGCCAGTGGCCCATCATCGCATGGTAGTCGGTGTGGCAAACGCCTGAGTAGCGAATTTTTACCAGAATCTGATCAGGACCTGGCTTAGGAACGGGAATTTGTTTGAGGACAAGTGGCCCTCCGATCTTTTCGGCCACCTGCGCCCATTGAGTCTCGGGAATGGACATGTTGATGAGATGAAAATGAAGTTTGAGATGAGTTAAAAGTGTTTTGGAATAGAGAAATATTCTTTGGTGAGTTGATGATCGTTTTCTGGGCCCCAATTGGAGCTTTATAGCTGAGCGTGTGGTGTGGGATGTCTGGGGTAACAAAAGGCGAGGCGGAGCCTGTCCCTTCAATTCTCATATTTCTTGCCATCTTGGGAGAATTAGGTCGGCCCACCGGAATCCATCAAGGGTGAGAGAGGATCCGGGATACCGTAATTGGTAGATTGATTGAGGATCAGTGTGTATGATCCAGGAACTGCCATGCACCTAGACTTGGAACGAAGCAAAGTTAATGCGGGGAAGGTTTGCGGGGATCGCGCACGGCCCGCCATGCGGAGCCGCACGGGTAGCGAATGCGATTGGATGCAATTTTCACCGAAATGCTCTCTTGTACGGTTTCGGGACGATCTCGGGCTCACAAATGCCGTTGGGGCTATGCATTAGGCTAAACAAATGTAAAGATAGAGATGGTTTGCGGAGAAAAAAATTATCCAAGAGCTGTTGAAAAACTAGAGTAGGTGGGGATTGACGCTTAACCCCCCAAAACACCGCAACAAATACATCCAAAATATTGACTAAGTCAACGCCTTCCGGGCTTAGCCACTATGGTTGATATAAGAAATACTGGTATAATCATATTTCGAAACTTCAACTTGCTAGTCGTACAAGAAAGAAAAGAGGATGGCGACTTTGAAAATCCTGGAAGGGGAAAATCCCCGAAAATTAAACATACAAGCCCCATCTATCTTTCTCTACCATCTCATCCTGTTCATAATTATAACACTATCAAAAGCTTCCGCTTTGCGCTTCCTTTGGCCGCCGTAATCAGAAATCATGGGGTTCTTCTTCCATTCCGTGAGGAAAGAATGTACTTGACCAGCCACTGCTGATAGCAAATCCGGAACATGGTTCGTCTCTTGCATACATGTGTAGCTTTGCCAAGCTGGTTCCAAAGCCGTCCTCCGGAGGTTGGTATGACGTCCCAACTTCACTATCTTCAGATACGCTGGAAGATCTCTCTGACCAAGTCGCGTATTCAGCATCTGAGATGAAAGTCATGAAATTGTCATTTCCTTTAACAATACTTCCCTCAAAAGCTTGGTTTCCGAATTCGAAACTTGATCTTGTGGTATAGAAAAAGTTTAAATCAATGACTTCATCAAAGACTTCGTCAAATGAGTCGCTTCTGTGGTGTTGGATATGTCCATCATCGTTGGCTTCTTGTTCAGTGATCTCGTTGCTATACCCGATTTTAACATAAGCATGCAATAGCCTGAAGTGGAACGGAACTGACTCATAACTTGTGGTATTCAAAATATTCTCTTGTTGATGTTGCGTTTGCTGTGGAGAAGTACCACAACTATACAAGCCAACCTTGGCTACTTTCTTCGTGCCTTCATTGAGATATTTAGGCGGTTTGCGATATCCATCGACACATTGCGATGGCATTTTGCGCTTCACGCATTGCCCACAAGGGCGTTCATTTCCTACCGCTTTTTGTTAGTTTATGATTCTCTTTCTCGAGACAACAAACGGGCGGGGAGCTCCCTTGGCTTACCGCATGTTTTATGGGCCTTTTGACAATACAAGCAGGATCTTCTAGCCTTTCTACGGGGGCGAGAGAGTTGAAATTCAGTGCGAGATGCCATGTTCAAACTAGTCATCTTGAATTTGCGTAGTGTGGGATCTTCAAGGAAAGGAGATAAGCGTCATGCCTATCGTTGCGACAAAGTTGGTATCAGGCGTTATAGATACCTAGGTGAATGATTCGTTATGAGGGTCGCTAACACCAAGGGTTTTCACAAAATATGGCCACCAAGGTGTTTATCATAAAGAATGCGTCCATCGAATGCCATATCGAATTTGAGACGTCAACCTGAGCGGCTCCGCATCTATTCCGCATGTATGGCCATCCTAGTTCCTGCAATGCTTAGCTTCCTCCCCCAGAGGGAAATATCTGGGTCGTCTTCCACTTCAAAATAATGCGGGGTAAACCACCCAAATGCGCAGATCAGCTTTGATTTTAGCCGTGCGGCTCCGCATGAAATCTCGGATCCGCATGGCCCGAACCATACGCGTCGTCGGGTCTTGGCAATCGGTGATCTCTTCCACGGGTTGAATCCATCCACATCCCATGATCTGCGTCTCCCCCACAAAAAGGAATGCAAACTATCAAACTCTTTCTCCTCACTGTGCATCCGAACCCCCGACATGAGAGTTTCTGTGGCAACTCGACGAGTGGGGAGAAAAGCAATTCAGCGAAGGTAACGATCATCATGGTTAGAAGCCAGGTACATACGGGACACAGCACATCGATATGCTCCATTGGCCAGTCCCCGATCAGCCAGCCAGTGGATCCACTGTCTATTTTCACCCGTTATTGAGTTCACTTCCCATTCTAGACTCATCCAGCCTTGCTACAAACTAACCCCATACTAACTGTCTGATTGGGCGCGGTGGAACGGAGTATTGATTATGCCTTCCCCCTTTTCCACGCTGAAATGAGCGAATACCAACTACCCCTTGCCATACCCCAGCTTCGAAGTCTGGGGCAGGGTTAAAAGTCCCACAGTCCCCGCATATTGAAAACTTGCAAGGCTCGTTTCTCAGAGCTTCCATTCTCATTACCTGCTATACTATATTAGTCTGATCTTTGATACTAGAGAGACCGATTCCAGCGAGAACAAAATGGACAGCGACATGAGTCAAAATGGCGAGTCAAAGATGACTTTCCAAAACAAGGAGAGCACTCAAAATGGTCTCACTACAGTCCCAACATCTGTGACACTGTCATCCGAACAATTTGAAAGGCTTTATTTGACTCCCATGACGGTTCGCCAATCACCACTGGCGAAGAAGGTTGGAAATCCAACACCATTGTGAGTTTTCGAATATTATATTCTGCTCATGGCACTTTGATCTAACTATCTGATTCAACATCAAGAGCACTGGGAGGTTTCGTCATCACCACCACCCCCTTTCATGCTGCTTGATGGCCTGGAGAGGAGCCAGTGGAAATGGCGTTGCTTTCATGTGAGACATCAAACGAATCGACGAGGGAGCCTCATCTAATGAACTTAACAGTGGACCTATCGTCTTCCTTGGTGGTCTTTTGTTGCTCATAACGAGTATTCTTGAGTTTATCATCGGAAATACATTTCCCTGTGTTGTGTTTGGCACTATTGGTATGTCTTCCCTGGGAAAAGCCACGGTCACTCGTTCACGGTGCTGATACTTTACCAAGGAGGGTTTTGGTTTGCATTCGCCGCTACAATGATTCCCGCTTTCAATGCGGCCGGTCAGTTTGCCCAATGAGATATCTCATTCCGTCCCAGTCAAGGTCTCGGTTTGCTCACATTTTATAGCCCCTTATTCCTCGTCAACCACCGATACAGCTGCCGGGCTAGCCAGCGAAGGGTTTATGAATACATATGGTAAGTTTGACCAAATACTCTCCAATTCGATGAATGGCTCTGATGATAACAGCGTTTCTATTTATAACTATGGCTGTTCTGATGTTAATCTTCATGATTTGTGCAACACGCATCAATGTGGTATACACACTTATTTTCCTCAACTTGCTATTGGTTTTCCTTCTTCTGTCTGCGGCCTATTGGCAGCTAGGCCAAGGCAATGCTGCTATTGGTGATCGATGTGTAAAAGTGAGTATCATTCCAAGTCTTTACGATTTCGCTGCTATTTTGACTGGATGCTAACTCGATCTTTCTTCTTTCCAGGGTGCTGGAGCTTCACTCTTTGTTGCTAGTTTACTCGGCTTCTACCTGTTGATTGTTCAATTATTTGAGTCCATAGGGTTCCCATGCTTCTTGCCGGTTGGAGACTTGGCGGCCCTTTGGACTCGGAATCAAGACAAGTGAGTTTTCTAACAGCGATTGAATGATTTGTTCTGACAGAATACAAGAGGAGTGCGAGACGACATTGAACAGCCAACCGTTCGCTAGAGTTTCATCTTTCACGATGCATCTAGTGTTGCTTTCCGGTACCAAAAGCTTACTATCTGGGATATACAGAAAAGCTTCATGTTCACTTCCATGATCTAATTCTGGGTCCTAACGGCCGTTCCGCTCTCTGTTTGTTTCCTTGTGCTTTTACAGGTTATTTTATTGCGCGCCGTAAACGAGGCAATGTGAAAAGCCTAAGGGATGGGTTTACTATAGGTTGCCAGGTCAGCTTCCAAAACCTGCGCAGATTGACTTGCACAAACATGCTTACCACGCAAATTAATACAGCTTATCTTATAAATTTGATCGCTGAACTCCCCTGAGCATTCATAAAAAGCAAAGTACTCAAATCGAATAGTATTATTGCTCCGCGGAAGCTAGCTCTATCAAAAATCAAGCTGCCGTCGCAATATTTCAACCAAGCATGATCCGATCTAGAATATTAAAATAGAGAAAATGCTCGGGACCCACAGTCTAAGATTCACCTACCGCCAAGCCCGGCAATTGCCTATTCAGGCAGTGTGGATAACCTCAGGATCACGACTTGTTATCGGCGTTGAACCTGCAGGAGACAAGCTTATCTCTGCGCAAAACCTTTTGCCAGGCTGTCACCTTGAGACAAAAACACTGACAAACCTGCGTTTGCTACAGACACATGTACTTATTTGTGGTTTACCACTACATTTTGAGACCACCGAGAATTTCATCCTACCACATCTATCTTCATTTTTACATCTTTCATCTACCCCATTTATTAACCTGTTTTATCATTGAACTCATCATCATCTCCATCATCTAGAGAGTCTCATCGTCTGAGGTAGTTAGGATAAGCCTATTGCCACGGCTATACTCTTCCGGGAACAGGAACCGTACAGCCTATGAGTCAGTAGCCTGTCGGTCCACGGGTCCTTCTTTCCTTCAAACCATAGAGGCTCTCCAACCCTCAATATACCGACTACTACGCCGGAACTGTTTCTATTCTTCACTCAACATGCACCTATCGGATTTGCCAAATGAGCTTGTAATATTGATAGGCGAATTTCTTGATGATGAATATTGCATCAACGCACTCCTCCAAAGATGCAGACGATTTTATCTACTACTGAATCATTCCCTCTACCAATTTAACGTGCGCTACTCGCACGCCTGTTCTCTCGAATGGGCTGCGAAAAATGGCTACGAAGCAACTGCGCGATATGCACTGGAAGCTGGAGCTTCCCCTAATGCCACTCACTATGAAGACTGGCTTCCGATGGCGCTAGCTTGCATTCATGGACACGAAGCTGTTGTGCGTTTGTTGCTAGACTACGGAGTCAATCCAAATTCAACTGAAAGCTGGCTTCAAGACCCTTCAATTGAAGCCCGGAGCGATGACGAAGGCTGCCCGTTGATACTAGCAGCTGGTCGTGGGCATGAAAATGTTGTTCGGCTCTTGCTTTCTTACGGGGTCTCTCCAGATATCCGTTGTGAAGGTACCCACGGGCTTGATATCTCACCCCTTTCAATGGCAGCAAGACAAGGCCATCTATCGATTGTCAAACTCCTCGTCTCCCTCGGCTGCGATGTTCATATCGAGGGCTGGGTTGGGTCAAGTATTCTCGCTGATGCGGCCTATGGAGGCCATTGCGGAGTCGTTCGGTTCTTACTAGAGACGATCCCTGATCTAGAGTCTCCTCAAACGGCTAGTGAAGCGCTATTTAGGGCGGCCGATGAGGGTCACTTGGAGACAGTCGAGCTTCTCCTAGAGCATGGGATGACTCCGACCCCAACCATGGCAGGCCGGCCTCTACGTCCATTGATCAAGGCTGTACAACGTGAACACTACGTAGTAGTTGATCAACTTCAGAGGTCTATAGATCTTCGTGCCTTTATCGCGCACGGTGAGCCTGATGATGATACCCATAGACAGCTGCTCCTAGCTAGTGCTGCATGCGGCTGGGAAGACCTAATTGAAGAGTTGCTTGAGCGAGGCTGCTCATCCGGTTTTCTTCACCCCCAGTCTATGCTATGGAGCATCAAAGAAAAGCTCTCGGAACCGATACATCTTTCTTACCTAATCCTACTCCACCCATCGCCTCTAGCGTTGGCAGCCCATCGAGGTCATCATAGGGCTGTCGAGCTGCTGCTCAACCACAACTCATTGGTAATTGAAAGAGAGCCAACCCCGCTGCTTTTAGCAATTGACGGCGCCCATACGGGGATTGTCAATACGATTTTAAACAGCGGGGCAAATCCAAATCACCAAACCCAAAATAAGGTCCCAGTGCTTTTTAAAGCTGTTCAAACGCCGGAAATACTTCAATTATTGCTCGATCGTGGAGCAGACCCTGGAATAAATGCAACTTATGCCTTTAGTGCGCATGATCACGAATCGATTTTCGCGAGGGCGTTGAGAACTGGAAGTCTCACCGCGCTGCATATTCTACAACGGACGGCTTCATTCATACAGCCTCCGTGCGTTGAGGGCTCTCATCCGAAGTCATTCCTTGAGGCGGCTGCTCAAGGCGGCCCATTGATGATACGATATCTTCTTGATAGCAACTATCAAGTTGTGCCAGGGAGTCATGAAGTTGGGAGGGCGCTACGTATTATACTATCTCGGGCAGATACGGTCTCGTTGACTCTTCTATTCGAGAGAGGACTAGTCGGCAACTTGACCGCAATCGACAACGAAAGTTTGATGGTGGTGGTAGATTCACCAAACGAAGACTGTGATGCTATGGCTGCTACTCTGGACATACTTATAGCACATGGAATTGACGTCGAAGGGGGTAAAGAGTCCCCTCTGTATGGTGTTGTTTTCAGGGAGAGAACGACCAATTTCTGCCAACTATTATTGGATCGAGGGGCCGACCCACTCCGAGCTCGTGGAAAATTTGGCACCGCCCCTTTGGGAAAGGCAGCGAGGCATGGGTACAAGAATTTATTGCGAATTATGCTGAAAATTCTGGATCGGCGGAACATTCCACTTGAGGAATTGCAACCGAAGTTGGCTGAGGCAGAGTGGGAGGCAGAGTTAGGGCAAGAGGACATTTTGGTAGAACACGATGTGCGACCACTTTTACGCCGTTTCTACTGGCGAAAAAAGTATCAAGACATGCCAACATCCCGGCTAGACCGAGAGGGCTAAAAACTAATGGTTCCGGGATGGAAAAGACGTCAAAGTGGTCATTGAAAAGAGCAAACCTCGAACTCAAGCAAAGATTTTCAAATCCAGCCTGCCTCGGCCCCCTGAGCCCTTGCTTGGTCAATATATGTACGGTAGAGTAGGGATAAGACTCCCCGCAACAAAAGTTCGTCGATAGTAATTGCTTTTGTGTTCGCCGAGTTATAACTACCTATCATATTTAGAAATTAGTCACATATTATCATTAGTATAGTATAAACGTATAGTAGGTGAAAAGATGTGGCTGTTAGAAGTAGCGTAGACCATAACCTAACTCGGTATACTCCCATAATAACTAGGCCTCGTATTCCAAACATTTGCCTCGGGTTTGTCAGAGGGAATGCACCTCTTCATATCTCGAGCTTTTGTGGGTGAGTACCACATTGGTTCCAATCTGCTTGGCGGCAGTGGCTACGTCGATCGAGCGGTCTAAGAGTACTCAGAGCTGGCTTAAAGGCTGGGCTTTATGGCCCATATTCTTCTATTCTCTATCCAATATTCCCGGTGCCGTACATGTTCTTTTCGGCACGGTGATGCTTTCTTCTGTCCTTTTCATTGGAACGTTAGATTCAACCGTTGTCTGTCAATTTATCACAGCGCTAGAGTTAGAGCGTGTGGAGAACTTGGGCGCGGGATTTAAGAGAAGTAAGTGAAAGAGGGGGGAGAGAGAGAAGAGGCCATTGTTGCAGAGGGAATGGTGTGCTGCAGTTGTTGAGAACTCGAGCACTCGGTCCTGAGAGGACCGCAAGCCCGAGGGAACTGAAGCGGTGGGGAGGTAGGGAAAGAAACAAAATGTTTCTTAGTCACTTCAAACACAAGAGCTCCTCTCGTCATTCATATGAGATCGGCCTTGCTTTGGGGGCAATCTAGGTAGAACTCCCGAGGTCGAACCGAATCTCAAACCTCGCGGTTCTGCGGTTCTAGAATATGATATCTGAAATCCTCACGGTACCACGGTTCTCTTGCGCCTCGAGGCTTGTAGTATGACAGCTAGGGAAGGCGGTACATCTGGTAAATATATTCTTACCAGCCATCTGATGAATATCCTTCCTGGCCTTAGGCCTCAGTGCACATTTATTCCTTTGCAGTAGAACCACACTTGTATGAATTTGCCAGGGATTTCTAAAAGGTTCATGATGTAGCTGGGAAAATGATGTAGCTGGGAAAAACATTGAGTCAATGTGCGTAATACGTATACACCTTGTTGCATATCCACATGCGGGCCATTCCCCACATCGTGCATGAGTCTTCATGACTCAACCAGCCCCGCCCTCCCGAGGTCCACACCAATTGGATATATAGAACTGCTCTTCCAGGGATCAATTAGCAGCATAGAACAAAATCCGACCCAATTCACGGAGTACATCACACTCCATCAATTCCTCCGACTCCAATCCTTCGTGAAAATTCTGGGCACAGTGACACCCACAACCTCAACCTCAACCATGTCACCCACTACGACCCCAATGACCTTCTACGACATCGCCCTCGCACCGCCTATTGAAAAATCCGCCTGCTCCCCAAATCCCTGGAAAAGCCGCTTCGCCCTGAACTTCAAAAATATTTCCTACAAAACAACCTGGGTACCCCTACCCGACATCAGCTCCGTCCGCGGCGCTCTCAACATCCCCGCCTCGCGCAAATTCGCCGACGGATCCCCCTACCACACCCTCCCCGTTCTCTCCGATCCAGCCACCGGACGCATAGTGGGCGACTCCTTTGAAATCGCGACATACCTGCAGGAACAATATCCGTCGTCGGGCGCGGGGGACTTGTTCCCGGAACAAGAGCTGGAGTTCGTCTTTGGGCGGGATTTGGGGCTTTACGCGCCAATTGCGGAGGCGCAGGCCGCGGAGGGCCCTGCTGTAGCATACGCGAAGTTCAATGGGAATGTCGATGCTGTGTTTAGTGCGCATGCGCAGCTGACGGTGGATGGTTTCCCGTTTGATCCTGCTATTGCGGAGGAGTGCAAAGCGATGTTCGCGAAGAGGATAGGGGTGCCATGGGAGGCTCTGGCGGTTAGTGGGGAGGAGAGGCGGGAGTTGTTGAGGACGTTTGAGGAGACACTAGGTGGACTTGCGAAATTGTTTATGGGTGATGCGAGTGGGCCGTTTCTGTTGGGGAGTAAGGCAAGTTATGCGGATTTCATTGTGGGTGGGTGGTTGCGTATGATTCGGGTCATGTTGCCCGCGGAGGAGTGGGAAGCGTTGAAGGGGTGGCATAGCGGTGTATTTGGAAAGTTACATGAGGCGCTAGAGGTGTTTGCGCAGATGGACTAGATCTGGGTCATGTAATGGACGATGCTGTATGATTATAGAACAAAAAGCATCCCATGGATATATTCGGCCCGCACGGTCCAACACGAGAAGCGAGAGTATCCACTTTGTTTTGAGCCTCAATTGGTCTTTTTCCAAGGTTATTGAGATCCGCAGTCCTACTCCGATAATTCATATAGACAATTCTGAAGTTATGACTCATCTTTTGAGTATTGGTTCCAAAGTATTTTACGACTACCTAGTTGACTACATATATGGTACGGAGCGATTTATACGGTCTAGAAACATCCGTGTTGTCGGAGTCTCAGCCTATCCATAGTATGCATTGACCACGAGCACTGAATCCAAGGAGGCAACGCCCAGAGTTAACTGTAGGGCTGACTCTCCTAGTAGAATGGCGAGAGAGTAAAGTACTGAATCCTGCACATTTCGCGGCAACTACCATTTGTTTATCTGGCACTTTAGCTATCCATCAGTACACGGCTTTATGTTGGGTTTACAGTAACTAAATATATTTCCTGATTCTGTGGTACTTTTGGCGCCGTGACTCATGCGGGGAGGACGTCCACGGGTGACTCACGGAGATTTTGGAAGGAAAACGTATATTCCTTGAGTATGTACATTATGGATGTAACCATATTCGTTGATATGACTATTTGCTCAGCCTCATATGGGTACAAGCTGAGCTTAGACCTCGTTTGCTGCATATAAAGGCCCAGGTTGTGCCTTCCTTCTCCTCCCCTGAGTTTTCTTAAAGTCTTCAACCTCACAATTCACGATCATCCCACTAACCATGGAGCGAGTAAGGAAAACCTTCTTCGACCCGCTCGCAACATCGAAAGCTCGGGTTCGAGAGATCCTAAAGGAGCTTCCGGTCGGCTCTGCACACCCTTTTAGTCCCGAGCGACTTCTTCTTTGTCGGACAGACAGCGGCATTGACGAAATTGATATCTCCTCCTATCCAGATGACTTTTTCTTCAATGCCGTGGACCTGGGTGAGATGGGTGAGATCCTTCTGAGGCGTATGGCTGGTTTCCAGCCTCATCTGGGTATGTCTTCTCTTGTTCTGCTTCAAGAAAATTTCGAACAAAGAGTGAACACTAAGTATCAGCAGGGATATTCGAGAACTTCCAAATCCTACAAGCACCAGCCTCGACGTTCAAGGTCCCGATACTGTCCGGCCAAATTACAATCCTGGCAGTCTCTCAAAGAAAGCCCACTTACTACGATTTCTGCTTCGCGGATGCATCATGCAACACGTGTTGCTGGAACGCAACACGTACCTTTCCAGGAATTACTCATAGCAGCGATGTCACCAATGGAGATGATCTCCTACATTTTGTCAAGATCGAACAGGAGACTCTCGCAGAGAAAGAAATCTGCGTGTTCATATCTGGCTACAATCGGACCCCCATAACAAAATTCCTAGGAACCAACCCTGCGTTGCTTGTTGCCGATCATGTGGAAAAGGTATGTTTCCCAATCACTCTTCCTTTGGGCGTTGATTAATTAAATCGTTCGCAGGTCCTTTACATCGTCCCGGTACCCTTGGATGCTGCGACAATTGGAGACGCAACCATCTGTTGCCCACTGGTAATAACGCGTGACGGGGACTCCCTAATATGTTCGATTCTGTCAACAGCAACGACAGACCGAGAGAAAAGCTGCTCCGGTAACAATTTCAAAAGCGCTTCCTTCCCCGAAGCAATCCACCGCGCCGATTTCACCATCTCCGCCACTTCTCCAACTGCTACAAAAGGTAAGTCTCGCGGGTATCATGCCGGCAGACCTTCACAAACTGATGCACATAAAGATACAGCTCCAATGAACGACTCAGCCGAAGAGAAAACTAATTCGAGTTCGGAAAGCCTGAGCAAGATCACCAAAGAAAATGCCGTGTTTACCACCGATTTAGCCACTCTCCCTTCCTTCCTCGATTTAGAAAAAGCACAAATCATACGTTTCGGGACTGGCATTGAATTCAAGCTACCCGGTGAAGAGCTTCCCACGAAGACTGAGCCATCCGCAGTTGTTTTGCCATGCATATTTGGTTCCCAGCTTCAGGGTCCATTTCTTTTGGCAACAGGAACGGTCCCATCAAATGTTCCCTCTGTCGATGAAATTGCTATCCGGGACTATTACAAGCAACTCAAGAACGCCGTGGTTGTTGTCGACGACCGAATGACAGATAATGCCCGCAATCTTGCAACTACCTACAGAATCAATGCACTCTTCATCGTGCAACTCAGTCCAGAAACCGAGCCCAAGACAACTGATGAAATCATGTCTTTGTTGAACTCAGCGAACATCAACGCGGTGACAGCACTCGCAGGACCACAGTCTTTGATTCTAATTCAAATCTCCGAGAGGTATTACTTCTACCGAGGCATTGCTAATCGGGCATACATGAACACGTCCACAGTCGAATTTGGCTCCGATGTGACAACCATCCTCGAGGCTGTCGGTATAGAATCTATCCTAGATCCAAGAATCGAGCGTATTGTTACTCTCGGCGATGCAAACAAGATTATCTTACCCACTTCAGGCCAGTTGATCCAGCCTCAGAATCTTCAGAACTTGTTCGAAGAGCTCTCAATAGACCAAATCAAAGAGCTGAAAGAGGACATATCGGCAGCAGTTCCCCAACTCCAAATGCTTTTGAACGAGAAGGACCTACGAGAACTGTCCAAATCCCTGGTACTTGCACTTTCAACAAAGATCAGCGAAGCGACAGCTATATTGAGAAACACCTACACCAAGTACCTAACCCAGGGGTACAAAATGACAGATCCAGAGTGGGCAAAGACGAAGAATTCAATGCTTGGAAATTTGAGAAAGGTTACCAGAGAGATGCAGATTGCGCTTGAGCCGCTCATTTCGAGCTTGGCTAACATGATGTCTTCTCAAACGACTTCAAAGCGGACACACGATTTGAAGAGACTTGTTCGCCAAACCCAGATTCAGGCTAATGTCGAGGCCGTTAAGTCCATGACTTTTGACACTTTGGCAGGATACCTTGAAACATATGCGGGAGATATGGGAGTCATGCTATTGAATATCGACACATCGTCCTATTCCCAGCTCTTGGACAATCTGAAAAACACCGCCATCGATGCCAGGTATGTTATCCACCTATTTGAATTTTTTCCATACTCCGAAACACTCTCTATATCGAACCCACCCAAGAAGATCTATATCGCATATCGCTAACATATGTTTTCTAGTCCATGCTGCGACCTTGACTCGAGAGTTCTACATCTCGAAGGATTCGACGCCGGAATTATCATAGAGCAGTCGCAGGCCAACCACAATGGCCCACTCCAAAGTCAGGACGGTCCCTCCCACCCAATTTTGGCCCTACCATACCTGAGCCGGGAATCGGGAACCGGATCGATGTTAGCTTGGGTCTGTTGGGATGAATTTGTTAACCTCAAAAGTCCATACACCGTGAGATGGATGGAGAAGTGCAATGAAGCGCACATTGCCGCGCTAAGAATCATCATGAGGTCTACTCTCAGTAAAGCAGTGTCAGCTAGAGAGCATCACATTGAACCTAACAGCCCAGAAACTACCCATCTTATGAGCGCTTTGTTGATGGCGGCTATGTCGAAGCTCGCCGCGATGAGGACAACTGCACCGGTTGTGTCACAGGAGGCCGGGGATACTGTCACGAGATTGATGCGAGGACTTTTCGGCAACCTGTTGACAATAGCAGGTTCAGGAGTCCGTCCTCACAGCATGGTCTGGCAGCTGTTTGGCCTGAACCCTCAATACGACCTTCCCAAGACCGATGTTGAGTGGATTTGGTACGAAACTGTCGTCGCTTTGTATCCTTACACCGGATGGCCTCTTGAGCAGTTCTACGAAAATCTGGAGAAGCTCCTTGACAAGGCCATTGTCCGTGTGGTGACCAAGAACGAAAAGGTGGAGTGCGTGAGAGCAAGCCGGACTGATGAGATGATCAGGTTTTCCAAGCTTCGGAATATTCAGCTTCACCATTCTCGCACAATTATCACTGTCTTCATGCAAATGCTTACGGCAGAGGGGTCTGATATCCCTACTATCGCAACTCGTCTGCTAGAGCAGCTTCCACAACCGTTAGAGCGACAGAGTCAGGGCTATACCATGATGATCGATTATCTTGAACATCTCGCGAAGGGAGGCCAACGATGTGCCCATGACGACCTCGTTGCCGCTAGCATCTACACCTCGCGCTCAGCTGCCTTTGGCTCACTGAAGACCGATGTGTCGGAAGCGTGTAAGAACAAAGAATGGGCGAAGATGAAGAAGTCCTGTCAAGCAATCATGGACAAACATGCCGAAGTTGCTTCTCTGTGGCACGTCAACCCTGATGTCTTGAAGGTTCAAAACATGAAGGTGTACAAAGACCTTCTGGACGCAGACTTCGGGGACGATATTGACGAAGCTACAAAGACCAAGAATCTTGAACTGAGCAGAAAGGCCCTTGGCGATGCAGAGAAACAGCGCGTTCCTTGGCAAGTCGGGAAGAAAGGTCAATTCGGCAATGACATTGAGCCTCTAGATGAGGTCTTCCTTCACGAAATTCTCACCGGAAAAAAGCCGGAAGCCATCCCAGCCGTCGAGTCAGCTGAGCAATCCGGGACAGAGACAACTGCCATAATAGAAACCAAACCAGGAGCTGAATTCGCGCAATTCGAATCGTCAATGCAGGCTAGCTTCATTACTACGATGCAGAAGGACCTTTCGGCCGAAATTGTCTGCCGTAGCATTAATGTTCCTGCTACTGCAATGCGCGTCTTCACTAAGGCTCTTAATCCGAAGTTTGTGTGGGAGGACTTGGGGAAGAACTACAAGAGCACAATTCTGGGGCTGTTGAAGAATCGTTCGAATCGGATGGAGAGCCGCCCTACTAAGAAGTTGTTGGAGCTAGTGAGTGATAACACGAAGCTTCAAATTGGCGGGTGAGGCATGGGAGTTGCTTCAGATAGGATAGGGTTGTTACTTATTGACAGAGGCGCATGCTCAGCTAGTTTATGACTGAAGGGACTATTATTCAGAGTTGAATTGGCTGGTTTCCATGGCTCAACACACCTTTCTGCATTCATCCATAGAATTGAGCAACACGGCAAAGAAATGTCTATTTGTGTTCCCCTGGAAAGTTATTGGGTTAGTATTCATAGTCCCGCAATTAAATAGCGGGCCAGTTGGCTGACGCATTAAGCCTAAACAAATTCTTGACTGCCCAACCCAGCTCTCTTGCACTGCACGATCAGGAACTTTTCTGTGGTGGTTTCAGTACCCTCGATCCAGGTAGGTGTGCAAGTCTGAGAATCCCTCCTCTCCTGGCTGAGATGTATCGGTGTTTGTTAACCAGGAGGCTTCACCTCAGTGTTTGCAAGGATATACGGATTACCGACTCCCCGAAGAAAGTCATCAACGCGTGAAACATCGTATCATCGAATTTGCATCGTCAAAGAGTGCACCCGGGTAGATGACCATCGGCGCTGTATATCTGGTACGTTCATCGTCGAGATTTTAGAAGGTGCAGCGAAGCATCATTGACAAGTTGCTCGTCTCATGTTCTCATATTGACAAGCGTTTCTTCATCAGCAGCAGTAATCACATCTGTTATTCCAGTCGTTTCAATAGAGCCGGAGTGTTGAGTGTGAAGAGAGCTCGGAGAGAGAAAGCTGGAGATGTTTGCGGTTGGAGGATCGGATTAGCATCACGTTGTAATGGACCACATTCTTCACAGCCTTCCGGATCTCGGACTGGGAGTCCAGCACAAATTGGAATAGGCGTATATCTCGGCTGTTCGGTCGGTCGTACCAGATAGAGCTGAGATCTGGAAATATGTGAGTTCTTTCAGAACTTGTCGCTTTCTCTCTTAACCCACCGTCTTCGGTCAGGAAAGGGATTTTGCTGATTGGTAGTCTCGACCGCCAAGAGGGCTGGGGTGTAATAGACTCGAGGCTCACGGTATTTGAAGGCTGTTTGGCAGATAGCTCATCGTGGTTGTTCGTAGACCCAGCTGAACGGCGCATATTACCTTGGATGTCAGTGTGGGGAATGGGGAACGGAATACACCCGATGAATTGTCATGATGAGTGTAGATGAACCGACGGTAAATTGGTTCACGTTGTTGGGGGAGGAAAGTGCCTTTTATCCGCTCAATCAAGTCAGCTGCTCTCCTCAATAAGAGACCGGCTCTCTAGAGAGGGTAAATTGAACTGATGACAGAGAAGAAGGAAGGAGCAGAGATAAATCCTGGGGAAGAGATCGGGAAGGAGCAAGGCAATATCTGCCTGATAGTCTCAAGGTCTCCTGGCTCCCCTACAAGATAGTGTGTATTTTTGTCCTATCTGTTAGTTTTACTCATAAAGGGATGAGACTACTTTTGAAAGACATGTCGAATCGAAACTAGATCCCAAGTGAATACAAGTGCGAAGTCGCTGACCTTAAGCTGAAAGCATGTAGATATACCTCTAAACATATCAGATACTATTCTAAGAACCAACCTTAGAAACTTCAATTTATGCTGAAATACGATCATAATAACTAAGCTGAAAATTCAGCCAATTTACCAGCTATCTGCTCAACATCAAGGTCACTTGGCCTTGCTTCAATGGCATGAACTTCAACCTTGTTGTCTTCTGACTTGGGGTTATCTTTCTCGCCTTCCTCATTTGTCCTCCTCCGTTTTCTTTTCTTGTTTCGCGGCATGAGTCTTCACAATGTCTATATGGGACAAAGTATACTCATCCGGATCCCAAGCCAGAAGCCTACTTTCCATCTCTTTGATCTTTTTTGCAACAAGTATTTCCATCTTGTCTTTCTCCTTATCACTTAAGAGCTCAAGTCTCTGCCTCCACTCATCCTCAACAATGTCCGTCGGTCCAAAGAAGCGTTGGTCAATCTGTTCCAATATATTGAATCAAAGGCAATGCTTCTCCTCGCCGCATATGCAATCCAAAAGTCGCCACTCCCCCAACTTTCTCGCATCGAGCCAGAGAGTCGTTCTTCTTCTTTTGTAGCAGCAGCATTTTCACGACCGATCATCGCCCGCAAAAAAACGTCTGAAGACGGCGGTCAAACACGTTTGTCCAGTCCTCGAGACCTTGAGGCCAGTACCCGGGTCTTTCGATGAGAAGCCACCAAGGCGGCGCGTAGGAAAACTCGATCGGAGCAGTGTACGTGAATTCCCAATCCACGACACTCGTCATGTTCAATATATTCCATGATAATGAAAGGAGCCATCTCTAAGGGTGAGTCTTTTTAGGACCCCAGTAGAAAATGTATGGCACCCGGATTGTAGTCTTGTCATCAATGTATCGCATAATGCGACCTCGTTCCGAAGCTTTTCTTCGGGAAACTTAGTCGCACCGGGTAGGGAAAGCGGCGACACCGGTTTTTTACGACATCCAAAGGGCGATATTGAATGTACCCTTGCCTAAGATAGCAAATCAAACCGGGCCTTCTGGCTCATGATGTTTAAGCAGAAAATCTCCAACCGATCTTGCGACGTCTGGATCAAAAGACTGGGGAACCCAAGTATCGGCTATTTCGTCGCTTTTTCCCAGGCAACATCATCGAAACACATGCGTTGTTGCATGGCTGACTTTTGAAAAGCAGAATGAAAGATTGTGGCAAGATGAGGTTCAGAGAGTAACGTATCATAGGAAAAAGGGGGGGGCAAATCAAGCTTGAAAAGTACAATCACATGGCCTTCAATGATCCCTTAATTATCCTATGACCGGGGACACATCAATTGCCTTACGTTGAGAGTATAACCGTCTTCCGTTATTTCCCTCATCTCACTATAAATATGTAGTCACCTCCGTGTAAATTGCTATGCAGTGTGTTCATGGATGTATATACTTTCTCAACCCTTCTAATAAGCGATTTAAGCTAAACATATCGATTGAAACTACATAAGAATAGCCGGCCGCTTATGCGGCCTTGTGACGTCTTTTTGGTTAGTCTTTTTAGGTGTTATTTTTTATGGATATTTTGTTCCCTTTCTCCGTTTCTTAAATAAACGGTAGAAAAAGACAGAAAAGGGCTTACTTTGTGAAATCGACTTTTTATATAAACCCAGTGATGTAAGTTGAGCGAAATACAGGCTTACGATGTTCAGCCATGGACGGAGACTTGACAACATCAGAAGCTGCCCGACGATCTTTGTCTACTATGTAGAATGAACAGCCAACTTGCTCTTTTTTCCTAACGAAAAAACAATTGTTAATCTTTATAAGGAGAATAGAAATCGGAACAACACCAACATTAGCCAGAAAATATTAAACCATTGTAGATGCTTTTAACATATTACTCCTGCTTCTGCATTCCATCCCAATCTACAGCCTTGTAGAACAAGACTCTTGATGGTCCTCTTTCTTCGTAAAATACTCAGGTGTCTACCTAGCTTAGGTCTCCTTTCTAGCTTAGCTCTATCTCCCTCATACATGCCACCGGCCGAATCGCCTTCGATTCTCACTTGAAGAAGGTCGATGATAGCTTTAAAGACCAGAAAGGGGAAACTGACAACCCCGCAACCTTCCTCAAATTGGGTGAATCACTAAATTTTATCAAGTTTCTCGGCACGACTCTCGGAAAGGTTGTCTTGGAAGATAGTAGCTGGTTTAACGTCGGCCGGGTAATGATGAAGAGAGCCTAGAATACCGCACTGTATGGGTACCTATCCGATGCGTACGAGGAGGGTAGGGGATTGATTTCCTATTCTTGGTAGATGTTTGCATTTATAAGAATCACCACTCTGGTCCCTGGAATAAGAGTGTTACCCTCGGCAAGTATCTAAAGAAGGAAGGAACCCATACCCTCCTATTTTCGGATATTAACACCAATTAGTGTCTAGGCTCTAGTCTCGAGGCTACGGGGCGCTACAGGGCCTTCATGTAGTATTAAATCTTTGACATGAAGGAAACTCGAAGGTATACATTTAGGGGGAAATAACGAATGTCAGCAGCGAAGTTCAAGAACCGAAAACATAACTAAAATCATAATAAATCACTAACTTTGAAAAAGGATCCAACAATAGAAGCCACAAACAAGACGAAACAGGACGTGAAAAATAAAGAAAAAAAAAAAAAAGGAAAAAAAGGAAACATGGTGATGACTGGAGCTTTTCCCCCCTCCTGCCATTTGCATGTAGTATTTCTCCAAGATTATTTCCACCATCAGCAACACTAGCTCTGTGCGATGATAGAACATGTATATAGAGAACTCTACCACCCAGGTTCTGTTCCCCCGATCTAATGTCACATATTAGAGCCGAAAGACAGAGATGTTTGCTATCTCTGCTTTTGAGCCTCTGTAGCCCACGTGCCATACTTTCCCTCCAGCGTTTTCATCTCATTTCGGCGACCGCTTGCTGCTGTCCTCCTTTTCTCAACCTCATAGTTGTGGGTTCCAAGAGCCCTTTCATCTTTGTACGCTTGAGGATACTTCTGAACAAACCCCTCACGGCCTTGCATGACGCTATAAATGCGAGGTTAGCACTTCGATGAACATTTTTGTTGTTTGTACCTGTGGGTATATTTACAGGTTTTGCCTCGTCACCAAAGCTTGAGCCGCCGTAATTCCGGTTTTGATCTTTTGGCCATTGGCTGGTTTGAACCCATGTTTGGGCCGAACTGACAATTGATTTGCAATGTGAAGGTCGACTTCATATTGACGGGTCTGGGCATCCTTGAGGTCACCTGCAGTGTGATATTTGGTGTGCTCGGCTGACATCTGGTTTGACCACTGTTTGGGTCTTGTCTCAAAGGGGTCGGAGTATGCATGATGCTCCCTGGGTTGGTGGAACGAATTGGCACGATTGTGGAGATCTGGATGGCCCGGGGGAATTCTCTCGCCGTTTGCCCTTCGATTATATATCTCCTCTTGCTGTGGTCCCTTCTGAAAGTGGGGGCCATATGGGCCCGGCTTATCCTCATAATGCTTTCGTGCTACTGGGGTTTCGTATGTGGGCTCGGAGAGCTTCCTTTGGGGTTTCGAGCGAGGCTTTCCACTGAGAAAACCCATAATTGAAGAAAAGGAGTCGAACAAGTAGTTTCGTAGCGGATAAATGATATTGAACAAGCGTGAGAATAATATTTCTTCTGAGGTATAAGACAGGATTATATAGGGAGCTCAACAGACGCTCAGTTCATACTCCTTGCTAGGACCCCACAAAACAATAGAAGTTTCAGAAAATGCTTTACGCGCCGATATTTGGGGCAAGTGACTCTAGCAATTGGGAAACTCTTGGTGAACTTGCGATATTCCTGTTGTTTCGTTGCTGCATTAGCCCTACAACGTGATAGGCAGGTATGCAAGAGGACAGGGATGATACTGGGAAACAACCTCGAGATAAACGCTAGGGTGATACAGCAAAAGCTCCTTTCATTAGAAATGAGCACTGGAAATAGATAGGTCCGCGCATACACGAATCAAAAGCAGAATTGATATTTATGGCTGGCGGCAAGACAGTAGCTGCATACCTAGCGGCTTCAACCACAATACATGCCGCCGCCAGAATTAGATTGATTGAACCAGAAATTAGATTGTTGGCCCAGAAATTAGATTGATTGGCCCAGAGTGAATTTTCACCGTAGTTTATTAAATGATTGGATGAAACGCACTTGATTTTTAGTCGCGCGGCTTACTTAGTTCAGCCGTTGGCTAAAAATACATCGTGAAGCCGCTTTTCAACCTTGTAAGCCGCGGGGAACAAACTTATGTAAGACCCCGCCACATCCATGTACAAGGTATCAAGTTGACCAGTCTACCTGTTTTCCTACTTCATCAAATCGGAAATTTATCATACCCTACTAAACATGGTAAGATGCAAGCTGCAATCTTGGGAAAAAGTATTTTGCTAACGTTCTTTTAAGGCCAAGCCGACATTAGAAGGACTCCCAACGGAGCTGCTCATTCTCATCTTGCTTGAGATACCTGATCTCGCTTCTCTCAAGTCCATCGTTCTTTCATCGCCGATATTTCACCAAGCCTACCTTACGGTGCGACAGGAAGCTCTTTGTCGCATCGTCAAGGATCAATGGGGTTTGCTTCTAGGAGATGCAATTGCTGCTACACGGTCTCGTGGTCTCTTTTTTGATCATCACAAACCCGAAGCGATTGCGTTATTAGACACCTGGCGTCGCAGAGAAGAGATTAGCGACCTTGCATTAGGCTCATCCATTCCGATAGATGAGCCCAGCAACCTGGAAGAGATCTTCAACCTATTTTATCTTCACAAGGTGTCCCATTTCTTTCTGAAAGAGTACGAGACGAAAGTACCGCGGCCACCGTGGATATCAAACGATCAATGGGAGAACTCGATTCTCCCCATTGAGTTATCTCACACCGAAAAGCACCGTTTTCTCAGAGCTTTGTGTCGACTGCAAATTTACACCAATATTTTTGGTGAATATGAACAGCTGATTAACAGGAGGATGAAACGCAATGCTTGGAGGGATAGTCCCAAAGGTGACTTTTGTAATGATGAATTGGCATATCGCGTGTTCTTTGGGACCATGCCTCCTTGGGAATTCCAAGAAATAGGCTGTGTCTGGGCATACTTCACGACAATGTTCGACCACATTTACAAGGAAATTTCTGCCGGTCTACATGAACTTGTGGAGAAGCATATGAACAAAGATGATTGGCAATATCCATACTTCGAATTTCTTCCTCAAGAAGTGCAGCCTCCTTGGTGGGGCGGGTTAAACCATATCGAAAATATCGAAAACCTGTGGGGATTTTCGAATTCGCTAGCTTCAATGGGACCAGAGTTTGTCTACCGCCTTCTTCATGGGACACCCCTGGTTCAGCGTGATATGGTGATGCTCAATGGAAACGACCTACTCAACTCCTTCCCAGGAATGTATGTAACGGAGGAGAATGAGGTTCCTTTTCTTTATCCTGCAGATCGGCACGCGGTTCAAGATTATGAGCAGCTTTGGTCGACATTGCCATACATCGAGCAACCCAATCTAGGGTGGAAAGAGGTGCATGTGCTGCCTGATGCGTCCGGACAAACATTTGAAGAAGCCATTGATTTGGAAAGTGCACGTGAATTTTTATGGCGCTGGGGTTACGCTATATTTGATGATGAAAGATTGATGGCATGGAAAGCGCCTTTGGTGGAATTTCGTTTGCGCAACGAGCCCGAATTTGCAATTTAGTTCATTCAGCCTGTATTTTATGCTTCCAATGGGTCTCAGCGATCTGGTTTTTTTTTTTTTTCTGGCATCTTTTCAGCTACTTAATCGGGCTCTTTTCTAGTATGTACTCATTGAGAAGGACTAGGTGTTATTGACTGGAGGCGTTTGTTGTGGAAATAGATAGTTCATCTACCTCGCCTGAAACGGCGTCTGGCAGGTCCTGGCCTCTATCGTTCCATTGTTCCAAGGTGATATTTGAAAGGATTTTTAGTGTATATCCTTCCGCTTCAGGGCTGATGAGACATTTTGACCATTATCACCCTCCAAGGAAATACAGTAATACAAAGTTAAGCGAGGTCCTAGCTTCTGTTTTATTTTAGGATACAGTTTCATGTCTTATATCTCATGCTCTAAGCCGGATACCGTTTATGGGCTCCATTGTTTAGCTGTAATTAGGATTCCTTTGTTCTTAGCTGCTTATCCTTACCGAGTGCTTCTCTGGTTTTCCCTCTCTCTCTCTCTCTCTCTCTCTCTCTTTTGGCACATCGATCACCATATGTGCTTTTCAGAATTATTTTGAATTATTTTAATAATTTTAGCGACACAGGCCTCATAGGATAGAAGAGCTTGGTTCGAATACGACTCCTATGTCGAATCCTCTACCCTCGATACTTGCAACTCCTTGAGTGTATATCCGCCCTGGATTTGAAGACAAAGAATCATTGAAGTGTAGTCCAATTTAATGAAACCGCCTCGCTAATTGAAACGATTATATTCATAAATGGCGGGCTTTGATACTGCTATTCTTCTTTTCAATGGGCAATCCCCAATCTATTATTGGAACACATTCATTGAAGATACAACGCCCAATTTCTTTTACCAAACCCCTTAGCATTCGAGTAATTATTTCTACATGGCATGGGAAGTGCAAGAGGATTTAGGGACACAGACCCCATATAATGCCCGACTTCGCTCAGCATCTTCCACATCGCTCAACTTCGACTTGGAAAGCAATCTCCTCATAACACATCCTACCAATTCTAAAACAAAACAAGCTTACTTTTATTTGTTGAAGCCACAAATCAAATCTACCCGGAATTCCCCTGGCAGCATCCAACAGTGGTGAATATGGGGCATCTTTCACGGTCTCTTTCCGAACATCTTCAGGGAATCGCTGGGGCAATTGCTTCATTCTCATCGTCAATCTTGGATCATGTCACACTGAAACGACGTGGAAATGAGGATTCTGACGAGGACGATGATGACTTCGATTCCATCGATATAGATCCATGCGAAGCAGTGTTGGAAAGGGTGAAAGTGAAGCGTATCGGTAAATACGTGGAAGCTATTCGCGCGAAGACTCAACCAAGCGATAAGAAGAACATTCCTGTTGTTGAGGTTGGGTCTCCTTCATGTAGTTGGGATCAGGTTTGCTATAAGGTGAAGTTGGCCGACGGGGTTAGCTGGATCCTCAAAGTCCCTGCTATTGGAACGCCTGATCAATTCGACGAGGACGATGCCGAAGCCCTTCGCTCGGAAGCATTGACAATGATCATGTTGCGCCGTGAGACAACAATTACAATCCCCGAAGTCTTTTCATACAACAATACATGCAAAAACAAGCTGAAAGTTCCCTTCATTCTGATGGAGTTCATTGACGGTCGGCATTTGGAAGATGTTTGGCATGACCGGGAATCCCCAAAAGAGGTTGTTCAGGCTCGGCGCACACGCTGTCTGCAGGATATTGCTTCTGCCTATCTCCAGCTTGGAAAGTACACATTCAACGAAAGTACACCTTTGAGATTTGACGACCAAGATCGCCTTATCGGTGCTGTGCCAGTAAACAACGACCCATTCTCGGGCCTCAGGGAGGCTTACACTTCTCGTCTGGATCGGTGGGTTAAAGGGAAGAATGAGTTTGATGGAGGGCTGCTAAAGCTTCTTCGGATGTTTGCCGACTGGACTCCAGAGTCAAGTTCCGGAAAATCTTTCGTTTTGACGCATCCAAACCCAAATATCTTTAACTTCCTTGTTTCAGACGATGGCTCTGTGCGGGCAATCCTCGATTGGCACGGCGCAGAAGCCGAGCCGCCGAGTATAGGGAATGAGATATATCCCCTATGGCTGATGCGCGATTGGGATCCGACTGTGTACATTTGGAACGAAGAGATGGAACAGGGAATCCATGACGAAAACTATGTTTGGGAAGACTCACCGGACACGCTGGAGTTCTATCGAAATGTCTATGCGAAATGTATCGCAAATCTGCAACCAGAAAGCGACAACGCCAAAGTGACCCGCAATTCCCCTCTCTTTCAACATTTGATGATGGCAATGGGAGGATCGATGTTTAGCTTAGGCATTACCAGAAAGATCTTTCTCGAAGTTATGAAGCGAGTGGAGAAGAACGTGGATGATAACACCTGGCCATTCAAACCATCCAACAACGATAAAAAGGACGACAAGGACAGCAAAAATCATAGTTCTTCCAAGGAGGAAGATGCGACTGGCTATCACAATTCACCGAACGAGACAGAGGACCAAGCAGAACATGGAGGTATCGAAGCGGACATTGATGGAGAAGATGAAAACGAACTTATTGATATTTATGAGTTCGTCAAGGCTTTGGACAAAGATGGTCTATGTGAGCATCGACAAAAGCTTCTCAAGGCCGGATTTGATGCTTTATTTATTCGTTAACTTCGAGGTTGGTGTGCTTGATGTATGTAGTAATGCACGATGACTTCAAAGACTGAAGTTGTCAAGCATCATGGTTGATGTTGAATAAGAAACGAGGACATTGATTTGAAAATCATAGAAAAATAAGCATTTCGTTTTTTCTTTTGTTCCCAGATACTCTCTTCTGTTCTTTAGTAGCAACCCAAAATGATATGGATTTGTCGTAAATATCAGACACCTCAGGCAGGAACTATCCGGGATGATGTCAGCCATATTATGTAATCTAATACGTCAGCCAATGACAACAACCGGACTAACCGATGAAGGGCTTAGGGCTCACCTCAGTCACGCCCCACTGCCTTTTCGCACTTGAGCGGCTTCTGGACATCGCCCTCTTCCTTTGAACATCCACCTCATCCGACAAAATGGTGAGTTCCCCAGCATCCCACTATACAACCGAAAGACACCAATACTAATCGAAATGTGATGAACAGGCGCCCGCAGCAACCGGAGGCAAGAAGCAAAAGAAGAAGTGGTCCAAGGGCAAGGGTACGCAATCACCACCAACCATGCGATCGTGACGATTTCCGCCGAGTTCCCACAAGACACGAAAGAAATCGTTGGATGAGCTGGGGATACGAAATAGAACACCGAGAAGCAACATTTACTAACATATCTTTCGCCCTACAGTCAAGGACAAGGCCCAGCACGCCGTCGTTCTCGACAAGGCCACCAACGACAAGCTCCAGAAGGATGTCCAGTCCTACCGTCTGATCACTGTCGCCACCCTTGTCGATCGTCTCAAGATCAACGGCAGCCTTGCCCGCCAGGCTCTCAACGACCTTGAGGCTAACGGCCAGATCAAGAAGGTCGTTGGTCACTCCAGCATGAGCATCTACAGTGCGTTCCTCTTCAACATCCTCTTCATCTCGAAACCTCCAATACTAATAACCATTTTCAATAGCCCGTGCCGTCACCGCCGAGTAAACGTGTCGTCTCGTCTCTCGTCTTTTCTCGCGGTTTTCTTTTCCTTGCTACGAATGATATCATTTACCATGGGAAGCCCGGCTGGGCATGATGCATAGTGGATTAACGTCTGACTCTTGAAGAGTGTGGAACATTCGCACTCTTGGCCTGCGTCGGGTAGTGCGAACTGAATCAAAAAATCTACAAAACTTCATGAAAAGGACTTGCGTCATATTCCGTAGACTTTTTCTCGGCCTCTACCACCTACCATTTTCACTATTCACTCCGACACAACAAAAAACACAAAAAGTAGTCCTACGACTTTTCCACCATCGCACTTCTCTTCGGTCGCTGTTTCTGCGCACTCTCACAAAGCGGCCACGGCTCTCCCTCAACACCTCCATTCTCAACCACCCTCCCAGCCTCAAAATACTTTGCGTGATTCGCAAAGAATCCAGTCCACCTCTTGACAGTCTCGTCAACCCGCGCTCTAGCAGCCCGTAATTCCTTCTCGCGACGGATTTTCTTCTGCGCAGACGTCACAGCCTCATCCTCGATATCCTCAACAGGCAGGAACATAATCTCGACACCGCGCATGTCGTTCGTAAGATCCTCCTTAAAGCAGCCCGTGACAAAAGCGCGCGATGCGTCCCGCCCCGCGAAGAAGTTGTAGCTCCCGCCCGGTCCGTAGATCATGCGGTTTGCCGAGACGTCGAAGATGGTCCCGTTCACGGCGACGTAGAGGGGGAGACTGGTGTCTGTGCCGTTGTAGAGGGATAGTTGGCTTGGTGTCAGGGTAACAGGACCTTGCTTTATTTTTGAAATGTATGTGTTAGCTTGAATTGGACGTGACTCTTTTCGAGGACCGGGATTTACATACCACCCACTGCTTCACCACCGGCCAACGTGTATACCATGGTCTGTACCCCCACAGCACGGACTCGGAGGAAGTCATGTAATAGGAGAGACCGCCGCAAGCTATGAGTAGTGTCACAATCACGCGGATTATGTCCAGCAGGCTTATGCCGTGGTCTTGGTCGGTTTCATCGTTGATGGTGTGCTGTCTGGGGTTTGGCTCTTTGTCCGGCCCATTGCTGGACTTTGACGTGGCTGTTGGTCGCTGGCGGAGTTCTGACATCTCTCCTGGATTTGAGTTGAGGAGTTGTAAGATCAAACGCTGACCATTTGGATTGTTGTCATTGGAGTTGCACAGGTGGAGGACTTGGCTGACAAAACCCGAGGCAAGTACCCAGGTGCTCCGAGTGGACTTTTGACTTATCCACGACGTCACATTTACAAAAGGACCTGGTTTAGATTTTCGATTCAATTTCTTTTATTTCTCCAACCTGAATTCGTCGCTAAAGATACAAGAGGCTTGAATTCACAACGTAGCCGGGAAATACACCCAGATTTTTGGTTCTAACGTCAAATTTGCCTCGATTTAAGTTCATCACTTGCTTGCAGTTGCAGATTCCCCTTCTTGGGCCGCGGACCCTTCTTCCCAGCTGCGCGAGAAGACTTCATTCAAGGCATCTTGGAAAGTACGGCAGTTCATATCAATCAGGCCTCGCTTGTCCTTGGCTTCGGGGTTGCGAATCACCGACACTAGACAGAGGTACCTGTAGAACAAAGTCAGCATAGATAATAAAGACCTTGTTGAAAGACATACTTGTTCATCTCCATCAAATGGATCATGGTCTGATCATGCAACACCACATGGCTTTCAGCTTCTTGGATCTGGTCACCCAATCGCTTGCGAGCTGGGTGATCCCAAGAGTACAACTCGGAGATATCGACAATCACATCGATATAATCAGAGCACATCTCGTAGCAAGCCATATCAACAGGCCGGGTGTCGGAGGCGATATAAATTTTACTCAGAACATCAAAGAGGTACGTCTTTTCAAACCCACAGTTGTTGGCGAGCGTGTTGATGAGGTTCTCAAGTGTAGATAGGTTGGGAATCAGCTTCTGAATCACTTTGCTGAAGGCTTCAAAGACAGAGTAATCGTAGATAGAGGTCAGATAGTAGTGCACGGGCGCATTCTCATATCCAGCGTCACTGAGCTCGTCGGAGATGCGCTGCACAATGTCCTGGAACGTGTCGGTGCGGTACTCGTCTGACAGTCCATCGACCTTGTGAATGAAGACTTCAATGTTGATGCCGGGATAGAATTGCTGGACAGTCAATATGGTGCGGTTGAGCCGCGCCACCGAGTCTAAGTAGTCATCCTGTGCGTCGATCACCCAAACCAGGGCGCCCAGACTGCCGAATATATCCTCGAGGTCGAAGGCGGACTCAAAGTACTCGAGCTGACCCGGGAAGTCCCAGACTTGGAAGTCCATAAAAGAGCTGCAAGCTCCAGGTCAGCGAAAAGCGCATTGAGAATGTCCTTTCTTTGGAACTTACTGGATCGAGTCCTTCTGAATCCGGGTCGTGGACTCCAAAAAGAGTGTCTCATTTGGCGGCATCTTATGGAATACCACACTAGCAATGGATGACTTACCACTCCTAGTACACAGTTAATATCTCTGTCGTAGGAAAGAGCTGGCAAAGAAAACTTGCCGGCGGAGTCCCATTAGAAGAAGACGAGGTTTAACATCAGGGCCTTTGGTGTTGGGCACAGAGGCCGATTTGGCCTGAGTTGGCGCAGTCACTTGACTGTTTCCCTGTAAATTATCCAGAAGGCTTAGCTCGGCTTCAGTCTTATGGAATGGAATTTCACGCCGTCGCTTCCAAAAATTAAACTCATGCCCTATAAAGGGACCATGAGGCCAGCTCACGCGGGCTACCGGTGAGTCGGACATTTAATCAAGGAAAAGGGGCATGCATTTTGGGGGAATTGGTGAAGCAAAAGACAGCTTGTGGTTATCAGGATAGAAGATTCGTGGGCTAGGGGAAGAATTCAACGCATCACATGTCGGAAAACAAAGAGGGCATTGGGCAGTCAGCGAGCCCAACCAGGCTGATATCCCTTGGAATAACAATGAAACGCCCGAGGCTGAAGACGGAGACCCGTGGATTCAAGATGGCACTATCTTGCAACCGCCCATTGTGACAGCAACCGTGACAGACGCTCCAAAATTGGAAATCCATGTTGCTTGCCTATTTTAGGGCCCATTTGCTGCCTAGAAAGATCCAGAGTGCTTCTTCATCCCCTGGGTGATAGCAAAGAGGGTCCGGAACCAAGCAGCTGTCTCACAACGGCCCGTGCATGGATGCAGCGGGACGCGGTAACTAACCGAGCTTCACCGGATGACCCAGCCGTGGTTCGAGGTATTATAGGGAGTATGTTCGAGGGGATGTGTATTGGGGGGGAAATAGTTTCTTACCTCCATTGAACGGGCAGACATCTAGATATGGGATGTTAGAATCCGGGGTATGCATTAAGAATGGATTAGGTGTACTTACTACGCAATTTATTTTGTATTAGACAAGGACAATCAGACCAATGCAAGGTCAAGATTCGGTGATCACGAAGAAGGATGGTAAAAGGGACTGGTCGAGCTCAATTTAACGTCAAAGACCTTCTGTTGACATGCATGTGCTAATCTCGCCTAGGACGAATGCCGGAAGGATCCCAGTTATTTCCTGGGATGGTGGTACAGAGTCGGATATCTGCAGTCAGACCTGTATCATTGTCTCAAGGTTGAGAAATTCAATTCACGGCGGAAGAGGGTTGGTTAGGGCGATCGTTGAGTAACCGTTGTGCCGTTTTGAGGAGTGCGGGGGTTGGAGTAGCTTGGAGCTAGGAAGCGAGGCAAAGCGCGATTGGGCCCGATGTGCAACGCGCACGATAGCGCGGCAAGTGAGCTAAAAGAGTTGGACTCGAAAGATGTAGGGCTTTCTTTGATTCGAAGGAGTATTTGTCATGAAATTGTTGTAAGAAAGAGAGGATGGGGGAAGAGGAAGAGCAGAACCAAGGCGGAGCCGTTATCTTCGAGCTCCTATCTTATCAACTCTAATCTGTCACAGACCGCTTTTTCTATTCTGCCACTATATTACCGCCTATTCCAGGGCCATCAACTTCCATTACACACCTCTAACCCATTATTTTATGCTTGGCCAAGGCCAGGATAGATGATCCAATGGAATCCTTTGGGAAACGATATTTACGCTTAAGCACATTGATGCAATTGAAAAGAAATCACTTTTTTGATCATTAACCTCGACAAGTTCATACGGCAATCATCCGGTGGCTGTGTCCATGACCATGTTTAGTCCCATGCTGATGACCCAGATAATCGCTAATTCGATGCTTCCCCTGCTCTTGCTCCTCTTCTTCCTCTTCCTCTTCCTCGGCCTCAAGTGCAGGCCACTCTTCCCAACCATCTTCCCACATCTTTGCTAACTTATCCGTCTTCTCCTCTCTGCTCATTTTCTTGTTCTTCATCACCTTCTCCCACTTCTTCATATCCTTATCATCTAGAAGACACTCATCCAGTAAAGCACTGATCTTGACACTGTCAATACCTTCCCCGATAAACACTAGTTCCTGGCGACGATCACCCCAGGGACCTTGGAAATCATTCTGGATGGATTCCCGCACATCCTTGTCTTCTGGCCAATCCTCATTGGGGATTTCGGCAAACCAGGGTCCACCGCATCCAACAGTCATCATACCACCTGCTTGACTCCATTCTCCGAATTGCCAGGGTCTGGTCGTGAGCCAGAAGAAGCCTTTGGAGCGGAGAACTGGACCAAAGGCCGGGTGAGTACGTTTGTTCTTCAAAATGACCGCTGGATCAGGCTCTTCAAAGTCTTCCACTGATTCGGAGTCAGAGTCTGTGTCCATTGCATCTTCGTCTTCCTCCTCTTCCTCGTCGCCTTCTTCTTCTTCGACTTCATTGTTCTGGAGAATGATGAACTTGTCGTGAAGAAGAGCGAAGAGTCGGCGCGAATGGAAGGGTCGACGAGCAGTGTAGACGAAATTGTTGATGCCGTACCTATATCAATGAGTAAATTATCCATGAATAAAGAACTGGCAAACTTACTCCAAGGTCTCTGGTTTCGGTGCCATCCGGTCACCGTTGCCTGTCGTCTGTATTGTCATTTCATGGAGACTCTGCAACCACCCAGGACCAGAAGCAGCACGTATAAAATCGAATTTGTTTGTGTTGATGATCTCCCGAACATCTATTTGAGAGTAATTTGACTTGAGGATCTTTGCGGCTGGGTTCAGTAGCTTCAGCAAATGCATGAGCTTATCGCGTGTTGCTTGGTCAACTGTCTCGACTTTATTGAGAATCAACACATCGGCGAACTCAATCTGATCCACCATGAGATCAGATATCGTGCGCTCATCCTCAGGAACGATCTCTTCCCTCCCATAACGGTCAGAGAGGAACTCTGTTGTGTCGAAGCTGGAAAGCAAGTTGAAGGCATCAATAACAGTGACAGTAGTGTCTAACCGAGCCATTGTGTGCAAGCCACCTAGTTCCACACTATATCAAGACATGTCAGCAAGTCCACGGTAAGGGGGGAGATGTGGTGGCGAAACAATACATTTCGTTCAAGATCTTCTTTGCGTCGACATCATCATTCGCAATCTGATCTTCAGCTTCCAGCATGGCCGAGCTAAACTCAGCCGTGAAAGTCTCGGCCACTTGCATGGGCTCGCTTATGCCAGTCGATTCAATGATGACATAGTCAACCTCGTTTCGTTTGGTCAGAGCTGCCAGTTCAGACAGCAAGTCTCCCCGAAGAGTGCAGCAGATGCATCCGTTTTGAAGTCGAATGAGCTTCTCGGTGGTTTGGGAGACTTTGTGGTTTTGGATGAGGGTAGCGTCGATGTTCAGCCTAATGGAAGGAGGTAATTAGCATACAGCCTATGTTCTCCATTCAGTGCGGAACTCACTGGCTCATATCGTTGACGATGACAGCAATCCGTAACCCATGGTCAGAGGACTTGAGGATGTGTTTGAGGAGTGTTGTTTTGCCGCTTCCCTATACAGAGGTGTCAGTGTCCCTGGACATGACCCAAAGAAGTTGATACGATGGCTGTCATCTCATACCAGGAAGCCTGAAAGCAAGGTGACAGGCATCTGCCGTGTTTTGGGCTTTTCCTCTGTAGGAGCAGGGACATTATAGGAAACCGAGTCTCTTCCAGAATCGATGACCATAGTGAAGGTGGGACTGTTGTGGTTAGGTATACAAAAGGCAAGAAAGAAGAAAGAGAAGGAAGATAGGCCAAGCCCCTGGAAGTTCTAGGATATTACATTATATAGCATCCTCCTTCTTAGATCACCGTCTCCAAGTTCCTCACCTTCTAATGCCGTCGGTTGCATTTCTGATATCGTACAAATGTCAATACAGGTCCTCCAAGGTGGTAAGTATACCAGTGGAGCTATAGCTGAACCAATGAAGTGTATGATTTCAAATGGCGATGATAATTGCTGTGTTCTAAGTGGCCAGCGTGAATCGCCCGCAAGGTACCTGGCTGGCGACGTTGACTTTCACGGTCCTCATTTGACGACATCGGTTTTTAAAAGACAGTATTAGGGGATTTGTGATTGGTCTTTTGCTGATTTCGTGACTGGGTGCTCATTTCTGGGGAACTTTCGATGGTGGATGTAGGGTTAGGCTAGACGATAGAGCTAGGGTGGGACGAATGACATGTTTTAATCTCTAAATAGCCCACACGAAAAGACATTGACAAGATAAAGCTTCATCTATTTCATCCGAAATTATTTTCAATCTTAATTTATTCAGATATAACATCCTACTCCAAATCGAAATCGGCGCTCGGCTCGATTGGCGGGCCGATAACAGCCAAATCGCCGATCTGAGATGAATGCGACGTTGACCTCCAACAGCCTATAAAAAGGGGATTACACTGACAATAAAGCTACAGAAATAACATCATCTATCAATTGCCACACATTGAACTTCCATTGATATCAAAACCCATCCAAACACAACCAAATCCCCCTCCAACCACCCAGAATGTCCCTCGACCTGGGAACCTACACCAAACCCCTAGCCTACCTGGGCCTCTTCACCCTGGGAAAAACCGCCTTCTCCCTAACCCGCCAAGCAACAAACTACCTCCTCCCCAGCACCCTCTGCAAACGCTACAACCCCACAAAAACAAACTGGGCCCTCGTCACCGGCGCTACAGACGGCATAGGTTTCGGCTTCGGTCAGGAGCTCTGCGCGCGCGGTTTCAACGTCATCCTACACGGCCGGAATGCTGAGAAACTCGGCCGTCGTCGTCGCGAATTACAGACCCTGTTCCCCGAAGTCTCTGTTGATGTGCTTGTGCGCGATGCGCAGAATTTAACTGCCGATATTGATGACGTCAATGCGGAGGCCCGCGATATTATTCATCGCAACAATAGGACTATCGGGGCCCAGAGTGATCCCGGCAGGTTGACTGTTCTTATTAATAATGTTGGTGGTGAAACCAGGCCTACGACGCTCCTTAAGGAGTATACCTTTGAGGATGTGCAGGCGACTATTTCGCGGAATGCGACATTCGCTATTCAGATTACCCGTGTTCTGGCTGGACAGCTGGAAGAGAATGCGCCTGCTCTTGTGATGAATGTTTCTTCTCTTGCGGCGTTTGGATTGCCGTATATCAGTATTTATAGCTCTACCAAGGGATTTGTGGATTCATTTACCAAGTCGCTGCGCGCGGAGTTTGCCGCCGAAGGGAAGAAGGTCGAAGTTATGGGGCTGCGAGTGGCCGAGGTCAGGACTGCTGGATATGATGTGAAGAGTAACTTGTTTATTCCTGAGGCGAGAGTGCTGGCTGCTGCTGGCTTGGATCGGGTTGGGTGTGGGCAGGATATTGTATGGGCTTATTTCTGGCATTGGTTGCAGGGATTGTCGTTTGACTTTCTACCGCGCTGGATGTTGATGAAAGTTTCTGTGATGAAGCTGAAGGCAATCAGAGCAGATCAGGAGGCCAAGGCGAAGAGCAATTGAGATGGCTGCTGATATGTTGTGGCTCTAGCTCTCTACTTCTCACCCGTAACAAATACATTCACATTACACAAATATGAAGATGCACGAAAGAAAAGATATTTGCAATTAAAAGGATAACAGCATTACAATCTATAGAATGTCTAGAAGCCAGCCGGGGCCTTCTCACGATCGTCTGGGCCGTGGAGCCCTGCGCCAAGGTTCGCTGTGCATTCGACTTGCCAGTCCTTTGGCGTGAACTTATCGACAATCTCCTTGAAGGCGTCCAAGGTGCAGAATGTCTCATCGCCAGGCAGGTGGTTCTCAGGCTTAGCAGCACATCCGGGAATACGGACGGGTTGGTCATTGTAGCGAATACGGACATAGTGCTTCTGGAGAGACTCGCGAGCGCCTTCGGAGAAGGATTCGAGGGGTGCGCGTGCAGTCTCGGAGGTGGTGGGTTGCTTCGGTGCGGACTTACCGAACAGCTTGGAGAGGACACCGGGCTTCTTGGCTGCGATGGATGGGTTGGAGAACTCCTCGAGCACGACTCCAAGGTTGGAATCGGAGCGGGGGGCTTGGGAGAAGAGCTCAACTGCAACAGAGGAAGTAAATGGAGGCCATGACTGATCCTGGAATCCACCAACACTGGACAGGATAGCTGCTAGGGTAGTGTCGTGGCAGCCGCTCATAGCAAACTTGATAGCCTTGCCAGTATCCGGATTTCCTGACCCGGATGCCGCGGTCTCACTGCGCCAGCCACCCTCCACGGCGGTGCTGACCATGCGGTCAACCACGTCACCCATAAGAGCACCAATGCCCAGCTTACGGTACTCGCTGCTCTCACCGTAGCCAGCAAACCACTCCTCAACCGCGATCCGGTCCACGACAGCACGACCCTTCTTGTCGTAGAACTCGGATGGGAGCTTAGTAGCTGGGCCATGGGCATCGGTTGCGTTGATGGTGTCCATGATTCCAGAAAGACGAGGGTGGGCATCGACAGCAACCTTGGGCGATTCTTCGGGCATATGCTTTGACCAGAGGCTGTTCAAGTACACCATTTGTTCAGAGTCGTTCCCTGCATTCAAATAATTAGCCGTGGACCTGATCTTCATATCCAAACTGATAAGCCCATACATCGTGCAGCAGCGCGATCGGCAAAAAGCCGTGCCAGCTGTCTGAATCGTCTACAATTCCCCTCGTTGGGGAATAGTGTCTCCTCATTGACCTGGCGGGCCACAATCACCGGCGGTGGGAAATCAAGCGTGCGCGCGCTAGCCGGGTACATGCCCCAAAAGGCCTCCTGGAGTGACTCCAGAGCGCGGGGGATCGGCGTGGCCCGCAGATACATATCCTCGGAATCGCCCTTGATCTGAGGCATGAACCCGAGCTGGTCGACGTATAGATGGCGCAGCCGTTGTCCGAGCGCATATGTCGTCTCACGACCCTTGTCTGTGAGCTCGCCGTGCAAGCTTCAAATGGGATAATTTAGCTTTACTCCACGTAGAGATCAGAGCTCTGCAGCAACTCACCACATCGCTTCGACTGGTCCTCCCGGTCCGGTTGCGGTCATCGCCTGGTCATTACTGCCGAATGACTCCATCTTCCGACGCCATTGGAACCCGTTCCATTCCGAGAGGTCTTTGCTGCTTGATGCCATCTGCACCATGCCTCTTGCGACACCGCAATACGGCCAGTCTTGTCAAGGGAAAATGTCAGCATATACTGGGCCGATATCAGTATTGGGAAATTGCCATACATGGACTCAAGCCTGTCTTTGGGAAGTGTTAGCGGAGACCGTCGGAGAGCGGATTTGGGGGATGGGGGTAGTCAATTGCGGCATACATTTGAGAATCGCGATGAGACGGGTGTGCGTTCACCTAGGATCAGTTAGAAATGCTCTCAGTGGCAGTATTGTAAATGAATGTCTCACCATGACGAAGGAACTGTGGTGGTTAGCCATGTTGCATGTTGCGTCAATGTGGAGACAGAAACACTTACCACTTGCACCAGCTGCAGCTTCAGAGCTGCCGGGTACAGGCGAGCAAGCTCATCCTGGGTATAGGGCTCACGAGGAATGAGGGTGGTCATCTCGAATCAATTGGATAGATATCCGGAGCTATCCAGGAATCTATAAGATGGAATTGAGTCAGGACATAAACGGACCCCCCACGGGGGCGGTGAGGGGACCGTTTGTTGGGGTAGAGCGGCTATACCGAGATAAGCCATTGATGTCGAACCTCGGGACCTCCATTGGGTTAGATACTCTCTGTAACTATTATAAAGTTAGGCTCATTAGGGAGATTTATTCTCTTTATATTCATCGGCATCTAGAATAACATGGGGAAAGCTAGGGAAAGCTAGGCAAAGCTAGAAAACCCCCAAGAATATAACGGCGGACATGGTCTCCGCATCTCGGCAAGTTCGCCGAAATGTCCTGGCCTTGGACTAGTATTCTCCGAGATGAAAGAAAAGTTTTCCAAGTATGCATATCTGACATGGTATAATATATACATTTAAGAACAACACTCCTCGTAGTCACTCGTCTCCCATCCCTCCTCGCTTTCACTAGCACTCCAGACAGATCGAGCGGGCGCCGTCTGGACATCGCTAGTCTCAGTTACTGCAGCTGCAACGGCCGCAGCAGTAGCAGTAGCCATTTGCTTAGCCCACTTCTTATTATTCTTCGCCTTGCGGGCATTCTCCTCTTCCTGGCGGGTCTGCTTCACGCGCTCGGCTTCCTCGTTCGCCGCTCGCTCCAAGAGCTCGATGAGCTTCTCCAATGCTGGCGCATATGCCTGCGCAAGAGCGAAGTCCCCGACCTTGATACGCATATAGTCCATCGCTCCGGCGACAGGGCCGGTATAGACACCGGGCCTTTGGCTAGACGTTGCCGTGTTGATGTCGTCGGAGAGTGGGGCGTCGCTAGAGCCCACTGATTCATCTTGAGGGTCGTCGAAGGGGATATCCGCATCGGCGGGCTCCTTTGCAGCTGCGTCCCGGCTGGATTGGAATTTGCCTGGGTTTCGCCTCTCTACAAAGGCTATCTTCTGGTAGCGCTGGCTGAAATGTGTGAGCAGGACAGCGCGCGCTTGCATGCGGCGACCGACTTCAATTGCCTCGGCGGAGGTCGAGTGCCGCTTGGCCCTAGCCGATCCGACCATGTCGGGTTGGAAGGTGGCCTCGTGGATGAGCACGGTTGAGCCCTGTCCAATGGCGGCAAATTTATCCGATGGCCTGCAGTCGCCAGAGTAGGAAACCTTGAATCCATTTGAGAAGACAAGGGAGACAGCGAGCGCACCCTTGCAGTGTTTGACGCGGCAAGTGAGTATGTCTGCAAGGCCGGTGGCAGACTTGAGAAGAGGAGTGAGGGGAGAGGATTCGTCCGTGAAGTCAACATTATGCCGCCAACGATTAGGTAGCTGGTGTGAGAAGGCGGTGGTGATTTTAGAGCCTTGTACTTCAGGATGCGCGGAAAGAGTAAGCAGCTTGTCAAATCCGAAGTCCTCGACCTGTGAATATTCTTCCAGCCAGGAAATCATTGCATCATCAGACACAACAGCCAGCCGCTTCTCCTGTAGGACCTTGGCCATATCGTTTTCACGTCTAGCTGCCGAGCCAAATTCATTCTTGAAGTTCTCCGCGTGCCAGGCCTTGATCACAGAGACCGTTCCTAGGTGGTGATCAGCGTGCAAATGGCTGATCCAGATCATTCGCAGGTTCTGAAGCACTTCACGAAGTTCTTCAGGCTCGAAAACTCGCTTTAGTTGACCAAGAGTATTCTCACCACAATCAAGCAGGTAGTAGCCATATCCAGGCACCTTCAGCAGTGTGGCAGAGACATTTCGGTACTTGGATGGAACAGAGGAACCAGTACCCAGCGCGATGATCTCTGCATCCGCTCCAGGCCATTCAGTCCGTTGCGCGTGCAACTTCTTCTGGAAACCAGGCTTAGCGACGCGTTGGCGAATGACTTCCATCCGTTGCTCGACAGAACGTGGGATGCTGTGCATTGCGGTCGCTGGGTTGAAGCGGGACATCACTTCGTCACTGTTGAACCCGAAATTGGGTTCCATGTTGATGATGAATCCGGGTTCAAGAGGCTGTAGTGGAGAATTCTGGCGAGCAGCAATTGCAGATTTTGAATTGGCATTGGGGGCGCCGGGTTGGGGAAGGGACACATTGTCATGAACAGGAATCGCATAGCTATCGCCTTTCAGACGGGCGAGTCGAACAGTTGAGCTAGCAGAGCTGGTCAATGCCAGGTAGTTTGGGCAGTGATCTGTGCTCGACACTGTGTGCTTGCAGTGGGACATGCTGGCAACGAATTCCTGGAATTTAGGATGCTCAGCCACACCTGGACCAAGAATCCAGACGAAGGCCTGCAATTCGGTCGTCACAGCTGGTGACTTCCATTCGGCCCGGCTGACCAGGTCCTCGACGTACTCGGACGATGGCACTTCCATGATGGCAACGCCTTTTCCTGCTCGTGTCTGTCCCAAGACCATGTCTGGGGTGATAATCTTGCCATCCAGAGATTGAACGCTCTCGCCCTTCGTCAAAGCCGCGTACTTAGCACCCTTCTCGACGTTCAATTCTTGGGCTTTCTTCGGGTCGAATTTTCCGCGGATATCGTGGTTCCGCACGATATAGCAGACTGCCTCCTTCGAGGGAGAAGTGGTAGGGAGACTCTCGACAGTCGCACCGGGCCAGGGCTTTCGAACGAGCACCTTGATGTCTGGAAGCTCATCAGGGCCACCCGGCACCGGACCTTTGTATTGCTCAAGGTCCTTAGTTTCTGGGTTGCGAATGAATATAGCGGCCGGCATCTTGACCTCAGCCAATGGGGTTTCATGGAGGGCGTCCATCTTCCATGTTGAGTTGAACATATCCTGCACAATGGACTGTGTCACTATCAGGTTCTTAGTGCGCTGGTCGATATTATCTTCGGTTTGTTCAGATTCCTGGAACTCGTCCAAGCTCCGCTTTCGTGGACTCTTTGACTGCGGCTCTGTAACTCGAGAATGAGCCGATGGTTGAGGGTTAATAGGCAAGGCCCAGACTTTGATGTTAGAGTCGGACCATGAGGGCTTTTCAAAGGGATCCTCCGCGCCAATAGATATTTTCTTGGCGAGAGACTCCGAGTCATATTCTTTCAAATACACCGGCATGCCCTTTCGGAAAACAAACCGCCGAGACGTAGCCAGTGTATGTGTAAGATTCGCAGCACCATGAATCGTCAGGTTACCTCTCTGCAAGACCGCCTCGCCTTCCCGCTCCACAGTGGTTCTGCCATGTTGCTGCTCCTGTGGTGCACGGGGCTTGGGTTTTATGTTTTCTTCTGCCTCCCTTTGCGCCCTGCGGGCAGCCTTCTTCCGGTGTTCCTCCTCGACGGCGGCCATGGAGGTCGAGACCGTATCGGCGAGAGTCAAAACAATCCCAATCAACCCGCCTGTGTTGGCCCATTCCGTCCGTCCAGTGACAAACACATCGGTGAGGAGGGAAAGCTTAACCCCGCGCTCAGTGCAGGCGCGCTGTGTGCCTTCCGATAGCTGGCCAAAAAAGTATCGCTTGTCCGGGAAGTTGAGGCAAACGGCCGTGCCGGGGGTATCGGCCGTTGGGGTCGTGATGACCTGGTAGAAGAATTTCATTGGGGCGATTCCTGCTACGGGTACAGGCAATGACGTGAGTTCGAGTTTGGATGGTTCACAAATCAAGTAATCGTCGCTATTGGAGCGTCGTCTGTTCGAAACCGGGCCCGCTGGAAGAAAGTATGCGTTTGGTTTGATTGTAGGTTGTCTAATTTGGAGTGGCAAGGGTTTCTCTTGTAATTTCCTTTTCTCCGCTAATTGCGCCAATGACTTAGGGAAGTTGAAGCTCCTTGAGTTCAGTTTTGAGTCACCGGGGTATGGTGAGTCACGGTTTCTGGCGCTGCGATACGATCGTAGGGTGGATGGCGAAATTGAGGTTCGAGGGAACGCGCTCCAGGCGACTGCGCGAGTGGTTGCGGTTGACAAGGCACCGCGCACGCAAGAGGAAGCCAACTTGTCGAGAATGGAGGGTATTGAAAGGGAAATTAAAGATAAAAGGCCCCTAGGTGTAGTAATGTCAAGGAGTAGGAAATTGGTGGATCCCCACGTTAAAAGAAAAAAAAATGACGGTCGATTTTTGCATGGCCGGGCAGAAAATCCATTTGGACCGACATGGAGTTGCTCTTTAAAATAAATAGCACAATAGATAGCTAAGCTATGTTTAAAGTGCAAAAGTGCATTTAAGATATATTTGTACTATTAAACAAGTAAGTCCTTTGAGGTTCAACAAATTTACATGTTTTGGTTATCTCAACGCATGAATGATGTACACAACCTTGAACTTGCAACGCATTACTATAGGATCATTTTAAAAAAATTGACAAGCATTCTATTTGGCTCAAACTACATCCAGAGTACAGGCTATGCAATAAAATAAGACAATCATATGGCCATAAATATCAAGGGTTGGGCTTTTACTCCACAGATCCTTCAGATACGCCAGTAAAGTAAGCTCCAAAATTCCATCGAGAAGGTCCTTCGTGGGAGATACACGATATAGTAAGAGACAAGCGCCTTGAAACTCCCCAGCACATCTGGAAAAACAAAAGAAAGAACACGCCCCCATGATTCGCAAAATATGGCAGGAGGTTTGACCGTGGGTGTGTAGTCACAAGGCGATGACGATGGCAAGGAAGAAAAGAGAGATCACATATACAAATAAAAGGAGGCCGAAAGGGCAAGACGCTAATGGGGAATCACTGAAGGTGGGATGTGACAGCTGAGATACGCTCGAAGGCAGCGTCAATGCTGTTGCAGAGGGCGTTGAAGGTTCTCTTGGCCGAATCACTAACTTCAGAGTCGTCAACGACGAGTTGGAACTGAGCAGTCTTCTCGCTCGAAACACCTTCAAAGGTGATGTCGGCAGCGGGGGCGGGAGAATCAACAAAGAGAGCAAAGGCAGGATCAGAATCATCAATCTCGACATCAGGGTTGGCAACACCAATGTCAGACTGGCTGGGTGAGTCGCTGGCAGGACGGTCGACAACAGGAGCCTCATTCTTGGAGCTCTCGGGGATGCTGAAGGAAGCAGAGGATTTTCCGGACAGAACTTCAGCATCGAGGGCCGGGCCCTCGGGAACCTCCATGACAGCAAAGACGGGAGTGTTGCCGTAGTTCATGTCAATTCCCGAGTTCCAGCCGCCGTTGTTCATGCCCATGCTGGTGTCCATACCCGGGTTGGGAACCATGACCATGTTGGCCTGGGGATTCTGCTGCATCTGGAACTCTTGGCCACGGTTGGCGGTCGTGTCCTTAGGCATAGCCTGCATATTGGACTGGGGTGCAGCCTGCTGGGCTTGTTGCTGTTGCTGAGGTTGCTGTTGAGGTTGCTGCTGGGGTTGAGCGGGCATAGTGTCGCCCATGTCGTTCAAGAAGTTGGAGAAGTGAGGAGATCCCAGAAGCATGCGGGCCAAGTCGTTCAGGCGGGCATTCTCTTCGTAAAGAGCGCGGTTCTGGAGGCGAACCTCGTGAGCCTCGTTGGTTCTAGCGGCCACCTCGCTTTCGAGCTGACCAATGTATTCTGGTGAGATGTGTTAGCAAAAGGGACATTACATATCTATTCAAGTATTCGGAGAGTAATACCCTTGCGGCGAGATCGGAAAGCGCGGGCGGAAACCTTGTTTCGCAACTGGCGGCGCTCTTTGCTGCTGAGCTTCTTGCCCTCCTCGCTAGCGAGAAGACGCTCATCTTCATCCATATCGGCCTCGTCCTTCCGGGCCTTCGCCATCTGCGGCATACCGTTGGAGGGACTAGGGGAGCCCTCGCCATTGGCCATGGCATTCTGTCGCATCTGCTGGAGTAGACGAGAGATGCGCTCCTCGACCACGGGGTCAGGATTGCGAGGACCGCGGGCCTGGGGCATAGCATCGGGCACTTGATCCGGACGCTGCTGTATCTGAGGGCGGACCATCTCACTTTGCTTTTGTTGCTGGGCCTTGGCCATCGCAGCCTGCTGCTGATGCATGCCGGGGTACATACGACCGACCTGTGTGGACGGACCAGCCTGAGCCAGCTCATGGCCTCCGAGAGCGTTGGGGTCGACATATTGGCTCTTGTTCCCAGGGTTCGCCGGGTAGAAGTATGGCGAGGGATTCATGTTTTCGGGATCAATCTCCATCTCCGACGGGTTCCGGCCCGGTGCGGTGTTGAAGTCGAATTGTGCGTCCTCTCGCTTCATGTGATGACCAGCATACACCTCGGCGTTCACGGGGAATCCCTGACCGTTGTTGAAGCCCATCGGGACCTGGCTGTAGGACATGGACAAAGCACCGGGTGGGAGACCAGTCTGTTGTCTGTGTTCATCGTACTGGTGGCTTGGGGCCTGGAATGCAAGGGGAGACTGGCCACTTGAGGCGAAGCTGGCACTGCGGGCGTCACTGGCACTGAATTCGGTGCTTGCGACCGAGGGTTGGCTGACCATGACCTTTGAGCGGGAGGGATCGGATGTGTAGGTGAGTTGATCGAAGTTGATGAATGAGTCGAGGTCCTGGTCATAGTTGGCAACCGGTTGCATCGGATGTTCTGCGAGAGTCGCCATGGTGATCCAGATAGGTCTGTCCCTCGACTGTGTAGGGATAGGGTAAATCTGGCGTGGGATATGGTGTAAGATAAGTATAGGGTATAAGTGAGATAGATTGAACGAAAGATAAAAAGAAGGGAAAATATAAGGATAAGAATAATCCAAAAAAACGAAGGTCTAATAGAATAATGGATTTGGATCTAGATGGATAATGAAATTGGAAGTGATGGGGAAAGGGACAAAGTGTTCCGGAATAGCAACAGCGGATTGCGCGTCCTTTCTGAGTCAGCGGGGGCCTCAGGAATGCAACCCCGTGATTGGTTGAATTGTTACTTGACGGGGGCTTGTTTACCATACCGTATCTAGGGAAAGTTTTCGAGATGTTCAGATCTATGTAAAACACATATACCTAGGTATATATGCTTCATCTACTCTCTACTATTAGTAAATCAATTGCTTGAAAACTGTATTTATTCAAAGCCTTATGTGTGGTATACTGCTACGGAGTAGACATTCAATAGTCACAGTACTCCCCTGTTAATATTTTTGCCGGTCAAAATCAATGTTGGAAGTGGGCCAATCTCAAAGTAGGAACCATGCAATCCCATTGGCCATCGCGCAAAACTTACCAGGGCTCGGAGTTACTGCAGGTGTATGGTATTGTAATTGTGCCTTTTTTATCCCTTTCATGACGCAGGTGGCTGTGCCATGTCTCTCCGTTGTTTATCGAAGATTGCTCGCTTTGGTAAATTTTGCATTCCTGTTGGCTTCAAGGTTGGATTAGATCACCTGGAGATACGCGAGAATATCTCAGTGTGTTTAGGGCCTGAAAGTTCAACCTTCAAAAAAATAACCTACCAACCTTGTTCGGACTAAGAGTGACTTATCACCGCAGCTAGCGGCTTTCGGGGCTGAGCCAATTATTTCGAGTGGCTCTGGCGATACTGCGCCAAACGGTGGGCTCTCATGGACTAAACACCTTTCTCTCTACAGAATACAATACAATATACGTCAACCCTCTGTCCCATAATAATACTTACAATATACTCCGTACATATGTATACATATGCCAAGCAGATTGTGATCCAGGGTGCATTTTCCATATTCCCATGTATTGACAATAATCCCTTGTTTCATCAAAACCAGGATGTACGTACGCCGGCGTCTCGCCAGGCCATAAACAGCCAATCGAGCCAAGGCTCCTGTACCGGATAAACCCCGGTGAAACCAGTTAAAGAAGTATGTTGTAGATTGGGGAGTCGGTCCTCTCATGCTCCCGCAATAAGCTTTTCTAGAGTTGAAGCGGGTCGGCAAGAAAGAATCCCAAAGGGGAAGGATGGTGACCGGGCATTCAGGCTCGGTGGACTTCCGCGCACGCGCTATTCCCAATAAGGCTAGCTTGTCCGACTCTATTCAACACTAAATCTCTTCCAGTCGATCCCCGAAGTCCTTTCCTCATAATCAAGAGCATTAACCATTTATCCACGGATTCCAAGTTTGGCACCCTAAAACCTTCCTTCATTTCTATATGCTTGCCTATTTGGATTGCCCCTGAAACACTACACATCGGTATGGTACGGAGTAGATGCACGGTGGAGTAACTCATTACCCCTTTTTGTTTTTTCGCTACTGAGGAACCAACTTTCCCCTAAGTCTCGACTCTTCACTGGCCCGCTTTTTCGTGTCCAGCGATCACCTCGAGGTCTTCTACGGAGTACGGAGTATGTAGGGCTGACTCGGATTACCATTGATCCCCGGCCGCGTAGAGTGACCGCGTGCAAAGAGGCTGAGTTAATTCTGCGCCTCCGTGCCGCAACCTTACTAGCAGTAGTTCTTTGCTTCTTAAAAATAGACACTGGAAAATTTTTAGGCACGGCATTTCACCAAGGTCAATAATGCCGATACATAAACGATAATAACTGACCTTGAGTCGAACTATTTACTTTTTGAAGTTTCTGCAAGAACGCCTCTTGTGCGGATCCTTCATCAAACTGTCCCGAGTCTCGAACGGTGGATCTAGGCCATTGGCTCGATCTCCATCCACGTCCCGGCAATTACTCCCTCGTCAACGATGATATTTGCCTGGCGATGCATGTAATTGATTGTCGTCGCATGGGTCGGTATGAAAAGTGAATCTCTACCATATTTTGCCCCCGACCATTGCTTGCGTACGCTAGCTATGCCTCAGTGTTCCCTAATGCAATCACATAGGTCTAGACTAAATCTCTTCCCTCAACCCCATTGTCTGGTTGTCTGACGCCTCCTACTATCAAGACCCGCCATGCCCTGATCTCCCGGCTCTTCTAGCCTCAAGACTCTATAAACCCTGGCAACGGTCCGTTTTCTGGTTGTCTGACGACTCGTCCCAGGCCCGCTCAAGTTTGAGATAAGCGTGGGCGTGTTCGAGACTCTTGAACGCTTTGGTGGAGACGCAGAAATTAAGGTCTAGATTTAGATTACACCTTATTGAAGATGATGAGTGGAATTTTGGTGTGTCGCAACTCCGGTGCTCGAGGAGAGATCTTGATCGGTCTAGACTTTGCTTGTTTGGATATTCAAGGACTCGACCTGGTCTTCCCGGGTCTATCTCGAATATGAAGCAGGATGGAGCACATCCGCGTGTCGCTCTGGACTTTTACTTTTCATGTTGCTGCCATCTGGGCGAGACAACGTTGATAACATGGTATCATGTTATAAGGCTAGCCCTCGAGAATCTAGATCCTGACATTCTCCAAGGTGCCTGGAGGACTAACAGACGTACTGCGTACTTTCTGAAATTTCTATCTAGAAAGAAAAAACGGCCTACATATTATCTATACCTATAGATTGGCTTAGTTTTTGTTCTTTACGGAATTTCACTTGATCTTTTAGATTTCTTGTGGTACAGGGGTGCATTGTCCACTCGATATATATTTTCAGTTTGGTTTATTTGCACAGAACCCAAGAACTGTGAGTCACAGTCAGACTATGGATACTTAGTTACATATAGGTACGACCTCTAATAATTTATGACTGAATAACTCATATCAAAATACGAGCACAATGATGTAAAGAGCGACTCTGCCAAGGAATGTTAGTCATTGCCTTAGGCACCAAACCATTCCTCTTTCGGACCCCGATCCCGGAATGGTCGTCAAGGTAGCATCTAATTTGTTCAGATTTGATTTGATGACTCGATAAATGAGAAGTCTGATGGGATCATAGTGGCGCATTTTGATTCTGCAAAGGGGCTTAAGTGCAGTAGCTGCCCTTGCTAGTTATTTGATATGAACCCGAGCCGACCTCGGTATCTACTTCAAATATTAACACTTTGACCCTGGCGAAAACTACCCAAAGACCAAGACATCTAACTCATTCTTGAAGCTATGACATCCGCCCCGACAATTCTGGCAACGTGCAAGCAGACACGGTTTCATCTGCTAGATGATAATCCTTCGCAGGAGGTATGGGTAGCCATAGCAATTATCCAGATGACCACTAACATTGAGATTTGTTCTGTTGACAGATTGATGTGGATGGACTTAACATTGTCGTCACATCACCTGCACCTGAATCCACCGAAGATGAATCAAAATCAAAGACCAAAGGAAAATCAAAGGCCAAAGCTACAGGGAGGGAGCTCATCTCAGACGGGCACCTACGACTCAAAGCAGGCGTTCACTATGGGCTGCTAGGTCGCAACGGAACTGGGAAGTCAAGTGAGACAGATCTCCCCAAGTACCATTTACAAAGCTTAGTATATTAATGGTTACCAGCGCTCCTCCGGGCAATGGCAGAGAAACTCATCCCTGGCATCCCGCATGCGACTCGCATGGCAATTTTGCAGCAGACGGACGAACAGGGTGACAAAACCTTCGGCGAAGACCCTAATCAGGACAAAACTGTTTTGGAAGCAGTTCTCAGCAGCGATGCAACTAGGAACGAGGCTGTTCGGATGGCGGAATGTTAGTATGCCTATTCAATTAGAATTGTACTTGACTGACCTCACAAGTCCTATCGAAAAGCTTTGAGACTGAAGATCCAATGCAGCCTGTGCGGGCGATCCGCAAAATCCGACACCAGAAAGCAGAAAAGCATCTCTTTCTGGCACACAAGAACGCAAGCCTGAAGAGCGGTGCTCGAGGTCTACAAGCAAGAAAAGACTTGAAGGCTGCCGAGGGGAAGCTGGAGGCTACATCGGAGATGTCAGTTGCATTAATTCGCGCTAGAAACTATATCTGACTTCTGCCAGGTTGACCCAGGATGTAGACGCCATCGATGCGGAGACAGTCCAGTTGGATACCCAAGCTGCCGTTGAGACACTACAAAATTTACAGTCTCAACTTGAAGATGTAAGTCTCTGTACAATGACCATTCACCTACTCCATTAACGTGAAACCAGATGAAACTTGCCGATATGGAGCAACAAGCTCGTCGTGTTCTCCTTGGGCTCGGCTTCAAAGAAGACGGATTCGAGAAGAAGGTCTCTACGCTCTCAGGTGGTTGGCGTATGCGATGTATGCTAGCCAGCGTTCTGGTCCAAGATCCCGATATCATGATCCTCGACGAGCCGACCAACTTCCTGGATCTTCTGGGAGTAGTGTGGCTGGAGAACTACCTGAAACAACTCCGCGACACATCAGAAACAACCATCGTCTTGGTCTCACACGACAGGGATTTCATCAATGCTGTCTGCGAGGAGATTGTCATCCTCCGAGATCAGAAACTGACATATTTCCGAGGAAACTTGTCTGCATACGAGCAAGATTTCGAGGAACAGAAGCTCTACCTGGGGCGCATGAAGGAGGCTCAAGAGCGGCAGGTTGCGCATATGGAAGCTAGTATCCGGGAGAATATGAAAATTGGGAAGAAGACCAATGATGAAAACAAGCTGCGACAAGCTAAGTCGCGGCAGAAGAAAGTCGATGATCGGATGGGTCTTCAAGTCAGCGCGAACGGGGGGCGTTTCAAGCTGAACCGTGATCTAGTCGGATACCATCTTCATAATCGAGCTGAGATCGACGTTCCGACAGATGAAAAGGGCGCGACTATGAGTTTGCCCGATGCGACGGAATTGCGGTTCCCTGGACCGTTGGTATCGCTTGAGGGTATTGTTTTCCAGTACAAGAAAACCGACCGCGTCATCCTGGATGACGTGAACTTGGTCGTTCATTTGGGTGATCGTGTCGGGATCATGGGTCTCAATGGTTCAGGGAAGACGACTCTGCTCCGTGTTCTGACAGGACAGGTATCTCCTTCCAAGGGCAAGGTGTCAACTCACTCCCGGTTGAAGGTGGGCTACTATAGCCAACATTCCGTGGAAGAGCTGCAAGAGCGTGGCCGAGGCGAGCCTAGTTTAACTGCGCTGGGCTTATTGACGATTGAGACCGAAGGATCCTTGAATGAGGGGGCTATCAGAGGTCTACTTGCTTCAATGGGGTTAGCAGGTCGTATTGCATCTGATGTCCCTGTTGCGAAACTATCTGGTGGACAACTGGTATGTGAAATGCGAAAGATCAACGTTGAATTTTTGAAGCAAGCTAATAATATTGTCAAATCCAGGTCCGCCTTGCATTAGCTCGAATCGTCTGGAGTGCACCACAGCTTCTCATTCTTGATGAAATCACCACGCATTTGGATTTCCATACTGTCACTGCATTAGCTACGGCTCTCTCCTCATTCAATGGTGCCGTCCTGCTAATTTCACACGATCGTTTCCTCGTTCGGTCTGTAATTGAGGGCAAACGAGACACCGAGCATAAACTTGATGAAGACTTCGAAGGACTGGAGGAGGAGGAAATCGAAGAAACGCCAAGGCGTCGGTCGGTCTATGTGATTAAACAAGGCAAGATGAACGAACAGAAGAATGGGGTGGAGCAGTTCGAAAAGAGCTTGGTGAAACGGGTGCAGAAGTTGTTAGGGAGTATAGATTAGTTGACGTAGTCAACGACTCATGACCAATTGAAATGGTGAAGATATGATGACTCAGCGCGGAGCCCGCCGAGGGCGGGCATGTGCGATAAGAGACATTCCCCTCATTCCTCCGCGGAGTACCTCTTGCATATATATTTGCCTCCAACATGCAACATTTTACCCCTTGAAAGAACTTCCTCATGGCTGGCTTGTGCAAGCGGATCTTGTCTTGCCCCAGGGTTGCCCGCCAGTGGGGCATACAGATTCGACCCCAGAGCACTCGCGCCGCATCAACACCTAATGCCACCGTCGCCATCCCTGAATTACCTCCTCCGCATTCCTCAACTAAACACTCTAAACTATCAACACTCAAGTCTGCGAAGCCCTTCTCCGAATTCCTCACCGATACCTTCAATCGCCAACATGACTATCTCCGCATTAGCGTCACGGAACGGTGCAATCTTCGGTGTCTGTACTGCATGCCCGAGGAAGGCATAGACCTCTCACCCTCTGCAAAACTACTTACATCCCCGGAGATTCTATACCTGTCCTCGCTATTTGTCTCACAAGGCGTGACGAAAATCCGATTGACGGGTGGGGAACCGACAGTCCGAAAAGATATTGTGCCGTTGATGCAGGACATTGGCAAGCTGCGACAAAATGGGCTTCGGGAACTGTGTCTCACAACCAATGGGATCTCATTACATCGAAAATTGGACGCGATGGTGGAGGCTGGGTTGACGGGAGTCAATCTCAGCCTTGACACGCTGGATCCATTCCAGTTCCAGATCATGACAAGACGCAAGGGATTCGATGCTGTGATGAAGAGTATCGATCGCATTCTGGAAATGAATAAGGTCGGTGCGGGGATCAAGCTGAAGATTAATTGCGTTGTTATGAGGGGAATGAACGACCGAGAGATCCTCCCGTTCGTAGAAATGGGTCGCGAGAAACCGATTGAAGTGCGCTTCATCGAGTATATGCCTTTTGGCGGGAACAAATGGAACCAGGGGAAGATGTTCTCGTATCAGGAGATGCTGGCTGTTATCCGAGAGAAGTATCCCACATTCGAAAAAGTGGCCGACCACAAGAATGACACGAGTAAGACATACCGTGTTCCTGGGTTCGAAGGCCGCGTGGGATTTATCACGAGCATGACACACAACTTCTGTGGTACCTGCAACCGGCTACGCATTACGAGCGACGGGAATCTCAAAGTCTGCCTGTTTGGTAACTCCGAGGTCTCCTTGCGGGATATCATTCGTAAGGAGAACGGGGGAGCCCAATTGACGTGGATGCAATGAACAACCTGCAACTGTTGGAAACAGTACAAAAGGCAGCGCGCCTTAGTGACGAAGGCGGCTTGGTGAATGAGCGAGAACGTGAGATTCTTGATATCATCGGCATGGCAGTGAAACGAAAGAAGGCGAAACACGCCGGCATGGCGCAACTGAAGGATATGAAGAACCGCCCTATGATCTTGATTGGTGGGTAGCCATTTTCTTCTTCATTTTTTTTCATGATTGGAAACGCTTTACGGCTTGGCTTGTAAATCATCTCAGATGAATATTCTTTTCGATTTCATGAAATTGGCGAGATCTTACTTGATACCATGTATACATTCAATTGATCTATTTGGATATTGTTCATTGAACCATCAAGCTGATAGATGAACTAGATAATAAACCCAGACCATGGGGGTCAGGATTTCACTCTTGGTCAACAATACCAGTACATATGCTCTCGCATCTCCCTGCATATTCCCAAAGTCGTCTCTACCACACTGGGCGCTCTAAACCAGAGACCGAAGACTGTATCCCTCGCCCATCTCCCTCTCTACCCACCACCTCAGACGCCGACCTCCCTCACCTCACACCATCCAAAACCGTACACATGACCCAGATCACCGAAAAGCCAGAAACAAAGCGCGTCGCCACAGCCGCCTGCACCGTCTCCTTCTCGAACGCACGACCTTGGGAAATCCTCCGCGAAGGCCAAACCACGCACAAAGGCGACGTCTTCAGCGTTGCCCGGATCGCAGGTATCATGGCCGCGAAAAGAACGCCCGATATTGTGCCCCTTTGTCATCCCGGCATTGGCATTACCGGGGTCGAGGTCAGCGTGGAACTGGTTGGGCCTGCGCAGGACAGGGATCACGGCGCCATGCATGTCGTGGCATCGGTCAGCTGCTTTGGTCGCACCGGGGTGGAAATGGAGGCTATGACGGCTACTATGGGTGCGGCTTTGACGGTTTATGATATGCTTAAGGCTGTGGATAAGGGGATGGTTATTGATTCTGTTAGATTGCTGGAGAAACAAGGTGGGAAGAGTGGGCATTGGGTACGGGAATAAGCTTGTATAGAGTAGTTAGAGAATACATGTTGGTATAGAGTACAGGCATTCGATTGTTATACAGTATATAACCTCTCTCCAATTGAAGGGGTGTAATATATAATCTCTCTACTAGCCAGCCCTAATACCCCTGGAGGGGATCTACCTATAATCAGCCTTACGGGCTTAACCGTTTAATTTCTCCGATACTCACCGCATTTTCATTCTTTTTTTTTTCTTTGACAGCCAATGATCTTTTATATTTCTTATTGACGATATAGCGGTGATCGTTTTTTTATTTTACATTCCTGTGGCCATGGCCATGGCTTAAGACATTTCCCGAGCCCACATACTCGAATCGGCTTAGCTTTTTCGTTGAGGTTTTGCAATTTTCCATTTTTTTCTTCGACTATATAATTTTAATAGACACTTCTGCTTGAAGCTGATCGTGTCAATTCGAGAGACCTCTCGTGTTGTGTGGGTTTTTGAAAACCCTGCAGGAAAAAAAAAACGTTTTCATTACATCGACAAAACGCCTCGAACGGCAAGGAATTCAGCACCGGACTTGCGTTTGATCAAGTCCTTGCGAATCTTGTCAAGTGAAAATGCATGCACTGCTGATCCGTATGTGCACCTGGGCTCCCTGCTAGTATTTTTTGCCATCAGAATTAACTAACTTTATACAGTTCGCAAGTGCCGGAGGCACATTGGGAACGCCATAATGGCAGTGCTCCCGCCCTTGAATTTCTTGACGCTACACTATTTCTATTTCATTGCTACATGCATCATTACTAGTATCGTTTTCTACTTGACATCGACGCCATGGGGCAGCGTTGCCTATGTGGACTCGATTTTCATGTGCGTCAGTGCTATGACCGGTGCTGGATTGAATACGGTATGGACTGACATCCCATGGCTATATCGTACTAAGACTAATGACCCGATGATCAGGTCGATCTGTCGACTCTGAACACCTTCCAACAAGCGGTTTTGTTCACTCTGCTTATCCTGGGCCATGCCATTCTCATCTCCCTCACCGTACTTCTAGTACGTAAGCGGGCATTCGAGGCAAAGTTCAAAGGCGTCTCCGATGAGCGGGAGAGAGAGCGCTCTACTCGTAGCCCCTCAGAAGTTGAACTGCAGGTCAGAGACCGGGAACCCGCTCATGGAAGCACCGGGACTGATCTACCGGGCGAGAGCACCCAAGGACACGGCTGTAAACCACGCCCAAAGTCATCCGTGTTGGTTCAAGTGACCCCGGCAGAGTCATCATCCCGTGACGAACAGCCATGGGTGGACGACGACCAAATAACCATCGGCGGCACACCCCGTCATCATCACCACCGGGTCTTCCCCATGGCTGGCATCGGGGCGAGACCCGATCTGAATAACCACCCGCGCGATGCGGCGCCCAATGTGCCCTTGGTAGTCAAGGATTCGGTGTCTGGCTTCAAGGGAATTCTCCGCGGTACACAGAAGTACATGGCCTCCAAGGGACTTGTCTCCCGCAACTCCCAGTTCCACGATCTCACTCCCGCTGAGCGTGACGAACTAGGTGGTGTGGAGTACAAGGCCGTCTCGTTTTTGTCCGTGGTTGTGTTCCTTTACTTCATCTTGTTTATTATCTTCGGCATGGTCGGTGTCGGTGGCTGGCTGGAAGCCAATGATCCCGCCGTGACGCGCACGAACGGTCTCTCGCCTTTCTGGACGGGTGCTTTCTTTGCTGTTTCTGCTTTCGTGAACAGTGGCATGTCGCTCCTGGATGCGAATATGACTGCTTTGCAGTTGAGGTAGGTGGCCTAGACCGCTCGTGTTTCAATAGTCAAGCTTGCTGACCTTCTCTAGGGCTTACCCATTGCTCACAATGGGATTGCTGATTCTCGCTGGAAACACCCTCTTCCCATGTTTCCTGCGGTTCATTATCTGGACTATGAGGGTCATGCTTCCGGATCGGCCGAAGTGGCAGTCGTGGCGCATAACCCTTGATTTCATCCTGGAGCATCCTCGAAGGGTAAGTCAAATCGCATTGCTCTAATAGCTTGCAGAATACAGATACTTATCATGAAGCCAGGTCTATACGAATCTCTTCCCTGCTCGCCATACGTGGTATCTGCTCGGCACGATTATCATTCTGAACGGTATCGACTGGGCGGCATTTGAGCTACTGTCTATTGGAAACAAGGATATTGAGAGTCTTCCTACCGAGTACCGTCTGCTGGATGGACTGTTCCAAGCCCTAGGTTTGTCAACCAGTATCACCAACAGCGTCACATCTGAACCAAGCTAACAATTATTCCGAATAAAGCGGTGCGCGCTGGTGGATTCTACGTTGTAACCATTGCCGACCTTCGCCAAGGTCTTTTGGTTCTTTACGGTAAGTGATTTTAATATCCTCTCCGGACTCAAATATCATCATGCTAACAGGACCTTTAGTACTTATGATGGTAAGACCTATCAGTCTCATAACCTATACACCAAACCCCAAACCCCAAACCCCAAACTAACAACTCCCTCAGTACGTCTCGGCGTACCCAGTAACGCTCACAATGCGGTAAGTAACCCCTGAACTCAACCCACGCCAAAGAAACCACAATCTAACACACCCACAGCAACACAAACGTCTACGAAGAACGCTCGCTAGGAATATACGCACACGACGAATCCAGCGACTCACCAGCAAACACAACCCGCAGCAACGTAGTAATGGACCTACTCCGACACCACCTCGGCCGCCCCGGCCTATCCGAGACTTCGCGCGGCTACTTCGTGCACCAGCAGCTCCGCTCCCAGCTCAGCCATGACCTGTGGTGGATCGCACTGGCGGTGTTCTTTATCGCAATCAGGGAGTCAGACCACTATGAATCCCAGCCCGTGGCTTTCTCCACCTTCAATATTATCTTCGAGGTTGTCTCGGCTTACGGCTGTGTCGGTGTTAGTCTTGGGTTCCCCGGGAAGAATTACTCGTTCTGTGGCGCATGGCATACTATTAGCAAGTTGATTCTTGCTGCTGTTGCTTTGCGTGGTAGACATCGTGGTTTGCCGGTCGCTATTGATAAGGCTATTATGTTGCCCAGTGAGTCTTTAGCTTGGGCTGAGGAGGAGGATGCTGCTATGCGCAGGGATAGGTCTAGGGCTTGGGCTCAGGAGCATGGTGGGCCTGTTGGGACTGTTTAGATGTTTAGATGGTGGTTTTTGATATACCCCCTTTTGTTAGCTGATTTTATGGTTTAGAAAGTTTCACAGAGCGTGGATTTATGAGACCCATGATGATATGAAGTTTTGAAGATAAATGATTCTTTTGTAGGACTGAGTAACTACCCATGGTGTATCCTGGTAAACAAAGTAGACATATGCAATAACCGTGTGAAGTAGATGGACATGGACGTGGACAAGGAGATATACAAATTAACAAAAAAATTAGACGATCTACTCGTCCTCCATCTCCAGCTCGTCTTCATCTTCACTCTCAATCTCAGCTTCCTCCTCGCTCTCCAATTCCTCCTCATCCTCATCCTCGCTGCCATCATCACTGCCAGCAACACCACCCATATCCTCATCCTCTCCACCGTTCTTCTTCGCCTCCTGTCTCCGCTTCTCTTCCTCAATACGACCTTCTTCGAGGACAGCAGCACGCTCCTCACGCAGCTTGCGCTGCGTCTTAACGAACGCACCGACAGGAGTAGACTCCCAGTCAACATCCTTGAGGAAAGATTCAACGCCAGAGCGGTTGCGGGGAGCATACGAGACGTTCAGACGACGCTCCTCGATCCAGCGGGCATTGGCCTCAACCTTCTGCACAAGCAGCAGGATCATCTGGTTGATCTTGGCGTTCTTGTTTCCGCCGCTGCGGGCAGAGACCTGCTTCAGCCAGCGCTTGAGGGAGACAACGACGGGCACGGACAGTTCCGGGAACGCAATGTGCTTGGACCACAGGACGAAGAACTCGGAGAGGAGCTCGGCGACCTGCTCACCGATGCCGTCCTGGTAAGTGCGCGAGCGCAGGTAGGATTTGGGCGCGCGGATCGCTGTGTTGAAGTCCAGGGGCTTGAGCGTGCTGGACTTGGGGTGCTTGCGCATCTCTGCTGAGGTCAGGACCTCGAGAAGTGAAGCTGAAAGCGGGATGTAGGTGCCTGTGGCGCGGGAAATGCGGAGCAGGGAGCGCGTCAATTGGAAGCGCAGAGGGAAGTACGTGGCGGTTGGGATGAGGCGCATGGCGCCCAGGGTGATTTGCACGACGGGGTAGATGAGGGGACGCAGAGCGGACTGCTTGCCGATTTGAGCCTCGACAAGGCCATCGCAATGCTGTGAAAGCACACGGGACCAGAAGTCCAGCGAGTGCACGTATTGCCAGTTGTAGATGGTCTTGTAGGACTCCTTGGAGGTGTTGGTAATGCTCTTGCGCAGGTGCATAGCAAGCTGACGGATGAATGAGAATCCTGCTGTGTATGAGACGTTCTGGTCAATGCCCCAGATTTCGGCTGCGGAGTTCTTCATCAAGTTCACGCCTGCTAGAGTGTGCACCGTTGTGTTGCGGCTACCCTTGACAACACCCTCGTAGGTGGCCTTGAGCACACTCTCCCTGATACCAGCATCTCCCAGAACCATAAGGCGGCGCAGAATCAAGAAACCTGTGATACGGGTGGCATCGTTGGTGGACACATCAGCCCAGATCCCGACGACAATCTTAACGAGAGTCTTCAGCACCTTGCGGAACTGAAGAAGATAAGGCAGCATGGGCTCAATTGACGCGAGGGTCAGCTTGAGTGTCGATGCATCAGACAAGTTAATCAAAAGCTGGTGAACCGAAGCAGTGTGCGATTTGATCAGAGGTGTGAGGGTCTTGAACTTCTTCGAATCCAATGACACTCTGATCTTGCCAGAAGCGCTCTCCTTGACGGGGAGATGATGGGCCAGGACCTTGGGGATGGTGTTGAGGGCCGTGACAAGAACCTGGTGGTACACGTTCTTGTCGGAGATGGTGTATTTTTGCTCGGGGGCATCGGGGTCATTGACATAGGCAGCCGCACGGAAAGCGAGCACAGCCTGGCGCATAGCTCGGATAGAGTTCTGCTCCTCCATCAACTTCTGCCACTTCTTGACCATCTCAATAGTCAGGGTCTCATCCTCGGGCTCCTCCTCTTCCTTCTTCGACTTCTTTTTCTTCTTCTTGGCCGGTTCCTCATCTTCGGGTTCTTCGCTTTCGCTCAGAGCGTCAACCTCTGAAAGATCGCCTTGGTCACCGAAATCGAGCAGTTCAGAATCGTTTTCCTTGAGATATTTATAGAACTCGGGGTCCTTGTCCTTCAATGACTCCAGCTGGTCCTTGTGCTCGTCGTAAGCATCAACACTGTCTGCGTCGTCATTGTCACCCTCGCCCTCGGAAGCCTCAGCGTCCGCCTGTGCCTTATCTTCTGAGCGCTTGCGCTTGCCGATCTTGGGGGTAGTATCCTTCTTGCTCGCCTTCTTTCCCTTCTCTTCGGGAATATCGAAGCCGCCAGCGAAGAAGTCGTCGACGTTCATTTCGGCAAAGGCATTTTGTTTCTTTGCTTCCTCCGGGTTGGCTTCTGCGGCGGCTTCAGCTTCGGCGCGGCGAGCAGCACTTTTTTCCTTGCGCTTGTCGTTCAGTTGGTGTCTCTGCTTGATCTTGGCATTCGCCTTTCGTCGCTCAAGGACGTCCGGCAGACGGTTCTGCACGAACTTCTTGGTCGATTTTTTGCCTCCAACCATTTTGAGAGATTAATGCAGAAAAGAGTCTGCAAGTGTAGCTTGGTCGGGAAATGGCTGGTCAAAAAAAAATTGGGGAGAAAATCGGCGGGTCCGCCTTTCAGACCGCCTTTGGCATCGGGCGATAACGTCCAGACAATCTACAAGACAACAGACAACCTTCAAACTTGCGACTGACGACTGACGACTGACGATTATTGTACATAGCGAGAATTTGCCAAAAAAAATGTACTCACAGCGCCCACTTTCTTATGCGCCGACCCCCTACAGCTATACACCCAATCCTGCCCGGTCGGCCACAATCAACCTCGATGAAGTATGGATCCTTGTCTCCGCATTGATAGTTATATTGACTAATGCCAATTGTCTTAGGAAGTCAAATTAGCATCCAGTTCAGCTGAACGTGACTTATACGAATCACTAGCCGAAATCTACAGCATCATTGTCACCCTCGATGGACTCGAGAAAGCATACATCAAGGATGTGGTCACCGAGGCAGAATATACAGAGACATGCACACGGCTATTGAAGCAATACAAGTCCAGTCTTGGAGACGAAACAGTATCGCGGGAGTTTGTGGATCTGGAAACCTTCAAACGGACGTGGGGGGTGAGTGTTCCTCTCCATTTTACCCCGCAAACTCCAAGACATCGCTGACGCCAGGTGCACAATATAGTTAGAATGCCCACGAGCCACAGAACGATTGCGCATTGGTCTTCCGGCCACAGTTGAGCAAGCTTCTCATGGCGGATCAACCCCCAGTATGGGCGCAACGGCGACGGGACAGGCTGGCGGTGCCTCGGGCAGTCTTATTCTGGCAGCAACTGAAAACTTCATTACCTTCCTCGATGCATTGAAACTCAACATGGTTTCCAAGGATGCACTACATCCACTTTTATCGGAGGTGATTCAGTCTGTGAACAAGGTAACAGATACCGATTTCCAAGACCGCGGCAAGATCATTCAATGGTTGATCGCATTGAATCAAATGCGAGCTACTGAGGAATTGAGCGAGGACCAAGCACGTGAACTTGCATTTGATATTGAACAGGCTTATCAGGGCTTCAAGGCGACGTTGAACTGATTTGGGGAATCATTTACTTGGTGCACCGGCAAGGCGTTCATATGGACAGTAGAGATACTATCATGTTTTTATGTATTAGCATGATATTCAGTGATTGCTAGCTTAATATACCCACTCTGGCTTGTTTTTGATTGAGTGTCCTTGCATAAGTACAGCGATTATCGACATTTACTATATGACACGAACAACATCTAGCTTGAAGGTATACGCTGTTCGGGCCAGTCTACTCTTTTTTCTCCGATATAAACCATGTGTTTCTCACTCGCAGCAGTCTTTCATTTTCATCATTCCTGTTCTTCTGTTGATATATTGATGCCTGATACTTTAGGCGACAGTAAACCCGCGGAACGGCCGCGCCAGCCTTTCCTCTTTGGGAATATTTTCTTTTTTTTCTCCGCCACTTTTCGTCCGATTCTCCTGGCTTTGAGGCCTATTTGGTGCTTTACATTCCTCTCCAGCAACACCTAGAGAATATACAGCTATCACCATGATCTGCGCTACAGATGAGCCTCTACATGGTTAGTTCACAATCTACCCCTCTGGTCCATTCGGTCCACAAAAGATAATGGAACTGATAAGCGCAGTGCTTGACCTCCCGCAACTCTACCAGAAGCCCTCGGGAACCGATCTCGTGAAAGCTTTGGCTCTGTTAAGCTTGCAGCCACGTACATTTGGCACGACAGCTGATGTCGTCAAAGGCCCTGCGGTTCAACCTGCAGGAGTGACTCGGTATCTCACATCCATCATCGCCAGTTCACTGGCATGGCTCGACACCGAGGAACTCCGGGAGGCAATCTGGGATGCGGCCGCTGCACGACTAAGTGAACGGTCTGGTCGAACCGGTAAGAAAGCCACCATATATCCAGCTGTGTTATGTTATCCTGCTGACCGTGACTCATCTGCCACCAGCTATGCCGGCGATGTCTCGAATATTCAACGTGCCCACCTCCTCCGGCGAAGAATACACACTGACCCTTCACGAACCGTCAATCACCGCGGACAACCTCGGTATGAAGACTTGGGTATCTTCATATCTTCTCTCGCGCCGGCTTCACAACCTTGGATCGCCACCGGCACTTGTTCACTCGGCGTCGGCTACTCCCTCCACATTGAACTCCCAGAAACCTCTGCGGGCACTTGAACTCGGTGCCGGAACAGGTTTGGTCGGGCTTTCCTTTGCGGCTCTGCAAGGTGAGTCTGCCACCGTCCACCTCACCGACTTGCCAGAGATTGTCCCCAACCTCGCCCACAACGCTGCCTTGAACGTAGAACTCCTCACCAGAACTGGCGCGACTGTGACCACCGGTTTGCTTGACTGGTCGGTCACACCGTCACCCCTTCCAACTGCGGAAGAGCAATTTGATGTGATTCTCGCTGCGGATCCATTGTACTCGCCCAACCACCCCAAATGGTTGGTGGATACCATTAAGCCCTGGCTTAGCCGAGGGCTCGATGCACGAGTCGTGGTGGAGATGCCGCTGCGAGATGCATATCTGCCGCAGGTGAAGGAGTTCCGGCAGCGGATGGGCGAGTTGGGTCTGGCTGTGGTTGAGGAGGGTGAAGAGGTCGGTTACGATGACTGGGAGAGTGCCGATGGAGGCGCATTGGCCGTCAACTGTTGGTGGTCGATCTGGGGATGGAGTGAACAGATATAATGGCAGTGCTGCCAGGTCATATTGGGAATGGTGACCAAACGAAATGACGAATAATAAACGATACACGATAGATTAGAATAGGGATTCCTAGACGTTGGTTATTGAGCAATGCAAGCAATTCCTCACGGTCAAACTTTAGAAATGAATTTCTCGTATCATTTTTCTCGGTAGAAATCAATTTGATGATCGAGGAACATCGTTGGTCGACAGAAAAGAGGAGCAGGTCCATCACGTGGCGATGACGTCGGTGTCACCATTTCGATGGATCATGGATTTCTACATTTCCCTGCATTTCTAGGGATTCATAGTTCTAATAAGAATGTCTTTTGTCTATATCAATTTACAGGGAACAGCCATTCTCTACATTCATGTGGTCAGTCAACAGCCCACCATTCAAATATCAAGCAAATCATCCTAATGCGACAACAGACATGAGTCCAGACCAAAACGCCACATGAATACCAGCTGCAAATTCCTGAAATCCGATATATCAGAGTGCTATTCATAGCCGAAAGTTGCGATATAATTGTATATATACCACCTATATACCGACTGTCATTCATTTCTTCGCCCTCGACCTCTCGAACCATCGCATACATACTATCGCATACCCCACCAAACACCTGCACAATGATCGGACTTCTGGCCCTCACCGCCATCCCAACGGTGACGGGTGTATCCCTCGCTTCCAGCGAGCAGCGCAAAGCAAACCAGCGCAAAGAAGAGGCCCGTCGCATGGTGAAGTTCAACATCGTAGCAGAATGCGATGGGGACACGGATGATGACCGCGAGTTAAACGGGATGACTATTGTTGTAAGAGACGAGAAGGTATGGAACCCCAATTCAGTCCAGATTAAGAGTCTAGAGACGTCACAGCCCCTCTGAACATCATCATCAGATCCCAAGTCGCAGACTATACTAACACCTTTACCCCCCGCAGGTCTACCTCGCCGACCCAGATCCCTCCAAACGATCCCCGCCAGCTTTCACAGCCCTGGCCTTCTATATCGAGTACCCAGAACCGGAAGAATTGAAATATCTCAAGCGCGAGCGCGGCCTCGGCCTCCCGACTTATGTTCAGGATGACCCGCCCCTTCTCAACTGGATCTATGCGGATACCGAAACGCATGAGTTGCGGTACGGGAATCGGTCACAGAGTGTGGAGCAACTGGTCGAGCCGTGGGACTGGTGTAAGAATGAGAAGTTCATTTTACTCGAAGGGAAGCAGAATTCTTTCATTGCGGTTGAAGAGGAGGAGGGGGAATGGGCGCTTTATTATGATCGTGATGGCGATGAGCTTACGCGCGTTCTTGAGGAGCAGGGGTTGTTGGATTGTCCTTTTGTGCCTGTCAAACTAGTGAGGAAGATTGTTGAGGAAAAGCCACCGCCGCCGCCACCTCCTGCTGCTCAGGCTGCAGCTCCTCAGGGTGAGGGGAATGGTCAGAGTCAGAAGTAGATGGATGGGAGCGCGGGATAATATCATGATTGAGACGAAAGACTTTTATGTGTATATAATTCATGAGATGACTTAATGCGTTTATGATATGATCGTGATTATGGGAATACCGCGGTAGCAACCTGGGAATAGTGTATTGTACAGTAGAAATTTGAACATTTAATCATCCAATCCACCCCAGCTACCAGTATCGCTGACGTTGCCACTAGCCGCTGCCGCTGCCTTCCTGTTGCGACTGGCCTCGATAGCGCCCCTTTTGTTATTCTCCATGCGGCGTTCAAAGCCACTCTTGGTACTAATTCTCATACCACGAGCGCCCTTTCCATCATCCTCCTTATCAGTCAATCTCGGGGCCTGGCGCGCCTTGACACCATGCCTCTTCATATCCTTCTTGCTGTTCTTGCTCAGATTCGGCAGCGCGTCGAGCAGCCATTTCTGGATGGATTTGTCGCCTTCTTCGCCGCCGCGCAGCTTCTCGCTGACGTCGATGATGTTGGCAATGCTCTTCACGTAGGGAATGTCTTCCTTGGTGTAGTAGGTGACGGCGATACCGCCCTCGCGACCAGCACGGCCAGTTCGCCCCACGCGGTGGACGTAGACGGCGGCTGAGTTGGGGATATCATAGTTGACCACGCCGTTGATACCGCGGAAGTCGACGCCGCGGGCTAGAAGATCCGTTGTAACCAAAATCCAGATCTCGCCTTTGCGGAAGTCGCGCATGATATCGGACCGTTGGCCATCCGAGAGATCGGAGTGCAGAACTGCAATACGTGAGGATCCACCTGCTTCGGCGGGGATGTCATATTTGAGTTCGGAGTGCAGAGCCACCGCACGAGGGATGGTTTGTGTGAAAATAAGGAAGGGAGGGCGAAGGCGGATATCTGATGCTGAGGCGGCAGCCGGGCGAAGAAGTTGGCGAAGTCCCATCAGTTTACCCTGTTCTGTTGCTGCGTACACTAGTTTGTGGTCGATGTTGGGGATTGCAGAATCTTTCAATCCTACAACCAGGCGAAGGAGTGCATGTGGCTCACTTGGCTTTTGTCCGAGATCTTCCAGTCGCTCTCTGATGGTTGACTTGGTGAGATCTTCGATATTGGATCCCATGGTGGCTGACCAAAGGCCGACACGCAAGTCGGGGTGTGAGCATGCTTTCCAGATATCGAGTGTCTGTTCCCGGAACAACGGGTCTAGGAGGACATCGGCTTCGTCCATAACCAAACTCCGCACTAGAGGTAATGTTGCCATGGTGGTCGTCCGATTCGCAGATAGAGCATTGACCAACATCAGGGGCGTAGTGACGAGAATATCACTCTTGGTGACCGGGATGCTGGCTCGCTCCTTTGCTGGCTTGCTTTCGGCATCTTCATCTTCCGACCCAGATGATCCTTCGCTGTTCTCATCAAGAACATTGGCATCACCATTATCTCCAACACGCATTCCCTTTCTCATCAGCGTGATCTTCACGCCAGTTCCAGCCACTAGCTTGCGGCCCTCGTTGACGATCTGGCTTGCAAGCTCCCTGGTGGGCGCCACAACCAAAGATAAAATACCATGCTCGCCAGGGTTTGAGTGGTGGTGTCGAACAATTTTGTTGATCACAGGGATCAAGAATGACAATGTCTTGCCGCTGCCAGTGGGAGCAACGACCAGAAGATCTGGCTCAGATGACTCTCCAAGAAGCAGTGGAAGGGTTCCAAGCTGAACCTCTGTAGGTACGGTAAATCCTTGCTCTGCAACATTCTCTGCCAGCCGCGAGGAGATCTTGTATTTAGATCGAAGCTCCTTGAAGTTGAGCAGGGGCTCCGGGAACAAGCGTCTGGCACGCTTCTGCTCCTTCTTACTGAGAGTCGGCGCCTCTTCTTTCTTTGACTTCTTCTTCTTCTTCTTCTTGGAATCTTTGGCGGAATCTTTGGTAGATGTAGGCTGTACTTGGATCTCTTCCAAGTCGCGCATGTCTGTAACCTTGATCTTGTGTGAGTTCAAGATAGTGCGACGCTCCACTTCATCCATGGAATCGTCGTCATCGGATGCGGCATCCTCATCAGACACTTTCTCATCATCCTCGGTCGCAGCAGCGGTTTCCGTCACACTGGCTGCAGGGCGCTTGTTTGAACTGAAAAAGTCGAGATCAGGGATATCTTCCTCATCCTGCTGAACAGCAGCGCCTCTCTTTCTTTTTTTGCCATTCTTGGCAGACTCGAGCTTGTCGGTCTCCGCGGTCCGGAAGAGCTGCGGGTTGGCTGCTTTCCCGGTGGACGGCAGACGAGAGTCTGTAGCCGACGAGGCGGGCTTTAATTTTGTTGACCTGGTCAACAATCTGAACGCATCCATATCTTTTGTGGTTGAGTCGAAAATGTCGTTGATATTCTGAAAAGAAAAAAAAGTGATCCGCCGACTTTCCTCCCGGGCCAATCAGCGTTGTGCGTCAGATATCACCGCCACAAAGGCCGGGGACAAAATAACGAGAAGAATAATTTCCACAGATGGAATTGTCTGGACATAATAGATGTACCATATCAGGACCACTATTCGTACCCAAGGAATTCGGATCATGGTTACAGAGAGGTTTAGGGAAGAAATAAGGAGAAAACAAGTCGAGGTCAAAAGGACCTTCAGATTACAATTGAGCGTATAGGCAGCAGCAAATCTTACACTTTTGTAGAGCACAAAGGCACAAACATGACAGGGAATGAATTGCAGTAACAAGGTCTATCTCAGACAACAGTTTAAATTCCATCGTCTATCATACACAGCGCGGGAAGATTAACATAGGAAAAAAAGGAAAGGACGATTCTCTTCTATCCACATCCATTTAGTGCGCGTGCGCAGGCTCGCCACGGTAACCAACAATGTTCATCCGACCGATCATCTCGCCAACAGTGAAGAAGCCAATGACCTCAGCGGCAGTGACACCGGCGAGGGCCATCTGCTTGGGGCTGGCGTTGCGGATAGAGGCGAGGATAGTCGAGGGGGCGGGGAGGGTCTTGAGGGCGGCAGGGTTGCTGATGAAAGGCTGGAAGTAAGACTGGAAGGTGGCCAGGTTGCTAGGAGCAATTGTTAGATTGGGAGTAAATGGTCGAGTACGGAGTCCGACTTACGGAGGAGCCATGTTCTGGCCACGGAACACCAGTCTGCCGAGCTCAATTCCGACCTTGGAGTAGTAGATGGTAGGAGGGATCATGGCTAGATTGATTGACGGTTAGCTATGCACCCTATCCAAATGTAATCCGCGGATTGATGTCAACAAGGAGGTTGGGATTGGGTGGCACGATTCCAACCGGATCAACCGGTCAATAGTCGACTTTCTCTTTAGACGAGTACCCAATGTCCAACGCTCCATTGCATCCATCCAAACGGGAGAAAAATCAAGAGTGTCCCTTACAATCGACGAAAGAGATAACCTTGCCGGCGGGTCCACCGACCTTGCGCAGGGCACCAGCGGCGTTGGAGATGGCAGGACCAGCGGAGGCAGAGACCTTGGAGAGACCCTCAGAGGCCTTGGAGACAGCTGAGGAAGCAGTCTCACTAGCCTTGGAGGCAGCCTCCGAGGTGGACGAGGCGTGTCTGACGACGGTTCTCCGGGTCAGGAACTGCGATTGCCGCAGGACGGCACGGGTGGCGGCGGGCATTTTGAATACTGCGGAGGAAAATGAGTGGAAAAGAAGAATTAAGCAAAAGACACCCGAAGCAGTCGCTAATAGGAGGGCAGTATGATCTAATGATCTGGAGTATCGCGCAACGGCAGAACCAGATGAAGATTTGACGCTCGGGAACTTCAGGAATTGCGGGTCACGTGAGTCGCCTTTTAGCCCAAGTAAACAATATACTTTTCTATTAGATTTAAAAGGAATTTAGGGGATTTAGAGGTTTAATATCTACATGTTAAAGCTCATCTTACTTAGAGGCGTGAATCTGAAAGTGGACAGGAACGTTAGCACCTTGCTATAGCATTACCTGCATCCGGCCCTGTTAGTCAAATCACAAGCTGGAACTATACTCCGGATGGTAGAACTAAAGTGAAATTTTTTTTATTCTAGAGAGACTAATTAACATGAATGCTTCTTTGTCTTGAGGAATGCTCTGCAAATCTGATCAAGAAAAAAGTGCATATCGAAGCTGTTGTGAGCCAAAATATATATAGTGCAATATTCCGTAAAGCTGCATTCTTTATTCTCTTTTGTCAACAGAATTAAGTGAAAAAAAATTGAAATGCGATCTAGATCATGCATTAACAAGAATAGATAAACGATATATCAAGAAACAAAGAGAGAGTATGGTCAAATTTACAATAAGAAATCGGCCGGCGATCTATAAGCCAGAGAGAACGGCCTAACCAACATAGAAGCTTTCTAGGGAAATATCTACAGAGAGAGCAACCATTTTAGGGGTTATGCATGATGTTGCAGTAGATACTATCCAATTGGATATTTACATTTACTTGCCTCCTTTATGCATTTATCATCACCTTTTAATTGCGACACTGCCGAACAACCGTAGCAGCCAGTCCAATGGACAATAGTACAGGATGAACATGGGATTAATCCCTGTCTCGCACAATACTACCTACATGTAAGTACATATATGTAGTCAGATGACAAGAGTTGTTACACCACTCCGAGGTCGTTCTACTGAAATATCCGAGAACTCGGTTGCTGGAGCTTGTAGCAGGAAACATGCAGAGTATTCGCATATGGTAAGATATATTGTATCTGCCTATGTTGTACATGTAGATATCATACATAACTAGTTATATAGTGCATATGTAGAGAGAGATCCATGGATGTCCAGGTGTAAAGTGAACAAAAAAAGATGCCTGAGGCCACAAAATGAGTTTGCACTGTTTGTCTCGGAAAAAGGCATTTCCTCCACTTGAAATTCATCTCCGCCGGAGAATTGCCTCTCTTGTTGACACAATGGCTTCCCACACGGTACATTATACCACATTTACTTGAGCCAGAAACCCTTCAGATTGTTCAATTATGAACCGAAGCAAGATAGCA